ACCAGCCGATCCATTTGGTCATCTCATGCGCTTGTGACAAGTATTGAATATCAGGAGCAAACCTGCTCTGGGACTCCCACCTGGGTTTCATGTACCATATATTTATTTTCAGAGATCCGAGTGGTTGTGAAAAAAATTTATTTGTTGATAAAACTTGAAAAGTCTGAATATGGTGTTTATTGAAGCATGTAATAAGGTGTTTGCTTGTTTATTTGTTTGTTTAATGCCACACTCCGCAATATTCCGGCTAAACGACAGCAGTCTGTAAATAATCAAGTCTGGACCAGACAATCCAGTGATTAATATCATGAGTAGCGTTCCTGCAAAATGGGATACGATGACATGCATCGACCAAGACACCCAAAGCCGTTAGTCGCCTCTTGCGACAAGCATAGTCTCCTCTCACTACAAGCATGGGTTTCTGAAGACCTATTCTAACCCAGATCTTCATGGGCGGAAAATGGTAGTGCAAATCAAGGTCATCATTAGCATGATCAAACAGTAACTGTAAACTAAACATACAGACAAACTGAGTAGAACTGAACTTGCAGATCATTGAAAAAGATATTTTTTGAAAGCTATTCTATTCACACTAAGTATCAATGATGTAAATTCCATAAACATTAAATGTTCCATAAGTATTTCAAAACAAATTATAGGCCAGTGGATATAATGTATAGTAATTAAAACCATAAAAAAAACACCATTTTCATATCTAAATCTTCTTTAATCTGTGGGAATTAAATAGTCTACAGTGTGTCAAGTGCTTTCAAGGTCATTGTAGACACAGTACAATCTATTAAGTACCTTGGTACATTCTTATTCTCTTAAATGTACCTGGGTAATCAAAAAGTAAGATGGGTATTAACTCCCAAGTGCCTTTTTATGACTGTCACATCCATTGTTAACAATGGTCTATTGGCAAACAAATCAAAGAGCCTTGTGGGCCAATTAATCAGGGATCGTTATAAGGGCAGTCTGCAACATTAGCCAGTAGTCCGAAAGCCCAAGTCTAGCACAACAGCCTGAGGGACTAGTCAAGCATATCTTGTCCGGGAATATTTTTCTCACATGTCAAGCGTATGAACTGACTATCGTCAAACAGTGAAAACTAATACAGTGAATAGGCAAAATACATTATCGACATTTTGGAACATCAAACACAACACTGAAATTGAATGTTTGCAGATTGGAACAAACTCAATCAATGTCAGTAAACATGCCACATGAAAAGCAATGGTACCGAAACCATTATGACTACTATGCTGACTTGGTTGATGCATGTCATTGTAACCCAGTTGAGTGGATCGATGCTCATGATGTCAATCACTGGATTGTCTGGTCCAAATTCGATTATTTACAGACCGCCGTCATATAGCTGGAATATTGCTGAGTGCGGCGTTAAACAACAAACAAACAAACTATGAAACATTTCCAATCTGTGTTGAACTTGTGTCTTTATTTGTCATGGCACTACAAAAATGAACAGTTAACTTCAAGGTGAAATATAACTCTTGATACATGTAAATACGTCCCTAAATTATGTACTGTTTCGGGGTAGTAAGCTATAGTCATGGCAAGTGGCCATGTTTTTTTACTAGCCCAAATGTGTTAGCTGGGTCAAACCTTTTGCCTCAGCAACGATCAGTAGTTAGAAACTAGGAAGGTTCTAGAGCCCTCAAGGCCGTTCTCTTCTATCTTGGTTCAGACTTTTATTTCTTAGCAGTCAGTTGAAAAAACATAGAAAAAAGATGAAAGTAGAACAAATTAAAAAGACATTTGACATTTTTTTAAAGACAGACTTTGTTTTACAATACTTATACCATTTACTGGCCATCGACTATTTATCAACATTTCTGCAATATTCAAAAAATAAAGTCCCCGCCTACTACTAAGTTTAATTATTGTGAAACTGGGAGAAATCATATATCTTGTTGATTTTAATCAATAGAAAATGTTTTAGTAACTTGTTGTCTGCCAACAGGTGCAGACCAGGATTCCTCTATTTGATTATCTACATTAGCTTATCCATAACACTATCTGGGGCGGTCGGGTAGCCTAGTGGTTAAAGCGTTCGCTCGTCACGCCGAAGACCCAGGTTTGAATCCCAACATGGGTACAATGTGTGAAGCCCATTTCTGGTGTCCCCCGCCGTGATATTGCTGGAATATTGCTAAAAGCGCCGTTAAACCAAACTCACTCACTCACTCATAACACTATCTACCTAGGCACAGGGGGCACAGTCGTCTTAGGCGCCGCAATTCGCTGTGGAGTTGCGTCCCTTGGGGATGCCAGAAACCTATTTTTGCCCCAATTAGGTTTGTCAGCACCATACCTGTGCTCATTGGTTTCACTAATGTGGTAAACATCTAAGACCTGCATCACTTCGGGCTCTCCTCCCACATCAAGCTGATACACAGTGATATAACTGGAATATGGTTCAAAGCAGCATTAAACCCAATTCACTCACTCGCCATTACTTGGGGTTTTGCAGCAAATAAAATTCCCCCAAATTAAAGTTAGATTCTGATTGTATAATTTCAATCATTTGGCGAATCGAAAATGAGGACAGAAACTTGATACCAACATACACAGAAGTAACTTCTTTGATAGGCATTTAGAAGTTGGAGTACTAAGTGAGGATAAGATTTCGGTGTAGGTTCTACACTGTTATCAAGCAAGTGATTGCTTGATAACGGTGTAGAACCTACACCTAAACATCACTCTTAATTGTAATACAGAAGTTGTTCATCCATAAATTCTTATCCTTACCTATACACAGAAATGACTGAATAATGTATTTAACGTTCAAAGTTAATCTACCTCTTGCTTCAAATTAAAATGAGAATACTTAGGTAATTAAGGGAATACAATATTAGCCTGACCATCGGGCATGCAACTTTTCAAAACTGACTGTCCGTCAACAAAATAGATCGGGCCTATAGATAGATACTGTCGGGAAGGCATATATTTTAAACACTGGTTTTGCAATATATTCAGGTTATGTATATTTGAAAACAAATTACCAAATTCCTCATCATCAAGATCATATTCACAAATATGTGTCACCCTTCTAATGAAAATGTGCAAAAGCAAGACAAGTAGTGATCGTGACTGCAATAACGCGATGTTGGCGATAAGTGGTTCACCTGTGAGAACTGGTTGCCAGCCAGTCGGTGTTGTCCCAGCAACATGTAAGCGACATAATTTATAGATGTTTGGAGGAATAAAACACAGAATACAACTGAAACTACTCTAGGATTGACAACTGAAACCCTGATCAACACACCATTTCAGGTTTTTGATTTTCATTCAAAATATTAGTGGGTGCATACAAAGATAACATAACCTACTGACTAAGGGCCTGCGACAATCAACACTAAACTCAATATCATCCTTAGTTTTACATTAACTGACAGTAAGCTAAGTTAGAAGTTCAATTTCGGTTTGTTATTTATGGACCAACTAGATGATATACCTTGAATTTTCGGCCAAACAGTTTGCAAACAGGTAACCAAATAAATTGTTTGATAGGCATTACTTAGAAGTTGACGGATGACAAGGTAGAGACAATTTTTTGGATAACAACTTCTTCAATACTGTAAAAAGCGACGTTTCTGTATAGATCCTTATACGTTGTCAAGCAAGACTGAATGAGGGACTTAGCACAGAATATACATAGTAGGTGGAGGATTAACACCTTAACCTACCTATGTTATCCCACTCATATATGCAATTGTTGTTACTGTTAATCCTCCACCTACTACATATATTCGGTACTTAGTCCCTTAGTCAGTCTTGCTTGACAAAGGTATAAGGATCTATACCGAAACATCGCTTTTTACAGTATTAAAGAATTTGTTATCCATAAAATTGAGGTAACCAAATAATTGTGGAAAAAACATACCCTACAGTACAGTATCAAGGGATGTCCCAAATGATAATTTGCAATATTAGGGTCATGATTATGACAACAGTATGCAACATTTTCTAAAGCCTGAGACCAGAAAAATTCTGTTCAGCCTTGTGAGATTAGCTAATAAATGGCTAGTTCACACTAGTGGACTCAAAATGTTTGGCACAGACTGTGACAAACATCCCTTTACTTCAAATATACACCGGATAATCAAATGAAAATAGTCATTTACAAAATGTCAAACATCAAAACCTTTATCCTGAAAATAAAAAGCTCTTCTCAGCATGCTTGAACTTGAAAAGTTGGAAATGTTTAAAATTGGAACATGCATATTTTTATTTGTGCATGTTGCTGAATTTTACATAAGAACATCAATACAAAAAAATAATAAGACTGATCAAAAATGAAACAAATGCCCCCTTAAAATGTCACGTCACATAGAATTCCCCCTGTTGTTTCTGTTAAGAAACAGAAAATTATTGATATTTGAATATTAATTTTTTTTTAACTACAAAGAAAACATAAAGTCACCATCATGAATTCCTTGGTTGTTCACCTTGAGGACTGAGGTGTCACTTTCAAACAGTACCATAGATCCGTTTTCTGATTCTCAATACACTTAATAAATGCATGTAGTTTTAACATCCTATGACATTGACAATGTTATTGGGACTGCTGGAGTTAGCCAACGACCTCCTCACTCATCATGTAAGGCATAAAAACATCTGTATCTCACACATTCACCAAGAAACTACCAAAAATGTTCACAAATAATGTTTCATTGTGAACAAAACGTATTGCCAAGTAAGTATGCACATCGAATGAATTTCTGGCATCCTATGTTAATTTCTCCTTTTAATTATTTTGGCCCAAATTTAGGTCCTGCTAAATAAATCTAACGCTCTGAAATAAACAATTATGACTGAAGACTTACATCTATGCGATGAAGTATCGAACAGGTTATTGTCGGTACAAAGTCGATGGTAAGCTGTCAACATGAAAATGTAGATGAAAAGAAGGGAATAACAGCAGCATGACAATTTCAGCCGTGACGGTGATGAAAACATCTTTCAAAAACACCCACCTTTGAAAACACCATATGTCTCGGTTTGTGGTTTCGATCCATATTTATTGTTCCAGAATTGATGGTCATTCTTGCCTAATAAAATCCCGTGCATAACGGTTGTTACTTCAATGAGATACCATGAAGCACAAGTCAGTTCGGCATCCTCGCTACATCACGGAAGTGGGAAACTGTCTGCTTCGGAAAGCCCCTTACGACCTCAACACGCACCAGCTCATGTGGTATTTGCCTCACAACTATTAAAATACTCATATTTACAGTGGTCGTCTGCTGATGATGGTTGAACATCAAATAAGAAAAATCTAAATTTGTCCTTGATACCAATCATAGTCTAATTGACAAATTTTGGTATGCAAAGAGTTTGAAATGTGGCATTACCACAAACTCTCAAAACACTTGGCATATTTTTTGCATAAATGTATATGTGTACTACTCAGTCTTTTTTTATGAAGAAAAAAACACAGGTAATGATATTGCAGGCTCGAAGGAAGGAATTTCATAGTGAGGGGTTTGATCCTGAGCCTATATATCAATCGGTAGGGGGAGGGGAAGTCCCAAACCATCATAAGGATTTGTTATACACAAGGAAGAGAATATATGGATGTCAACTTCTTTATTATGAGGAACACAATGTTTCGGGGTATTGCTTACTCCTTCATCAGGTGAATGAATGCCATGAGGTAGAGAGCATATATATGTACATGTAAGGACAACAAAATTAATAAGATAACAAAAGAGGGAAAATAACAAAGGGTCGAGCCTAACAAGGGAAGCCAACAGATGATTGGCACTGATAGGTGATTAGCAATACACAATGGAAGCCAACACTTTACTGTAATTAGCGCTGATACTTATGGTGTATATATATGTTCTCTGCCGCATTGCATTCATTCACCTGATGAAGGAGTAAGCATATACTCCAAAATGTGTCCCTCATAATAAAGAAGTTGACATCCATAAATTCTCTTCCTTAAGTGTATCACTTCTAAATGCCTTTCAAAGACCTTTGTTATACATGTTTTTAAAAATCTGTAGAGTAACACAATAATTCATGTGAAATATATACCGTATTCAGTGTAATAAGCGCCCCGCTCTAATAAGCTCTAGTTCCAGGCTGTCAGCATAAACCACGAAATTTATGATTGTTTTTCACCAAAATAATATTCTAAGATGAGCCCCCTATTTTTAATTTTGAGAGCGCCCTGGGCGCTTATTATGTTGAATACGGTAGTAACCAAAAAAAGGGGAATCTGAATAGTACTGATATCTGCAGTGTTTATACTTAAGGTAGATTTATTACAGTTGCAATCTGGAATGCAATTATACTTGGTGCAAGTAAACCTGGAGCCCTGGAGCCATTCACTACTATCAGTCACATGCCACAGAATTCCCCTCACACATCTGTGTAATTTGACTGGATGGCTATTTTAAGCGTTGAGTCATTAGCATCCGCATTGACATGAGATATTGCAGTAAATGGTAGCCAGGGTACTGATAATTAAAGACTGCATGTATAATGCATTTGTTTATTGAGGATATTGGTGATACAAGATATCATTTTGAAATCATCTCTTCATTTACAACACTACAACCTAGAGGAGTGTTTCACATGTATGAGCTAAGAAAAAATATACATGTCATTATACACTGCAAGATTACAGTGATAAAAAAAAAATATAAAAATAAACAAAGTTTATATTTATAACCTTGGTTTGTCATTGAACATTAACATCTAAATGAAGATTAAAGACGTGTCTTTTGTTTCTCTAACTAAATTAAATATTGAATTTGAAAATTGAGAAAACAAGCATTTATCATTTTGAATGTAAAAATGTTATCTTTTGTTCAAATCATATTTATAATAATTTCATTTTTTCTGAAATGCAGTAACTGTTAATAAATATATGTCTAAAATGTATTCCATCAAATGTTTATTATATTAAGTGTAGAAAAATATATTTCCTTGATTTATTTTTGTAGGATTTTAATAAATAAGAATGCAGAAAAGAGGTTAGATTTGCACAAGTCTCTAAGGAAATGATTATTAGTTTTAGTCATAATTTCTAGATTATATGAATAATATGAACAAGTTCTCCCTATAAAAGACTGGCGTCCTTGTATTGTCGATTATCCAGACTTGCAAATAGAAGGATAGAATATCATACATCCACTGACTTATCTTTCAGTATGTTTTTTGAGCAAAGCTAAAAGGAGATTAAAACGACTACAACTACAACTGTTCTCAGAAAACAAAATAACATTAAGCTCTAACCAACGAATTGAGTAAATTTCATGTACAAACACGAGAAAAGGGCAAAATGAAAGTAAATTCCTTTCAACAGTTTGTTTCAGTAAAAATTGGTCAGATATAAAAAATAAGCCCATTTAAAAGTTCTTTCACTTATTTGGTGAATAGAGTGAAAATAGTATGAAATAAGACCATTGACATCATATTTGTCGCCATGAATTAATGCAGAGCCTAATGCATTGGAGACTACTCGTGTATTCTTGTTATTAAAAAAATAACTGTGATGAAAACAGAAGCTTTCAGGGAACTAGTTTCATATATGACTAGTTGTTAGGAATATATTTTTGCTTGCTTTTATAGTGTTTGGCTGAAAAAAGAACATCGACCTTTATAAACTTATTTCATATGATGATTAAAATATTTTCATGGTACCTTGAATTTCAACACTCATCTTAAAAATATATATAAAGTTTCAATATTTCTCCCATCATTCCTTGCTGACCGCCATTTTCTTCGGCGGCACGTTTCTCTGTTCTGGACAATAACTTAAGTGGTTAGGACGCTAAATTATTATCATGGGGGACAAAATTGATATGAGTTTAGATGACATCATTAAGTTGAACAAAAAGCCATCACGCGGGGGTCGGGGTGGTCAAAGAGGGGGAGGGGGTGGGGGTAGAGGCAGGTCAGTCCGTGGGGCACAGCGAGGCGGTGCACGACGCAGTCAAAGAGGTGGTGGAGCCGCCGGTGTTTTTCGAGGAGGCATCCAACGCAGAAATCGTCCACAGAATTTCCAGAGGGTACAGTATATTTAAAGTCTAACGTCAGTTCAGGGTAATTTTCCACTAAAGACTGAGGCTTTTTAAAAATTGAACGACAGTGATTGCTTCATCGAGAAACCATTGTTATTTACAGTGGGGAAAACGAAGACACAACGTTTTTCACTTTTTTGGCAACAGGTAGGCTAGCCAGAGCAATTCCCATACGACATTCGCATTCCCTCAGAAGAGAGAAAGAGATTAAGACACCACCATTTTTGTTGTCTCATTTATTTATTAACTTGCAACCTTTCCTTTTCGTAAATTATCAATAATCAATGATAATCAAATCTCAACAAAAGCGTGGAAATGGCACATTAAATACAGACAAAGAATATTTTTCATGTACCAGTCAGGTAACCAGAACTACCCCTTTTGAAATGATTGCTAGAACAGAGATTTCAAAGGACATGAGCACAAATGTCACTCATCCTGGAGACCACATTAGAAACTAGTATTTATCGTTAAGTTCCCTATTGTCATATAACACCTTTTTCGAACAGCCGTATTGATATCGAGAGGCATGACATTATCGAAACTGCCACCTTGAGAGTGCACACATTCAGCCTGTCAACATTTTGTTAATCTGAATAACCATGCACCTGTCAGAACATTCTGTCATCATTCAGTATTGTGGTGCCTGTATCTATTCCATCTTGGAAACCCTACTCAAGTACCGTACCAATCGCATGTTTGAAAATAGGTGGCAAGTAAAAGTTCACAAAGGATGCAATGGAGGTTACGTCTTGCCTTTCATTTAGGATTTTTTCTTTCAGAATTTTGCTGAATTCTATTGTTGAAGACATCACCTGCTGGCATGAAGCAGAATTTGAGTTTTAATTTTACTTTGATAGAGAACCTCTTTGCACCGAGATTTGATAAAAAGTCAGTTTCTAAACAATTTGCCTTCATTATCTACCACCTTGATACAAAAAATTTGATTTGTTCTCAAGAAAATCCCTCTCAGGATTCTGATTGACAACTCACTCAAAACCCTGGACTGAACCAAAGCTGCTTCACTCAATATATTGGCTAACACCAAAGAGTTTGCATTTTATTTAGTCATGGTAGAATGGAGATTAACATGGTTTGTTTTTAATGTAGAGTTAGGTATCCAGTAGATTTAAATTTTAATATTTGAAACCTCACGCTGTGCTTTCAGTTCCCAATTCAATTTAGCACAATTTAGCACGTAACCTAGCTCTGCATTGAAAATACAGTATATTTATTTCCTAATTTCATTTTAGACATGCACCACAGCATTGCTACTCTCTTGTTAACAGGTCACTAAACAATAAATAAAACTTCATTTGTATTCTGTCTATTTTATGGACATTATCTACTCACTTACAATTTAACTTAATCTTAAACAATTCAATGCATAGGCCAATGCTCATGCTACCAATCACTGGCTTGTCTGGTCCAGACTAGATTATTTACAGACCGCCATCATATAGCTGGAATTTTGCTGAGTGCGTTGTAAAACAAACAAACAAATAGTAGTCTTCAGCATGTTCAGTAACTTCATAATCCTCATCATTACTGTCAGTTTCATTTAATTCATTTGAAGATGAACTTGAAAATGTATGTTTCAAATTTGACCAAATTGCAGATTCATGTTCATGGGCTTATATTTCTTCATGGCTGATACTTGAAGATCACATGATCCAAGAGTAGTCGAAACATTTTGCTTTTTCTCAGATTTGCACAGTGGACAAAAAAGTTTGCGATCGGCAGTTGTTTCATTCACGATTATTTCCAGCCATGGGTACGACATGTACAATGTTTGCCAAGTTTTCTCAGTTGAACTTTGTAGTTTAGAACCACCTGTGAGACTACAGCATGACGAACAAGTGACACTAGTAAGCAGTTCATTCAATATTTGTGCAGGAATTTCATGACTTGTCTGTTTAAGCGTCGCCGGCACAGTCTTGTTTTGTAATCAAACTTGTGATTGATTTCTGAGTCGCCGTGTTTTAGATACATGCAAAATACACATGTATTTCTCGCCGATCAGATTTAACAAAGGGGATTCACTGCAGGATACCGTTTCCTTAGCTTTCCGGACTGTGCCATAAAGGACACATAATAATATTAATTGTACTTACAGCCCGTCAAGAGCAGTTATGGGTGTCTGTTATTTCATCCATCAATCATGACTGCTGTCCACATTATCCCATTGGGGCGGTCGGGTAGCCTAGTTGTTAAAACGTTGGCTCGTCACGCCGAAGACCCGGGTTCGATTCCCAACATGGGTACAATGTGTGAAGCCCATTTCTGGTGTCCCCCGCCGTGTTAATGCTGCAATATTGCTAAAAGCGGCGTAAAACCAAACTCACTCACTCACACCACATTATGATTGATTCATTCCAGTCTTTAAAGTAATTATCAAAATGTACGGTACACGACAGCAATTCATGAATATACAGCTCCCAATATTGTCTGTAAGGAATCTTAAACTTAATTATTTGGGGTTCCCTGGATCTCCCCCTTTGTATGTTGAGGTAAAACCCTGTGCACAATTAAACCGTTTTGCGTATCGACTTGCACTAAAGCACAAATTATTTCCTCCATTGTGTTTTTCCTGCTTCATTTTATACATTTGAGTGTTTATACCTTTGAGTTTTTTATTTAATGCATGCATTTCTGTACGCAAGTTAATTGAAAGTAATTTGGGGGCATGTTTTATGCATTGCTTATCTGTAGTACTGATACCTGGTTGATGAAAATAATCACACGTAATGTTGTGAAAACATTTAGCTTGACACTAAATGAGTTCTCATTCCTTGCCTTGTTTGTTTCAGACAAAGGAAGTGCCTGATGTTTGGCAGCATGACATGTACGATGGCGGTATGGGTGCCAAGAGAGGTCTTGTCGGAGGTCGCCTGGGAGGTGGCGGAGGAGGAGGGGGTTCAGCGCAACAAGGGAAGCTTCTAGTATCAAATCTTGACTTTGGTGTAAACGACTCTGATATTCAGGTAATTATCCAGGCTTCGATTAAGAGAACTTGATTTCACTTGCTCCAGGTGCTTGTTGACATGACAACCTAGTTGCACCAGTCAAAACCGGGTTGCACCCTGTTCCATAATTTATGGAAGTTGAAGCATAGGCAAGTCTTCTGTCAGTGTCAGTAAATTAATAAAGTATTGCTGTAAAATGTTACAGGAACATGTGCATATATTCTGTTAGTGTCCACAGTTTGATGACATCAAGCCCAACAAAGCATGACAAATTACACTCACTCACTCACTCACTGTTTGGCTTACCATTTTGTCCTGATGGCATGGGGTGTTCATTATGCTAGTTGGCTCACACTACAGGCCACTGTGATGTAGCTTCACATTCACTTGCGGAGTTGTGTCCCTTTGGCACGTCGGAGACCTATGATTGTGGGTTCATATCACAGTTCGATCCAATTATGTTTCTAGATTTGTCAGCACCATACCCATACTCACAGGTTTCACCAAAGTGGTAAATGTCTGAGGCCTGCATCGCTTTGGGCTTTCCTTCGTAAGAGGCGACTAACAGGATCGGGTTGCTAAGTTCGCTGACTTGGTTGATGCATGTCATCCTATCCTAATTGCGTGGATCAATGCTCATGACATCAGTGACTGGATTGGTTGGTCCGGACTTGATTATTTACAGACCGCCGTCATATAGCTGGAATATTGCTGAGTGTGGCGTAAACAAACCAAAAACAAACTTTAAGCTGATGGAACTGAAATACTTTTGAAAGCGGTATTAATCCTAACTCACAAGTGTGAAGCCCATTTCTGGTGTCCCCCGCCGTGATATTGCTAGAATATTGCTTAAAGCGGCGTAAAACCATATTCACTCACATAGATTTCAACAAAAGATTTATGACAAGTTGGACTTAACTGACAAGCTCCACCATTATTAATTATCTCTTGATGAAACTTTCTACGCAGATCAGTTTAGTGGTGAACTGGTGCCTTTTGTAGACCTGGCTAATAAGATCGATAATTGGAATTATCGTCGATGGGAAGAAATATTAAAGATTATCTACATGAAATTGTCATCGATAATAACTTGCATAAACTATTGTGATGAAATAAAGTTTAGATTTACCCAAACAGACTTGTTATTGTTGATCATGTCAATTGTCAAAGACGGAAAGCAACTGTTTTTGTTATATTTCAATATCCACAATGTAATCCATGCTTAAACGTCCCTGCTCTCCAGCTCTCCTGCTCTCCTAATGATCAAATATCACTGGATTCAGACTTGATTACATTTCAGGCTGCTGTCATATAGCTGGAATATTGCTGAGTGCGGCGTTAGACAACAAACAATATATTACGTCTTGACCTAAACTGGAAATGGGCACCAGATTGTGGATCGTTATCTCCCTCAAGATTACAAAATACTGTTTCTTAGTGCTTGTTAGTTCAGCATACTCAAATGAAATTTCATTTTTGTGTTGTGTAATTATGACGATGGTACTCTGTTGCTGTTGCAGGAATTGTTTGCTGAGTTTGGTCCATTAAAGAAGGCAGCAGTTCATTATGACAGATCAGGTCGATCTCTAGGTACTGCAGAGGTGATCTATGAAAGAAGAAGTGATGGAGTGAAGGCCTTAAAACAGTACAACAATGTACCTCTTGATGGTAAGTAAGCTCTAGCATGGCCTGTAGCTGCATTGAATGAAGCCCTGTTGGATTCAGCGGCAGATTAGCTTCCAAGTATCCCATTCTTGTCATAACACAGACCGCCTTTGTGGCCTAGTGGTTGAGCGTCCACCCAGAGAGCGGAAGGTTGGGAGTTCAATCCTCTGCAGCGTCAACCCAAACGATGTTAAAAGATGGTATTTGTTGTTACCCTGTCTGGCGCTCGGCCTTAAGGGGCTAATACTATGGGCTGGCACTATAAATCGGCATCAGTCTGGACTTGTACAAGCAGACAGATGTAGTGCAACTACCATATTCAACGTAATAGGTGTCCAGGGCATTCTCAAAATTAGAAATAGAGGGCTCTTATTAGAACATAATTTTTGTGGGGAAAAAAAGGTTGAAAGAACTCAAATTGTGGTTTATGCTGACAGTCGAAATGATGCAAAAGAAAAGTCTGTGCGTATTATACACAACAGATATATTTTTCCAGAATTTAATTGCCCATGATTAAGGGTGCATCTAACACATGAGTACGTATTATGCAAGAATAAATAAGTCTTATGTGCATTGATCAATCGGAATGGGTGCTAATTGGGATTGTTCACTAGCCAATATATATGTAAATATCACTTATTACGTCGAATAAGGTATTCTATTTTCAATATACCCCACTGACATGTAAGATACATTCCTTATATTCCCTACTCAAATTGCCCAACTGTTGGCATTACATTTGCAACATACAAACCACAATTTCGTATCTTGAATTAATGATGTAAGGCGCCAATTGCTGGATATTTACAATATTTTCCGAATATTTCCCCAAAATTTTCCGAATGAAATTGATCTAGGGGGAATAACTCAGTTATTTTGTCATCTTCTACAAATGCCTAACTGTAATATTCTTACTGATTCGGATCAAAGCATGCATGCTTGCATAAGACATTCAGTGTACAGTGTAAATAGGTGGGGTCAAGATGATTTGTCCACAGGTCCCTCAGGTCACGTAATCATCAGGGTACATCAACCCATGTCCCCTTCGAGACAGTTGGACAATTAAGGTTATCTCAGGCCTCTTGTTCTATGAAACAGCTGCCTCCGTGGCCTAGTGGATGGAATGTCTGCCCGGAGAGCGGAAGTTCGGTGGTTCGATCCCGAGTCAAATCTTACTAATAGATGTTAAAAGATGATACTTGTTACCCATGGGCTTGGCATTTAGGGGACAAAACAAGGACTAGTCGTATGTACCTGTATCTGGTGTGCCTGGTTTCACAGTGGGCCTGCACTATAGAAACGTCATTAGTGCAGACTTACAAAACGAAGATCGTAACAAAATACTAAATTTTATTTGGTAAAGTTGGTAGCTATGGCTTGTTATCTTTTCAAGGGGCGGTAGTTAAAAGCGTTTGCTCGTCATGACGAAGACCCGGGTTCGATTCCCGACATGTACCCATGTCGGGAAACGAACCCGGGTACATTGTGTGAACCCCATTTCTGGTGTCCCGCGCCATGATATTGCTGGAATATTGCTAAAAGCGGTGTAAAACCATCCTTACTATCTTTTCAATGTTGAGAATTCTTTGAAATGGGGAACATAAACTGTTTCTCCTGTTATTTGATTGTTTCATTCATACAAAAGGAATTCTTGATTCACCCCTCATGATATCAATCACTGGATTGTCTGATCCAGACTCGATTATTTACAGACCGCTGCACATAGCTGGAATATTGCTGAGTGCTGTGTTAAACAACAAACCAACCAACCAACTTGATTCACCCTCTTTGTACTAAACCACTGTGGTGAATGACCAATTTGTGTCAGTGTAGTGAGAATTCTGAACCCATGAGACTGTTTAGCAACTATCATGTCTTGTTTCAGGTCGTGCTATGAACATCCAGCTGGTTGGCCAGGCAGCAGGGGAGACAGCCAGGCCAGCCTTCACCGGGGGGAACAGACAAGGGGGAAGGTAGGCATGGCAATACGTTCAATGTGGAAACTGAACAAAGTACGGATTACTTCCCTTTGCTAGGATCCTTGGAGCTCAGTAAGCCTTAGTGACATGTATATTTTTATTGGTGGAATCTTAACCTTCAATGGTGCCAATGATCGAATTAAGGATTACTTCTCTTTGGTAGTGACTATTCGTGTAAGGTCGTAAGCTTTTGGAAATAAAATTATGTTCTTTAAATGTTTATGCAACGATGTAGAGATACATACGGCCAGGACTGGTCAACTGATATCAGAGGTTCAAAATCACTTCCTGCCTATTCCATGTTTAAGACGGATATAATACCAGAGATGTATGTGACAGTGATTCAATCTATATGTTTACGCAGATGTTTGGCAAAGTTCAGATGTGGTAAAGGTACCCTTGACATAGTTATTCAGACATTCCGAAGATAATGATATCTTAACATCGATGTGTTCTTAATGCAAATATTACCAAGAAGATGAATACCATGTGTTTTAAAATGTCATGTTTATGAAGGTTTAAGAATCAAATACTATAGTTATACGTATCCAAAACAAGGAATACTTATACAGCTTATGAACAGCAAAAATAGACACATTCTTCACAGACTTGCAATTTTTGTCAGTGTTACATTGAATATTAATGAACCTCAAATGTGATTTTCTATTCAGATCCAATATACAAATGGTGCTCCATGACAAATTTACCAATAACAAAATGTCATCGGCGTCATGGACGAATATTCAAAACAAATCTGTTTGTAAGCCTTTGTTGTGGTCAATTACATTAAGCATGTCTTAAGATAGAGTTGTCATGTTGTAGTTATGGCGGCAGCAGCAATCGAGGGAGCAACAGAAGTCGAGGTCGCAGCCGAGGTAGAGGGGGGTTCGGTGGCAGAGGTCGGGGGAGAGGGCAACAGAAGACACCTACAGCCGAAGAGCTGGATGCTCAACTTGACGCATACAATGCTAAGGTGTGTGTATGTCACTTTATGTGTGTAAACTTGTAAAGATTAATGGAATGCAACTGAGGAATAATGTTTCCTATTGATCATATAGGTCATTGATTGAAATGTTGAGAATACTATTCAACATTTGCAGAATACTACTGAACATTTGCTGAGAACCAATATAGTCAACTTCAGTTAACTGCGTGGTCATTAGCAAATGTTGAGTTGTATAGTATCTGGTGTGTTCATTTTGGCAACCAATGACTGGTCATCTGGATAAAGCCCTAAAAAATAGTGTTACCATTATTATAGCTAAAATGGATAGAATTTGTTATCAAATAAAAATAAACAACAATATCGGTTTTAAGACATTCAACACGAAATTCACTGACCCACTTCTACAAATATGGAAATCTCAGAGAACAAACCAGTTGACTTCACAATTAAACGTGACGTTCCCTATCCCTATGACGTCACCTTACAACGGGCGTGATAATGGCCCGTTGTCAAGCAATATGAGGGCATTATCAAGTTACAGTGGCCCGCTCATTTCTGATAACATGTGGGCGGCCTGATGATAATTCTATCCATTTCAACTATAAGGTATGATATAACTGAAATGCTCTTCACTCGCACATAACTATACTGTTGATTGGTTGTTTTCAGATGGATGTTGATTAACAAGAACCCGGTGATCTGGCTGGAATACTTTAACAGATGGCAGATACAATTCACAACAAATAAGCATAACTACCAAAATGTCAAAATGTTTCTTGAAGTTTTGGTTTACGCAGGTTTCTGTCTTACTGTACAAACTGTCTCCCATGGTTTTGTATTTTATCACCGAACAAAGACCTTTCTAATCATGCAAAACAAAATTTTATGGTAAATAGCACTTATAGGAACACAGGTGCTGACAGTTTTAGAATTGTACAGTTGAAGTATTTAATGTTTTATCCTCATCAAACGTACTCATTGTTTGATACAGTCAAACAAAATAGTTTGTGTGGTATCCAATGAAATAGGTTTTGAATTGTTCCAGTTGAGATAATTACTGTACTTAAGTTTATTTTTCACTCTGGGAAACCATGCATATTATTTTGTTTGTAATCCATATAGTTCCGTTCATTTGCATCTTATGTGACTGTGTGCTTGTGAGGTGAATCTGTGGTACGCATGTTGTCCGTGTGAATGGTTGCTCCATCATGTCACTGTAGCTTCTATTGAAATCAGTTACGATCGAGAGAATCTCATCAAATTCATTGGTTTTTAATTGACCCAGTTATTTTATAGGGAGAAAATAGACACTAAGTGCTGAATCATTTCTGTCCATTCTAGCATGACCCTCAGCCCATTGTATATGAAGAATTGATTTCTTAGGTACTTGTTTCACTTGTCAGTCCAATGTATGAATTGATGCAGGATAAATACTATATTTCTTCCTAAATATGACTTGTTTTCCTTGTTTAGAACCTGAATTGTTTTTTTGCTCCTAAATCACTGCATATCTGGGGGTTCAATGTGTCTAGCATGGTGCATGATACAGTTCTCATCAAGATGACCCTTCCTTGTATGTAAGTTTGAAAGGTTTCCTACTGACCTGTGGAGCATTGTGGACTGAATGATTCATTTGAGTCTTGGAGTAACAACTCTGCAGAAACTCTACCAAAATTATGATGGGCGGTCGGGTAGCCTGGTGGTTAGTGTTCGCTTGTCAAGCCAAAGACCCCAGTTCGATTCCTGACACGTGTGAAGCCCATTTCTGGTGTCCCCCGCTGTGATATTGCCAAAAGCGGCATAAAACCATACTCGCTCACTCACTCACCAAAATAATCAAGATGACATAAAAGAAAACAGTTATAATAATAATCACAATGATGAAAGGTCTGCAGTTTCACATTTTTGAAGTAGGTTTGGGTGTGTGCTCTGGCTCTGTAGGTTTGAAGACACTAATCTATGCACCTGGAAAATTGCTAAGCACATCACATGTTTTATTTCATATGTCCTGAATTTCAGTGAACCGTTTGGAAATATCTGCATAATGTTGAAACCGTGATGTGTTTATGCAAAGAAACATTTGAAAGGGTAGTCAAATTATATGGATTGTAGTAAGCGGTCATCCATGACACTGACAGAAGGTGTTGCAGATTAAACAAAGACTGGTTGTTTCAGAGATGGTATAATGTATAGGAGTCGGGTATTCATGTAAAAGTGTGACACCATGACACATTAGTACATATCGTGCAATATGCGACATTAAACCCCGCATTTAAACTCACCTCTCACAATTTGATGAAGGGTTTCAAGTTAGGTGGCATCAGTCAAATTTCAGTTCTTTTCAGGTGAATTCCACATATTTGTCACTGAAACATACCAGACCCACCACCATGTCTGCCATGTTCTGACACCCGATTAGAAACAGTTCAGTTTGATATGCCAACACAATGATCATCAAACAAATTCATCAGCAATTAGAACCCACTTTGCATTGAAGTGCATTCCAGACATTATCTCCAGACTGCATAGACTGGGGTGGCAACATGGCGGGTCTCCCAGTTCTAGATTTGACTGATGAAGTCTATCAATTGTAGCATTGCAAAATTCTTCCTTGACAATTGAGGTTCCAATGATGGTAAAGTTCTTTTGTTTCCCCCCCCCCCACCTGTATTTTTTACCTGCATATTATGTGTTTATATTACCTATCCACTCAACGTGTAAAACGTGATCTGAACCAGATTACAAACGGGTCTTCCCCAATATTACAGAGCACACCAGCACTCTATGACCAGGAGGTTGGATACAGGTAGCACCAGCACACTATGGCCAGGGGGTTGGATACAGGTAGCACCAGCACACTATGGCCAGGGGGTTGGATACGGGAAGCACCAGCACACTATGGCCAGGGGGTTGGATACGGGTAGCACCAGCACACTATGGCCGGGGGGTTGGATATGGGTAGCACCAGCACACTATGGCCAGGGGGTTGGATACGGCTAGCCACAGCACACTATGGCCAGGGGGTTGGATATGGGTAGCACCAGCACACTATGGCCAGGGGGTTGGATACGGGTAGCACCAGCACACTATGGCCGGGGGGTTGGATATGGGTAGCACCAGCACACTATGGCCGGGGGGTTGGATATGGGTAGCACCAGCACACTATGGCCAGGGGGTTGGATATGGGTAGCACCAGCACACTATGGCCAGGGGGTTGGATACGGCTAGCCACAGCACACTATGGCCAGGGGGTTGGATATGGGTAGCACCAGCACACTATGGCCAGGGGGTTGGATGTGGGTAGCACCAGCACACTATGGCCTGGGGGTTGGATATGGGTAGCACCAGCACATTATGGCCGGGGGGTTGGATATGGGTAGCACCAGCACACTATGGCCAGGGGGTTGGATACGGGTAGCACCAGCACACTATGGCCGGGGGGTTGGATATGGGTAGCACCAGCACACTATGGCCAGGGGGTTGGATACGGCTAGCCACAGCACACTATGGCCAGGGGGTTGGATATGGGTAGCACCAGCACACTATGGCCGGGGGGTTGGATATGGGTAGCACCAGCACACTATGGCCAGGGGGTTGGATATGGGTAGCACCAGCACACTATGGCCTGGGGGTTGGATATGGGTAGCACCAGCACACTATGGCCAGGGGGTTGGATACGGGTAGCACCAGCACACTATGGCCAGGGGGTTGGATACGGGTAGCACCAGCACATTTGGTCCAGTGGGTTCAATACCGGTAGCAATGCTTCTGCGCATTACAATATGGATACTACTCGGATGAACACTTTCAAGCGTTATGATTATGCATTCAAGGATATCACACATGCTGTACTATCCCATACCGGACCACACAAGGATTTTTCCATTTTGCCTTTCCTATCCTATACAGTTTCAGTCATCAACAGGTTATTAAGGCGATCCACGCTAGGATATTATTACCTACATATAATGGGTCCGTCTACAAGACTCACGAGTCTCCCTTCCCAGTTGACTGGATGAGGAATATTGCCAGCTTGTCACGAAACCTGCAACCAGGATGCAAATTGACGAGTTCAAGGACTTTGACACTGGATCATATATAGATTGGTTTGCGGCAGGTTTTGACCATCTGTTGCCTTGAGTATACTGGTCAACTTGTTGGCACCAAGATTGAAATAAAATTGGATGAGGTGGGAATCATCCACAGTGCCGAATTTGCAGGAGGATATTTCGTCTGCCCAAGTGTGGATGTCTCCCAGATCCTTCTTACGTAATGGCAGCATCATCGACATCAAGTACACCGTCAGTTTCTTGAACCACTCAAACTGAGCATGCACCTACAAGCCGTCATGGCACCTGAAAAGTCGATTGCAGTCTGTCATAAACAAAATTACATGTTCTTCCAACCAGAGATTTCAGACAATAAATTTGGCATAAATTATGCATAAACGTCCGGCAGAAATTCAAAGGCATCAGGATCCACCAAAACATAGGCATGTGTCGTCAGGGTGGGTCCCTTTTGATGCTAAAACATGGAGAAACAAGTCATCACGGCCATATACTAATTCCAGCAGAGATGAGCCTAGCCTCCTACAACATGATAGAGGACGTGGAAGACCCACCTACAGAGGTAGAGGGCAACATGACTGCACCTTCTGTTCAACCAAACCCTGTCGACCTGGCTTGGTTATTGGATCTCAAATGCGGGTCAACTTCGACTCCTTAAATGTGCAAATAGCTCCTTTGACTAGTAGATAGTGTGTTTGTAAAAATTTGGGTCTTTCCAGATGAAATCACGCCCCACAAGTGCTACACAATGATTGAAAAGTACTTTGTAACCTTCTTTCAGAACGTTTAATACGTACATCATGTAGTCATGGAGGCTGTATTGCTGCCAGCTACATCGACACATCAGTGATACGACCATTTTCTTAATAACATGAAATCATTTGAATTTATGACCAATAAAATTAACAGAACAGGTCACCAAAACTGATTACACTTCAAAAACATATTGTCCATGAAACACCATGGGAAATCGCAATGAATCGTCTTCACAGAATCAACTGAGCAATAAAATGTCCACCATCGTGCAAGTAAATCCTCAAGCATGTCCAATTAGATTATAATCTTGTTATATATCATGACATGAGTAACAATTAGTATGCTAGAGATTGGCGTAGTCATATTTAAATCACAAATGCAATACAAAAATGATGAAGCAAAGACTATAAAGACAACCTCTTCGGTAATAGCGACATATACGTGCGTGATGCGTGAAACACTATTCAATATGCAGCATTTTCGTGAAGACTTTTGGTCGCGTAAATGTGACTGTGGTGATTGTCTCCATGCGATAACTGGAAATAACGTTCTCTTTGCGGACTACAAAGTCATCCAGGGCCCTGGCAAGGTTAGTGACAAACTCCTTCATGGGATAAGAGGAAAAATCTGGAACTTCTACTTCTGGTACCTTGGGCTTATGGTTATTGAATTGCTGGAATCGAAATGTTTTTATTTTGCCGAGGACAATGTCCCTCTTCGGCTTGGCTGGTCTTGACAGACGACGAAGGAGGGATACCTGAGGTATGATTTTAGCGGGCTGTGCTTTAGCTGTCGTAGTCTTACTGGCATCACTTATTTCAGATGACATCTTAGATGCCTCCCTGAGCATATTCATGGCTCCCTGTACACGGTAGTACTTCTTCAAGATGTCAAAGAATGCAGGTTTCTTCTTATGATAGTTCTTGCCTCTCAGTTTCTCAAAGCTGTACCTCTTGTTGAGTTTATTTGCATCAAACAAGGAGTCTTCTACTTCCGAGTCCTCGTCTGATTCTATATCCGCAGATTCTGTCTCCAGGTCCGTGTCTCTCCCAGACTCTCTCTCTTTCTTCTTGAAGAGAGACACCCCTGACTTTGATCCTGAATTTGTTCCAGAAAGTTTCTTTGAGGACGAAGAAGATTTTGCCCGACCAGACGACTCCCTGCTAGAAGGGGAGTTAGGTTTCAGACCAGGACTTGTGAGTGATGAATGAGACGAGTTCTTAGGGCTATCTTTCATATCTAATGACTTTTTCTTCTTATCTGATTGCTTTGCTTGGAAATCATTGTTACCTTCGGACAGGCCATTGGTTGGTTCTGCAATGACCGGGACTTTCCTTTGCCGTGAAATATGTCCCCCTAACGGGAACACCTCCTCCTCTGCCTCATGTGTTTCAATACTTTCTCTAGCCAGGAGTGTGTTTTTGACAGCCGGGCTGTCTGTCACGCCACCTGCCTCCTCGGCAAAGCGAATCATATCTGCACCATTTCTACGATTCACAATCTGCATAATTGGTGATTCAGAACCCCCTGCTGATCTTGAGACACTTGATCGAGACGATTTCGTGCTGGAATCCACCTGTATGTCACTCGAATTTAACTTATACTTCTTCATCAGTTTCTTCTTCCTCTGTTTCCCCTTCTTGAATCTTGGATCATATTTATTCTCACTTTCCAGCCAACGAAGGAAAGTACAAAAGGATGGAGCATGGCTGAAATATCGCAAAAGAGGCATTTCTGGTTTCACTTCGTCCTTATACTCCAGTGGTTTGGGATGCTTCTTCTCCAGGAATTTCATCCTCCTCTGCACCTCCTTCAGTTCTTTCTCCCTTTTCGCCACCACCCTGTTCCTGTTCTTAAGAAGCTTCTCCCTGGCAGAGATGTTTTCATTATGTGTATCACATTCTTGGAGAAAATATTCATTCCCAGGGGGACTTCTAATATAAGTATACTTATCCAACTTCCAGTTTTCAAGACCTGCCTTTGTTCGTTCTGAGCAGGGAAGCTTAGCCAGGTTGAATTCCATTAGGGGTAGTCCCGTTTCAGAGCTGTCAGTGTTATCAGTGGTGGATTCGGAAGGTTGAGATCCAGGTGCTGCTGTTGGTGACTCGACTGTGGGTGTCTGCTGAAGCCGGTTCCTTGCCAATGCTTCAAAAACAGTGGGCATCTTTGACTGTCTCCTGGCACGCTGATTACCCGGTATTGGAGAGTTACGGTCCTGATCAGATGATCCACCTTTTGCTTTATGATGACTGGTCTTTTTCTTGGCTAACAGAAGCGAACTTTCTTTTATGAACGACTTTATCATGGTAGACCCACTATTATCAAACGGTGATGTGTTTACCAAAGCCGTTACAGGAATAGCTCTTACTGGTCCCTTGATACCAAGAAGACCACTATCGACAAGCTTTATATCCACTGTATCGACTTTAACAGACTTTGGCTGACGAACAGAAAACAGAAGAGGGTTGTCTCCGGAACGTTCCATTGTGCTTTTATCTCGAATCGGAGGTTTCGCAGAAGACTTGGGCATATACGGTATTCCTTCTGAGCTCTCTAAGCTTGAGGAGGTGTAGCCTGAAGAGGATAGTCCCCGCGATGACGTCAGACTGAACGGGTAGGCGGTACTTCCTGAAAGGTCCACCTCCATTGGGCGTGGGCGTCTGCCGTAGTAGGTGAAGTCTATCATGAGGTTTTCATGTATGACATCCTCTTTCTGAAAAATAAAACCATATTTTACCCACTGTTACAAAATATTAAGAAGAGCTAAGGTCACATTAAAGTTATATTGGTGTTGTGGTAGCCTATAGTTGTTAAAGCTTTGGTTTGTCAGGCGGAAAGACCGGGTACGATTTCCCACATAGTGATAACGTGTGGAGCCCATTTCAGTTCCCCGCCTTCGGTTTGTTGCTGGAATATTGCTAGAAGCGGCGTAATATAAATATTCTTGGGCAAAATAAAAACATTTCCATCTCACCAGTCACTGAACATCGTTGCCTACTGCTTCAAACAAACATGTCGCCAGGATGGAAAATATGAGTTCATATATTCAGGAAACCAGGATCCACTTGCACAAAGGGGCGTTAGAATAGCCTAGCGGTTAAAGCGTTCGCTCGTCACGCCGAAGCCCGGGTTCGATTCCCCAAATAGCTGTGGAGCCAATTTCCGGTGTATCTCGCCGTAATATTGCTGGAATAGTGCTACAAAAGCGCCGTAAAACCATACTCCGTGACTTGGTTTGAAGGATCTTCCATATCCATTAAATTACGATGGTTGCAGCGCTAATACGCTTTGTGCAAGTGGTCGAACTGTTTAGGGGAGTGATTCGTTCAACTAGACACAGATTTATTTTGATGAGGTAAGCTTCATAGTTTTGTACCAGTGGACACCGCCGTACTGTCCGAACTGTATCGTTTTAGACTGACTGCTGTATGTCTACTCTCACCTTTTGTGCGTCATCAAACCTGAAGCAGGCATGTTTCACCCGTGTGTTGGTGGTGTAGACGAAGGTGTTGTGACTGGCCAGCTCCTGGTCCCTCTCCATGGAGAACAACGTGGTCAGCAACAGCTCCAGTAGCTCCCCATTCATCACCCTCAACGAACACTCCTCGCCCCACGAGTTGGAGTACAGATAGTCCCAGAACGAGGCTGAAACAGATGTGACACGTCGTGTGATGTAACGAATGGATATGAGGAATTTGTAATAAATTGAGAAAGTCTCCCTCGATATCAAAGTACCGGAACCTTCAATGAATAAGGGGCGTGGGGTAGACTAGTGGTTAAAGCGTTCCCTCGTCACAACGAAGGTCCGGGTTCGATTCCCCACATGGGTATGTGTGAAGCCCATTTTTGGTGTTCCCCGCCATGATATTGCTGGAATATTGCTAAAAGCGGCGTAAAACCATACTCGTTCAACGAATAAAGTCTCATACGGTATCTGGGCAGCATTTCACATCTTGATCGTAAGAGCATGCAGTGAATGGTCGTTCATAATATAGTGATTATTTAATTGATGGTCATGCATGCATTCATGTAATGAGTGGTTGTATCTCGTATAGGATATATACTCCTCGAAACGATTGAGTGATTAATGAATTGAAGAGAAAATGTTTGACTTGTACGTTTAATATAAATTTATATGAAACATTATGGATGTTGGATGGTTATTGAAAGTTACTGACGAGTGGGACCCCGTGGACCAAGGCAACTGCCTCGACTGGACATGCTCCAGGCGGGGTAGATGATTGTCAGGTACAGTCCGTTTGACTCCAAATGAGAACGATGAATTGCAAAATAACTCGAAATCCAGAAAAGTGTATGAAACATCAATACGGTACTTGACCATGAATACCCTGTACCCAACAAAATCTGAATTTTGTTTATTTTAAGACCCATGACGGATGAAGTTCTTTAAGAAACTATCATGTAATTTTGTATAGAAATGTGTACATGACACGTAGGGGGACAAACCGTGGAAGGAACAGCGCAAGCACGGTCTGCACGTGCTACACAGTGACCGTGTTCATTCAATGACAAGATGCGCTACTCAGCAGATGTTAAACAGTTGATGTTGAATGTGTATGATTTCTTTAGAAGTGAAGCTGAAAGAGCAAAGCCTTTTTATGCAATTAATAAATTCTTGAAACGAGCTTCAAAAGCTCTTGGTATGTCCCCTCAGAAACTTAAAAAAGTTGTTAGTCGACGCGATACAAATAGTCAGACCAAGGAGGTAGGGAACATGTCAAAACCACGCAAGGTTGATAAATTAGACAGTTTTCAGAGGGATCAAGTCAGACGTGCAATTGTTAAACTGCACTCAGAAAATAAGTACCTGTCCCTAAGAATTTTGAAGAAACACCTTGAAACTGACCATGATTTACGTGTTACAAAGTACAAACTATGGCAGCTGTTGCATACATTTGGTTACAAACACAAAAAGATAACTGGAGAAAATAGGGCTGTGTTGTGTGAACGGTCTGACATTGTTCGTCTCCGAAATCATTACCTTCGTACCATCAAGCAGAAACGTGAAGAAGGATATGAGCCCGTCTCCTTAGATGAGACATGGGTAAATGCGTCACACATAGCCAGCAGTCAGTGGGTACCCAGTGGTGACTGTAAGGAGTCTGGTAGAAAGTTACCAATGGGAAAGGGTGAAAGACTCATAGTTCTCCATGCTGGTTCTTCTAGTCAGGGTTTTCTCCCAGACTGTGACCTCGTCTTTAGAGCCAAGGCCAAAGACAACAGGGACTACCACACAGAAATGAACGGCAATGTATTTCTGGAGTGGGTGGAAGATAAATTAGTCCCTGCTTTGCCGACCATGTCTCTCATTGTCATGGACAATGCACCGTATCATAGTGTGCAGGATCCAGAAAGCAATACTCCAACCTCTAATAACCGTAAAGGAGACATGGTTACTTGGCTTCAAGGGAGGAACATTACCTTTCCTTCTCGAGCGACGAAACCACAGCTCTATGAAATCATCAAAACTATGAAACCTGACCCCGTGTATAAAGTTGACAGTTACATCAAGGGTCAGGGTCACGCTGTCTTACGACTGCCACCTTATCACTGCGACCTGAATCCAATCGAGTTGGTATGGGGCATCGTCAAGGGTGACGTTGGACGATCGAACACAACGTTCAAATTACGAGACGTTGAACAACTCGTAAAGGAATCCCTTAGTCGGGTAACAGTAGAAACATGGAGGCGTTGTGTGGCCACAGTCGTTGACGAGATAGAGCCACGTTATTGGTCACGAGATGGACTACGGCCAGCAACAGTTCAACCTATAATAGCGGCAGTCGGTTCAGGCACCAGCAGTTCCGACGACGAGATCTATGGCATGAGCGAGTCAGATTGCGACTGAAATTATCATGAGACGGCCCCTATAACGCTCTGTCATTTCCCCTACCACAGAACGTGCAGTGCATGCGTGCTTGCGCTGTGCCTTCCACGGTTCGTCCCCCCAACGTGTCATGTACACATTTCTATACAAAATTACATGATAGTTTCTTAAAGAACTTCATCCGTCATGGGTCTTAAAATAAACAAAATTCAGATTTTGTTGGGTACAGGGTATTCATGGTCAAGTACCGTATTGATGTTTCATACACTTTTCTGGATTTCGAGTTATTTTGCAATTCATCGTTCTCATGCGAAGACAACTTCATCCCACAGAGGTTCAGTGGGGTTGAGGTCAGAGCAATTAGCTGGCGAAGACAGTAGCCGGATCTTCGCATTCCGAAAGATCTCCATTGACATACGAGCTGTTGGCTGACTGGCATTATCCTGTCAAAAATTGACGATCAATCTTACGGGCAAAGGGGAACACGACTAGCCTCATAACTCAGCATTTTTAAATATTTGAACACGAGCAGGTCATTCACCTGAGAGGAATTCATTAGTAGATGTAGATAACGACAGTACAGACATATGGTACAAACGCATCTCAGGTCACGGATTTGCTCACTGTCAAATTGTTTCTTGAATTTCGAAAAGTCGACCATTTTCGTCCATTTTAATGATTTGTGTATACTTGCACGTGACGGGGCGGTGGATCAGCCTAGTGGTTAATGTCGTTTGTCACGACGAAGACCCGGGTTCGATGACCCACATGGGTACAATGTGTGAAGCCCATTCCTGATGTTCCCCGCCTTGATATTGCTGGTTATTGCTAAAAGCGGCGTAAAACCACACACAATCTCTCACTCACTTGCAAAGATGCCTGATTGTTTTCATTGTGACCATTTTTTATAATTTAAACATAATTGTAAGATGTGACATCTCCAATTGACGAAAAAAGGACGACCTCACACTTTATGGAAATCAATACAAAGGGCAGACATTAGGCTGTGAAATTAATAACAGTTAATTATGGGATTTTCTATGTTATCAACTAATTGAATGTCAGAGGATTCCTGAAAAGCGTCGAGTCCCTACTTTTGTTTGTTGTTTAAATAATCGAGTCTGGACCAAACAATCCAGTGATTGACATCATGAGCATCGATCCACGCAATTGGGACGCGATAACATCAACGAGCCTGACCAACCGATCCCGTTAGTCGCCTCTTACGAGAAGCATAGTCGCCTGTTACAGCAAGCAAAAGTTGCTGAAGACCTATTCAAGATGACTGTGCATTCAGAGACAGTTAAAGGGGCAATCTATTCAACGATCTGGAACCCATATTCAGTCTAGGTATAGTCGTTGTAACTGAAATCTTGTCTCTTGAGTAACTGGGGTCTCCTTCACCTGATCGAACGGCATAATGAAATTTGAGTTGGCAGACAAACAAAATGGAGTTTGAGCGATTTAAATAACAGTAGAACCCTTTAATTATTTATAGAACCATTTATTGGCCCCTACCTGCGGAAATTTCCTGCCATCCTGGATCGGCCTCTGAGTTCATGTCCTCACAGAGGACAATGGACTGCAGGGGAAGGACAAATCTACTGCTAGCTTGATAAACGCCATGTTCGCCGTCCTTGACTTTGGTTCGTTCGAGGAACGGGTTGAGACGGAACCACACCCGCTTCACCCGACACCCGAACACGGTCCGGGCCTTGCCGTAATGGTGGTTCATGGTCCGTGTCTCTTCATGGTGTACCCTTCACAGAATCATTACTGCTTGTGAATGTCTATGACGTCAGCCCATTGTTAAAACGATGACGCTATTCTACTGTGACGTCATGACATGACTTCCGCTTGTGACGTCACGATATTACTGAAGCGCACATGGCAAAAATAGAACCGACAATTTCAAGATTCCTACCTCTACATGTGTTACCTTGAATTGTGTCAAAAAAAAACGTTTTAAAATATTCTGATCAACACGCCCTCATCGTTTATAATGTGTTTTTCGACATATCGACATATCAGGAATGAAACAAAGAGAATTAATTGAATTTTGTTAAAACAGGATCCGCTCAAGAGTTGGTTATAAATGTCCTGTCTTGGCCCAGACACTTGGGTTAAGAAATGATCGACTATTGAACTGCATAACAAATATATTGAGTTAGCGGACAAACAAAACATTTTAAGTGACTTAATTCAATCTTGTTAGAATTGCTAATTGACCGGAGCCTGGCCCAGCTAGTCTGCACGTATAATAAAACCCGTGAAGATCCGGGGTAGAGTAGGTCTTCAGAAACTCATGCTTGCTGTAAAAGGCGACTATGCTTGTCGTAAGAGGCGACTAACGGGATCGGGTGGTCAGGCTCGCTGACTTGGTTGAAGCATGTCATCGTATCGCACTAGCGAATGGAAACGCAACAATTATTTATCACAAAGATTATTATAAAACCTGGTACTAGCTGGTATGAATGAAATCCGGGACCATGTGAAATCTCGCTCAATATTTCCTTTGCTTTATTAACTTTTTGCTGTTCATAAATACTGCCTGGCGGGAGATGCCAATGATTATATACGCCGTGTTACAGGTTTTAAACAGTTGTTTTTGTGAACAGACAGGTTTCCGAACCAGATAGTGAAGTTTAAAGTCAGAATACTTAAAATATTGACATGAGGGTAGAGTCAATTTGAAAACGTCTTAAATGACGGAGGAAATATAAGATTAGAATTTCATTTCTGTATTCTAGATTCTGAAGACCTGCAAGTACAGCGTCACCTACAAATTTTATAATAAAACAATCAACAAAATGGCTGATACAGTCATTTGTTTACAAAATGAATAAAATTGGCGAGAGAACACAACCTTGAGAGGCCCGTGTAGAAGTGTAAATAAGAGGTGAGCGGGTGCAGCTAACGGTGACGAACTGTGTCCAGTTTACAAAAAAACGAATTAATCTATTTGACAATATACGAGTTAACACCCATGTTGTTAAGCTTTTGTACAAGTAAGTGTGGTTGAATGGTATTGAAAGCGGATGAAAAGTCGACGAACATTATTCGTGCATACGATTTACCCTTATCTAGATGGCTATAGATTTTATGCAGGAGAGTCTGTGTTGAGTCCTCGACGCCTCTGTTGGGTCTTTATGGGGATTGCAAAGGGTCGCGAATATGCTGAACGTCATATTAAGTCACAGGGCGATAGTTGTGTTTCGCTTTTGGGGAACAGGTACAATGTTAGAACTTCTTCATATTGGAGGAACGTGTATGGGAAGCTAATAAAGCTTGAAAGAGCTTTTGAAATATGCCATCTTTCGTTTACACAACGAGTGAGTGAGTGAGTGAGGTTTTACGCCGCTTTTAGCAATATTCCGGCAATATCACGGCGGGGGACACCAGAAATGGGCTTCACACATTGTACCCATGTCGGGAATCGAACCCGGGTCTTCGGTGTGACGAGCTTACGCTTTAACCACTACAACCCGACCGCCCCGTTTACACAACGAATTTTCGTCACAACCATGAAGATTCCATCCCAACTTTCCGCAGGTGAAATCCTTTCCGTCGGTGTGACGTCTTAGAATCTGAAGACGAATGGACATGCCATCCTTCTCGTCAACCTCTAACACGGAATACTGTTCATGTTGACTATCGGCACATGTCGTGTCTCAGCCGCATAGGTCTGGTTTATTGCAATAACATGAACTCGATTATCAGTCACTCTGAGTGAATTTACTTGTGCAGTCTTTATGAAACATTTTACAAGGAATTGGCGGATTCTCATGTTGTCAGTGTCTTTTGTTGCCTGTGGTTTGTTTGTTTGTTGTTTAACGCTGCACTCAGCAATATTCCAGCTATATGACGGCGGTCTGTAAATAATTGAGTCTTGACCAGACGATCCAGTGATTTGCATCATCTACGCAATTGTGTTACAATGTGCATCAACCAAGTCAGCGAGCCTTACCACAAAATGCTGTTAAGTCTCCTCTTATAGGACAAACATGGGTTGCTGAACACCAATTCTAACCGGGATCTGGGGAAGATGTTTAGGTGTGCTGACAAAAAGAATACTTTTTATCCCCTTCATCTGCAGGGGATATCAAATCAAGATGAGCTATACAATAAGCAGAAATTTTGTAGAAAGTTTGACCCCTTTCTTTTCATTGAGATTGATAATATTCATTTCAATTTCTGAATCCCTCATTTGCCAGCTTTTTGTACCACTGACATTACATCACCTACCGGGTACCCATGTACTACTTGGCAAACAAATGCACATGAGATCATAGCCAGCTCCTCTATTGACACCACATATCTTGCCCAAGGATCATAAGGGTGAAATTCACTCACCCAGGAACACCATTGGTACTGGTTGATCTGACAATTGCTTGATTTTGTTTGTTTGTTGTTTAACCCCGCACTCAGCAGTATTCCAGCTATATGATGGCGGTCTGTAAATAATCGAGTCTGGACCAGACAATCCAGTGATTAATACCATGAGCATCGATCCACGCAATTGGGATCAATGACATGCATCAACCAAGTCAGCGAGCCTGACCACCCGATCCCGCCGACAAGCAGAGTCACCTTTTACGGCAAGCATGGGTTGCTGAAGACCTATTCTACCCCGGAATCTTCACGGGTCAACAATCACTTGAACCTCAGTCACAGGAAGTACATACTTGTCAACAACTGACATCAATTTACCTTGAACTTATCTAAGGACAGCAAATGTCACCAGTGATTGCTGTTTAGATCTAAAGAACAAACAGAGTAGGGGAAGTTCTTATGAAATTTATTTCACTTAAATACATTTTACTTACAAATATATATACAATCAAGGTAAATAAATATTTATATTACATTATCCAGTGATAGTTTCTTTTCAAACAAGCTTACAGATATTAAATAAATTTGCATAATTTGCATAAGCTTACAGATATTACATAAATTTGCATAAAGCACATCACCACGACAACTGATCGAAATACGATTCTCAGTCAGTCTAGTTGATACTACAGACGTTACAAGATATTACTGGCTGTAAGTGAAAGTAGCAAGCAGCATGTGCTATATTTATGTCACTATTATTATAACACTTGTTGGAATAGCATTTACAGACAATAGATTCACAATGAACACTTCCAATAATACGGAAAAGCTTGTTAATATGTGCTCCAGTTGTACAATGTTTTGATCTTAAAGTATGAGACATTCCACTCAGATATGGATAACTTCAGAGTGGTAAGAAATGTCTCAAGAAAATAACACTTTCAACGTCAAACAGGAACTATGATAGGCTATAGGAAGACGAGCTACGAAATGATGCGTATGAATGTCATGGTGACCTGGCTGCAATGTTCAACTGTGCTATGAGGTGTGAACACAGTGCCCTCAATAACCTCATCGGGCCATACATTTTTCGTTTCAAAGCCCCACCACCCCTTCTGAAAAGCAGCTGGAAAAGAAAAAAATAAACATAAAAATGTTTTTTATTGTCTCCCGCTAGTAATATAGACACTCTTATTCAATATTAAATGATTTATAGAAATTCCATGTCTACACCACTATCAGTGATTCAGGAAGCCAGCTGCAGTTTAACTTGACAGCAGAATAGACTTTCATATAAATAAATAAATGATTGACATAGCTATTTATTTTAACTTTTATTTCGACCCCTTGTGTGTTAATGCTGAAATAAACCCATGAAACATAAAATTAAAAAAAGTGTGTCTTTGTAGAAGCTTGAGAGTACTGTGTCAGAACTTTGAAGTTCTGTGAAGTTCTTGGCTGGTCTCAGTGGGTGACCTTGCACTAATATGTTTCTGGAATGTTGTCTCTCTAGATGATGTAAATGAGGCCATACTACAATAGAAATCCACACTTCAATATTCCTAAAATAATATCAGTGACATTATGCTATAAAATGTCGAACAATCAAAAGCCACACTGTGGCCTGACATTCATACCTGACCATAGTCTGACCTACGGAATGATAGACATGAGAAATCTGAAATATTGGCAATCTAGAAATCAGAATAGAAGTAAAAGCTTTGAAACCTTAATCATCTAGAAATGAGATAAGCTAATTCATCAATCACACCACACCTACACAAATCAACTTAATATAACACAACATGCATAGCACCAAGGAAGTTCTTAAAAATACAATTCACCAAAATGGAAGTAAAAAATCTTTCTATTCCTAATATCTACATACAGATATAAAAAATGACTTAACCATGTTAGTTCAAGTATGAGGTGGACCTTGACCCCATGGTTGGAAATACTACAGCTGTCACAGTGGCCTGTCTAGCAGAGGAACCAGTGTGATTTATCATCCAAATCTGGCTTTTAGCAGGAGATATGACTTGGCAAGATCAATTAATATCTCCAAGGCGATATTGCTACAATGAAAGTGCATCACATTGTATGAAATCGCTGGCCATTGTGATGTCATCAGTACCGTGACCTCACAATCAAATATCACTACCATATTTTCTTGAGTATAGTGTGCACCCAAGTATAATGCACACCCTCTCTATCGGATTCAGTATTTTGGAAAAAATTTTTTTTGTATATTATGTGCAGAAAAAATGACCCTGTACCACTTTAGCAAATTCCAGTAAATGAGCGGGTAATGAGAAACTTGGTCAGTACAAATTTGAAATTTGAGATAGAATGCACACCCCCTTCTACACAGCTGTGTTTTTTGGAGAAAAAAAGTGTGCACTATACTCAAGAAAATATGGTAATCTCTCTGGCACTGAGGCTGTTTCTCTGGTTTCCACACTCAAGAAACTAGTTAAGACTGTTTACTTAGACAGTGGGAAGAATGATTTGGGATGATATAAAGAATTTCACCCTTTTGATATCAAATATATCAACACTCGTCGAAAAAAGTTTCAAACTTCAAGGTAAGTGTTGAGATATGTGATATCAACAGACACAAGTGTGATACTCTCTGTGTATCTCAGTGACTGGTGTAATCCACCCTATAGCAGGGAAACCCGTGCTGTAAGTGTAAACATTACCCAAGACACAGTAAGTTGGTTGTCTGTGCATCTATTCTTCTTAATCAGCCCACCCAATCCCGATAGAACTGAGATCCGTTGAGATCCCACACCTCGATCTCACTTCATTCCAACTTGTTCCCATTCAACACCCAACTTGTTCCGCCAGTCCTTCATACCAATTAGTATCAATCTTCTTAACCAATACTTAACAAAGTTCAGCATTAGCTACGATTTAATGTATCATTATGTTTGAATTTGTTTAGCGGCTGAATATGTAACGAAGCAAAACAAGTTTCTATTACGACAATAATGTTCTGTCGGGATCTGATCTCACCATAAGTTGTTTGTTGTTTAACACCAAACTCAGCAATATTCCAGCTATATGACAGCGGACGGTATATATTCAAGTTTAGACCAGACAAGCCAGAGATTAACATCACAAGCATTGATCAATGCAATGGGGATACGGTGACAAGCATCAATCGAGTCAGCAAGCCTGACCACCCGATGATCACTAAGGTCTCCTCTTATGAGTGAGTGAGTGAGTAAGGTTTTATGCCTCTTTTAGCAATATTCAAGCAATTTCACGGCGGGGGACACCAGAAATGGGCTTCACACATTGTACCCATGTCGGGATTCGAACCTGGGTCTTCGGCGTGACGAGCAAACGCTTTAACCACTAGGCTACCCGACCGCCCCTCTCCTCTTATGACAAGCATGGACTGCTGGGGACTAGAGTCATCAGGATCTTAGCTGTCGTCACCTTACATACATATGATGCTACAACATCAGAGGTCCATGGGCTGAAACGATGGGATTGGTACACAAAAGCAAGATCAGTATCACTACATAGTTCTAAGAACTGAGATAAAATGTGAAAATACTGATGGAAAGACATTAAACAAACATATGAAAGAAGCATATGAGACAGGGCATCCACTGAGGTGACAACAGGTAGTTTGATGTGTCAGAGCTTAACATGTCACTGTGTCCTATCTTGCTGATCTCCTAACCAACTATGTGTTCCCTTATATATCTCAATCAGTATATACAGAATATAAAGTGAGTGAGTGAGTTGGGTTTAACGCCACTTTTAACAGTATTCCAGTTATATCGCGGCGTGTCCGCTTAATGTGGGAGGAAAGCCCGAAGTGATGCAGGTCTTCGACGTTTACCACTTCGGTGAAACCCATGAGCACGGGGATGGTGCTGACAAACCTAGAAACATAATCGGGGTGAACCGGGATTCGAACCCACAACCAAAAGTTTCTGGCGTGCCCAAGGGACGCAACAGCGAATGGCGACGCCTAAGACGACTGGGCAACCCGTGCCCCACTTTTTTATTATATACACATGCAGAATAATTAAATTCATTATTAAATTCATGCCCTCCAGAATATCAAGAATGTCCTCAAACAGAAACAAAGAAATATGCATGATGAAAACACTGCTAAGTCTTAATGCTACAACTGTCCCGGCTCATGGGGATGAAATACATTACTGCCATACTAACAGTCAAATGTTGATGATCAATACATTGAACAAGCGTGTATAAAACATTCATCTGAGATACATATCAGGATCCAAACAAATATGGCTCAGCTATATCCAGTACAGAGCGATAAGAAACTTGCTGACAAGATTCTACACCGTCATCCTTGTGAGGCTCAGTACTAGTTAGTGTTCAAAAATAAGGGAGTCCTAGGATCCTTGAGATTGGCTAATTACAAACACTGCTACAATATATACTAGTTGGCTGAAGAAAGGATTGATTTGGTTTTCAATATGTTTTATTCTTTTCAGTGCAGGTAGCTAGGTTCTGCCAACCTTGTAACCAGTTAGTATCAATTTTCTCAACCAATATTCGATAAAGTTCAGCAGGTACCATTGAAAAGAAGTAGAAAGATGTTGAAAACCATATGTCAATCTGCTTTCATTGATACGACAGAATTCTAAATGCCTCGTAAAGATATAATTAGTTTGTTAATGATTTAATATGGAAATACTATTTTCTATAATACTAACTGCATGTAGTTTAAATAACAAAAGAATTTACAAACTAAAACTACTGAAAGACTCAACATAATCAGTGCAACAAATTTTCAGCCCTTAAAGAAAAATAGACATCCTTACAATTCTTGTAAGTTTGACTTCTGAATATTATTATTTCATGAATAGGCATCACATGGCATATATCTCTCTACAAACCTAGTCTCTCTGTCACAGCTGCTACTTGTTGTTTCAAGCCACACTCAGCAATATTCCCGCTATATGATGGCGGTCTGTAATTAATCCAGGCTGGACCATACAATCCAGTGATCGACATCATGAGCATCGATTCTCACAAATAGGATACGATGGCATGCATCAACCAAGTCAGCAAGTCGACCACCTGATCCTGTTAGTCGCCTCTTATGACAAGCATAGTCGCCTTTTACGACAAACATGGGTGGCTGAAGACCTACTGTAACCCGGATCTTCACGGGTTTTATTATACGTGAGAGGTACCTGCAGACTAGCTGGACCAGGCTCCGATCTTCACAATGTTTCTATGTTCCCAAGGAACCTTATTAACTCAAACACTATAAATTCAACACCGTTTAAGACCATGTAACTTTATTGTTGAGTTGAATCATTAGCTGCACTTTGGTCTAATATTGGCAATCTGCTTGTCTCTATAGACAGGTGTAATACCACTCAACATTTGATAGGAATATTCTGAGTTCATGTGTGGACTGAGTGCTACTGATTGCTTGTCATACACATGGTAGTATTTGACGTTTTCATGAAAAGCACTTTTAGCTTCAGGTCAACAAGGGTTCACATTTCGGTAAAATAATTGTCTGTGAGATTCGTTACAAAAGGTCTGAACTTTGTATCCTTATCTGAAGTTGAGTAGTGTATGTTTGATGGTCCTAGGACTGTGAGTTAACCATGGTTTACTGTAGTTTTAAAAGAAAGTCCTTCAATATGTACTCATAACAAAACAACTGTCTTATAAAATGCCATTATGCAGCACAGCAGACTCTAACAATCATAACAACATATATTTAGGAACATAATGTTTTCCATATATTTCATATGGGAGACACAATCAGATATCACTCACAATTTCACTGTTGTAATTCTCAACATCTGCCCTTTGAACAGCAAGTAAAACACTCTTTGACATGGGTTGTTTTCTTTAATTAAATATATTCTATCCGAAAACAAAAACATACTTTCATACGTATAATACACTATTAATATTCTAATAGTGTTTTATTAATTGACATTAACTGTGAAAACGATGTTCGTAGAAATGTTCCAGCTACAGTGAAACACCAATTGTACAGAAACCCCTCCCTCCTGTTTCTGGGGGAAACATCTGTGAGAGGAGGGGGATAGAATGGTTTTAACCCGGATGACATCACTGGTAGAGTCTGGAATAACAGGTTTTCACTGTGTATACACTACGCATGGTATTTATAGCATCCCTAAATTCACCTGGTTAATGGACTGGGAAAGAAAAATATGCTGGATGATTATATGCACCATCCCCCCCACCCCCCCTCCCCACACCATACCTACACACCCTACCCCACCTCACATATCGCACCTACCCACACCAAGCCCTACCTCCCACTCCCCCTACCCCAACCCCACACACCCTACCTGCCGCTCCCCCTACCCCAACCCCACACACCCTACCTCCCACTCACCCTACCCCTATCCAACACACACCCTACCTCCATAACACCCTACCCCTATCCCCCACACCTTACTTACACACACCCTACTATACCTCCCACACTCACCCTACCCCAATAAACCCTCCCTACCTCCCCCACACCCTACCTCTACCCCACACACCCTACCTCCCCCACACCCACCCTACCCCTATCCCACACACCGTACCTTCAGACACCCTACCCTACACCAATAAACACTATCATACCCCCCCCACACCCTACCCCTCCCCCATACCCTACCCCCCCAACACATCCTACCCTACCTCCCACACTACCCTACTCCAATAACCACTACCATACCTCCCCCACACCCTACCCCTCCCCCTACCCCCCAACACATCCTACCCTACCTCCCACACTACCCTATCCAATAAACACTACCATACCTCCCCCACACCCTACCCCTCTCCCATACCCTACCCCTACCCACCACACCGTACCTACACACATTAATTAAACAAGGTTCCATTGTACATGTTGATACAAATAGTTAAAAAGTAGAGAAAATATATAGTGACTATGACCAAAATATTAGTAGAAGTGTGTATGCACTGTGACAACAGTGCTAGATTGTTAGTAGTGTCTCTGTACATATTGGTCAGTATTTTGGAAGTTAATCTTTGGCAGTGACTGAGACAAGGGTAGGACAAGATGCGTCTCCATGGGAGGCGTGAACATGAACGTCCTTGAGTCCTCCGACATACATGCCGGGTGATTGACAAAATCTTCAAGAAATAACCTCAAATGGTAAAATATATGTAAGTCAAAAGTCACAGGCTCCACCTGAATTGCCCAAGTATGTAGCAATTAAATAAGTTATTAAGTTTGACATCTGAACAGTTCTGTCACTACACATATCAGACACTGTGTAGTCAGTTGGTTCCACAAGGGGCGGACCATACCAATATTGCTGTATGTTACCATTCACTGTACTTCATGTTCATGGCTGATTAAGCCAAGCACATTAACATCAGATCTCAACTCTTGCTACCACTAAACAAAGATCCGAAGACATTCCATTGAAGGTTACATCAGAACGACCTTTAAGTGACTTTGACCAACCAATGAATCGACCAATGAGAAGTTGAAATTAGCCAACCAGAAAGCATCTCTCTCAAGTTTTTTCAAACTGGCAACTTCCATTCCAGAGATGCTTTGAAAATTATTTTGACCAAATTATCAATTCCAAATTGGAAAGCTGACAAAAGAACATTCTGGAATGTCTGGTACATGGCCAAGATTGTATGGCAGTACTTAGCATGGGCTTTGTAAAGTCTTTTCCGTTCAAATATTTGTCCCATATTGACGTGAGAGATGGACAACGATTGTGACACAATCATTTGTATAGCCTGTAAGCATCGCTCGGAACACCCCGTGTTAACCTTTTTGAGGTTGAATAATTAGAAAACAAATCTGACTGTATCCTTCCTGATCTTGTAAGTGATGCAGTGACGGAATGTCCTCAAATCTTTGATGAGCAGGAGTGAGAACTAAGATCTGATATAATGAGTTTGCTGATTAAGTACACTTTAGTTTTGTTATCATGGAATATGTACTCAAAAAGAATGTAAAAAACATGATACACATAATCTATTTGATCTATTTTTCAAGGTGTTCTTAGTCAATGATTTACAAGACTATATATACTACTCAAAACAAGTCAAGGACCACCCAATTCTTTAATATTACGATAGTTAATCTGTCATGGCATTGCAGATGAACTGCAGTACTATGAAAGAAATGGGTGTTATTTACTTTTTTTGTTTGTTTGTTTCTTATTTAACGCCACACTAAGCAATATTCCAGCTATATGACGGCGGTCTGTAAATAATCGAGTCTGGACCAGACAATCCAGAGATTGATATCATGAGCATCTAACTTCTTTCGAGTAGTAGATATTGAAAAACCTATTCATAATTTTAAGGATATAACTGTAAATTAACACTGTAGCTGGTAATCCTAACATATACCACATTGCAGCTACATTTCAGAACATTGACTTATAAAGTATATTAATACTTATATAGTATACAATGTTTAGTCCAGCCAGGCATAGCCCAGGCTATAAGGTGGAGATAACATAACCCTGATGGACGAGGATGAGCTGTACACCCTCAGAACTTATCATTGTACCACTTGATCACCTGACAGAGAGGTTGGTTCGCCTACTCAGTATAGACTCAGCAAGGCTGGAGGGGATCTTGTAGATCCCTACTTCATGTAAGGCAGATTTAGGGTCTGTTGACTTGGCATTAGGGTCCTTCTTGGCTTCATGTAGGGCTGAATATAGGACCTCCTTCAGGAGGATGGCGGAGCCTGTCTTTAATGTCAGCAACGTGCAGGCTTCCTTCACTCTGAAAAAATATTTACAAGTAATGAGTCCAGTAAAGACAAGGCCGTAGTTAACTTTTTTTGACAGGGGGGGCGAATAAGATTATTCATTTCTTATTCAAGTTAACTTTCACAAGGAAAAATGTTTTCTATAAAAAATTCAGGGGAGGAAACTGCCCTCCCCCCCCCCCCCCCCCCCCCCCTCACACTCACATATTGTTCATTTAAGAATTGACTTCAATATTTTTTGCATTTATGGAGGAATATGAGATAGCTATGTGATAAATCGCAAAGAACATTGAAGAACAAAGTGGGGTTTATTTCACGATAAAACATTGTTCTATCATGCCGTCATTTCTGGAGATTTGAACATACGCTCGCAACTTGATGAAGTTGTATAACGGAGAACGTTATTTTTTAGAGGGGAGTGAGTTGTTCCCCAAAGATGTAGGTGGGCAACGCAGATAATCCAGTGATTGATATTATGAGCAAGGATCCAATGCCATCAGTGTACAAGGTGACACCTTCAAACAAGTCACTGAGTCGGACCACCCAATCCGTAACCAGCATAGATTTCTTGGGATCAATTCTAAACCGGAATCCCCATAGGGGCCTAAGCTAAGTTTGTTGTTTGTTTGTTGTTAAAAGCCGCACTCAGCAATATGCCAGTTATATGACGGCAGTCTGTAAATAATCGAGTCTGGACCAGACAATCCAGTGATGGACATCATGAGCATCAATCCATGCAATGGGGATGCGATGACATGCATCAACCAAGTCAGTGAGTCTGACCACCCGATCCCATAAGTTGCCTCTTAAGACAAGCATAGTCACCTTTTACGGCAAGCATGGGTTGCTGAAGATCTATTCTACCCCGGGTCTTCACGGGTCCTAAGCTAAGTAGAGAGTGTGGCTACCAGAGACACCTTTAATCACTTTCAGACAGGTGAGAATTTGTTGCAACAATCAACACCACTGGGTACAATGACACAATAAGCAGAGGCCACAAATGGTAACCACACAATCCTCATTGATCTGCCCATGAGATACTCATGGCTGATTCTTCTACAGGGAAACCTGAGAGGTCACTCACTCTCTGAAGTAGGTCTCTGGTTTGTTGGTGAACTCGCCAAACAGTGGGAAGACGTTACGAGTCATATCGAACTGGAGCTGTGCTGCGCCCCCCTCGTTGAAGTGGTTGGACAGGATCACCTGGAACACGATCACACACCATGGTCAACACAAGCACTCACGTTTAAGGTTCTTTTTAACAGATTTTCAGTTATATAATATCGTGTCAGCTTAATGGGTCAGAAAAACCCAAAGTGATGCAAATATTAGACGCTTACCACTTCGGTTAAACACGGGTATAGGTCACAGAAAAAAAAGAACAGTTATCATGAAAAAATGGGCTTCAAATCCCCAACCAGCAGATCCTTGCAAGGCTGCTAAGGGATGCAACTCTGCAAGAATCACTGGAAATGCTGAGATGCAGACCCTAATTAAAGTTTTGGAGTGTGGTAAAATAGTGTAATATCATGTGAAAAAGGATCATGTTAATCATACCGCGATGCAGATTTTCACTTCGACATTTCTGTGAGACGTAAGACGGAAGATCCATACATTCATAAATTCATCATGTGACAACACTTAACTGTTTTTCAGCAACATAATGACTTCCAAAATGATACCGTGTGTACATGATGAGTGGGTTTTAAGCCAACCAATCAGACCCCTTGTATCACTGAGTAATGGATATTTCAATACTATGTTACTTGAAAACATGGCTCTCATTGGCAAGCATAATATTGCTGTAGAATGCTTTATGTCACTGGTGCATAAATAATTTACACTCCGACATATTTTATGCATGAAAATAATTCATCAGAAAAATGTCCCTAATTGTAATTTGGGAGAGGGCAAGCATAAAATCGTAATTTTAGTCTCAAAGTCATAAACATTACGCCAGAATCGCAGTAGTTGGCATCTGTGGCAATGTGTTGTGTACCTCGTCGAGGATGAACTTATTAATTTTCTCCGCCAGTCGCTGCCAGAACTTGTGAAAGAGCGGTTTGCTGAGGAGATCCTCCATGACAGCGAGATGATCCTTGAGGACAAGCAGCATCTCACAGGCCGACGCAGACAGGCCTAGTGTAATCATCAGATCCTTATGTGATGGTAGGGAAATCCATCTGCAAGAGATCCATCAAACCAGGGTCTTCAACGTGACAAGAAATGCATTAACCATTCTGCCCAATGCATTCTGAAAAGAATGGTAGGTCCATTTCCCCACAGCAAAGTGACTTACCATCAATTAGATTTACCAACCTTTAGTAATTTTGATCGCGAAACCAAGATTCATCTACTCCATCTACACTTAGCTGATGACCAACGACCTGAACTTAAAGGTACTCTCTGCCCACCTGTAAGGCTGACCAGGCTAAACTTAAAGGTACTCTCTGCCCACCTGTCAGGCTGACCAGGCTGAACTTAAAGGTACTCTCTGCCCACCTGTAAGGCTGACCAGGCCAATCTTAAAGGTACTCTCTGCCCACCTGTAAGGCTGACCAGGCTCAACTTAAAGGTACTCTCTGCCCACCTGTAAGGCTGACCAGGCTCAACTTAAAGGTACTCTCTACCCACCTGTAAAGCTGACCAGGCCAATCTTAAAGGTACTCTCTGCCCACCTGTAAGGCTGACCGGGCTCAACTTAAAGGTACTCTCTGCCCACCTGTAAGGCTGACCAGGCTCAACTTAAAGGTACTCTCTACCCACCTGTAAAGCTGACCAGGCCAATCTTAAAGGTACACTCTGCCCACCTGTAAAGCTGACAAGGTCAAACTTAAAGGTACTCTCTACCCACCAGTAAAGCTGAACAGGCTAATCTTAAAGGTACTCTCTACCCACCAGTAAAGCTGACCAGGCCAATCTTAAAGGTACACTCTGCCCACCTGTAAAGCTGACCAGGCCAATCTTAAAGGTACGCCCTGCCCACTTGTAAGGCTGTCCAGGTCAGATTTAAAGGGACTCTCTGTCCACCTGTAGGGCTGACCAGGTCAAACTTAAAGGTACACTCTTCCCACCTGTAAGACTGACAAGGCTAAATTTGAAGTTACTCTCTACCCACCTGTAAGGCTCACCAGGCCCAACTTAAAGGTACACTCTGCCCACCTGTAAAGCTGTCAAGGTCAAACTTAAAGGTACTCTCTGCCCACTTGTAAGGCTGACCAGGCCAAACTGAAAGGTAGTCTCTACCCACCTATTAGGCTTACCAGGCTAAATCTAAAGGTACACTCTGCCCACTTGTAAGGCTGACCAGGTCAAACTTAAAGGTACTCTCTGCCCACTCTGACCTGGCTAAGCTTAAAGGTACTCTCTGCCCACTTGTAAGGCTGACCAGGCTAAACTTAAAGGTACTCTCTGCCCACTCTGACCAGGCCAAACTTAAAGGTACTCTCTGCCCACCTGTAAAGCTGACCTGGTCAAGCTTAAAGGGAATCTCTGCTCACTTGCAAGGCTTACCAGGCTAAACCTAAAGGTACTCTCTGCCCACCTGTAAAGCTGACCAGGTCAAACTTAAAGGGAATCTCTGCTCACTTGTAAGGCTGACCAGGCTAAACCTAAAGGTACTCTCTGCCCACCTGTAAAGCTGACCAGGTCAAACTTAAAGGGAATCTCTGCTCACTTGTAAGGCTGACCATGCTAAGTTTAAAGTCGTTATCTCCCACCTGTCCTTCCTGTAGGGCTGACTCCTGGCCTGGAAGTCGGTGAAGACGTAGCTCACACTGTTCTTCAACATGTCCACCTTGAGGGACTCGAACAGATCATTGATGTCATCAAACACGGTGGTGTTCAGAGTCGGCAGGCTGCTTATGTCCAGGTCCTCACTCAGCTGGACAGAGAGACAGTGGTTTGTTTAGGATAGCTGTCTGTGTATCCAATATCAACTTACACTTTAATATAAAAATACGTAATAACGTTACTGTTTTACCACTAAAATGAGGTGAAACGGTTGGTTGGTTGTCTTTTTCACCACACTCAGCAATATTCTATCTTTATGATGGCAGTCTGTAAATAATCGAGTCTTGACCAGACAATCCAGTGATTGATATCATGAGCATGGATCCACGCAATCGATGACATGCTTTAACCAAGTCAGTGAGCCTGACCACCTGATCCTGTTAGTCACCTCCTACGTCAAGCATAGTCACCTTTTACGGCAAGAATGGATTGCTGAAGACCTATTGTACCCCGGATCTTCATGGGTAGGGTGAAACAGAGTTTAATGTCCTTTACAAGATTTTTTCACTCATACAGTGTCAGGCATTCATGTGTGTATGTGGCTGATTGAACTAGTCTGAACTTATGTTGTTTTTATGTGATACATAGACACATCATTCTGACTCAGTTGTCATTTGAACCCCCTGGTATGTGCATGTGTCAGGCAGGGTGACAAGAAGTACCATTAAAGGTCATTTGGTACGACTCGGCAAGGGGATGGAACCGCTGACCTTCTGTTTTCCAGTCAGAAGTGGATGGATGTGTGAAGGAATGATATATTCCAATATCGCAACATGATGGCAGTCTTTGATTAATTGAGTCAAATATAGCCCAGATCAGTGATTTGACCACCAGGATTGGCTTCACGCATTGTCCCCACAATTGTACCCACTATACCTGCAGCATGAGTGAGTGAGTGAGTGAGTGAGTGAGTGAGTACCTTTGGCATGAGTGAGTGAGTGAGTGAGTGAGTGAGTGAGTGCCTTTGGCATGAGTAAGTGAGTTAGTGGGTTTCACCAGTTGCACCTACACTTTCTACCAACTGAACCTGTGTCATAGACATAATGAACAAATGCTATTTGTGAGTGAATGAATGAGTGGTTGAGTGAGTGAGTGAGTGAGTGAATGAATGAGTGGTTGAGTGAGTGTGTGTCTTATCGAGTGAGAAAGTCTAACACCATGTTTGAGCTATATTTCAGAATAATGGGCTTAGGTAGGGTGGTGGGTGGATGGGTGGGTGAGTGAGTGAGCAGATGTGTGAGTGTGTGGGTGTGGGTGTGGGTGTGGGTGTGGGTGTGGGTGTGTGGGTGGTGTGTCAAAGAATAGGTGGATGGGAGGGACCATGAGTGAGTGAGTGAATGGGTTGTTAGTGTAACTAAATGATATAGGTCCTCTCCACTTCTGACAATGCACATCAAAGCCAGCTTATGTTTCAGTAAGCTAATGTCTTACTGTTCACAATAATAGCGTTACACATTATTATCATTGCATCCCACATGACATCACAGTGGGGGGAAAAGAACAAAAATTATGTGGAATTTGCATTATAACAACATCAATATTTCTAGTCAAAATACATACAATGATTAATGTTGTCAAGGTGCTACAGAAATAGAGGACAACATTTCAGCTTGGAAAGTATTGAAATATGGATGACTTTTTCTTCGTGGATTCAAAATTTGCTTATTATGGACTATCATCTGGACTGGTTTGACTTGCGTTCAGTGTTAATCAGCATCTAGTGAACAAGGGGGCTAATAAAAATGGTGCCAGCAACACAACTGAGAGTTGAAGCGTTGTTGCCCTTCAACTTGAACATACAAGGGCAGATAAGCAGTACCTTGCTGGAGTCAGCGGACTGGTTGAGGGAGAGGGACCGAGGTCGGTCACCTTTTGCTTTACTCTGTTTCTCCTTCTTCATCCTCTGGGAATGTGTGGATTTTTGATACATTAGCTGGATAAAAAACTGAAACAAACAACAGATAATCATGTCAAGAACAGACACACAGGGGACACACATTGTACCCATGTCAGAAATCGAACCCCGTCTTTCAACATGACGAGCAAACGCTTTTGCCACTAAGTTTCCCAACCGCCCCATCAAGAACAGAAAGTGGACTGATGTCATCATTGTGAATCATCTGTTTGGGGTGCAATCAAAATTTTGTGCACTGTGCTGGTGTCACGGAATGAGTATCATACTGTGAGGTCCTGACCACTGAAACAAGATGATAAATGTATCTATGAGGAGCACATGTCTTTTGGCTTGCAACTTAGGTATGTGCATCTTCAAATCATCTTATAAGAACAAAATGTACAAAGTGTCCACACTTTAGGTAAATCTCACTCCACTCCTAAACCCCCTCTTCTACAGTGCACTGTGTTGAGTATAGCACACAAGCAGCTCCCTACAGGGTTATCTACAACACTCACCACTGTCTCACTCCACTCCTGAAGCACCTTCCCCACTAGCAGCTCCCTACAGGGTTATCTACAACACTCACCACTGTCTCACTCCACTCCTGAAGCACCTCCCCCACTAGCAGCTCCCTACAGGGTTATCTACAACTCACCACTGTCTCACCCCACTCCTGAAGCACCTCCCCCACTAGCAGCTCCCTACAGGGTTATCTACAACTCACCACTGTCTCACTCCACTCCTGAAGCACCTCCCCCACTAGCAGCTCCCTACAGGGTTATCTACAACTCACCACTGTCTCACTCCACTCCTGAAGCACCTCCCCTACAAGCAGCTCCCTACAGGGTTATCTACAACACTCACCACTGTCTCACCCCGCTCCTGAAGCACCTCCACCACTAGCAGCTCCCTACAGGGTTATCTACAACTCACCACTGTCTCACTCCACTCCTGAAGCACCTCCCCCACTAGCAGCTCCCTACAGGGTTATCTACAACACTCACCACTGTCTCACTCCACTCCTGAAGCACCTCCCCCACTAGCAGCTCCCTACAGGGTTATCTACAACTCACCACTGTCTCACTCCATTCCTGAAGCACCTCCCCCACTAGCAGCTCCCTACAGGGTTATCTACAACACTCACCACTGTCTCACTCCACTCCTGAAGCACCTCCCCCACTAGCAGCTCCCTACAGGGTTATCTACAACCTCCCCCACAAGCAGCTCCCTACAGGGTTATCTACAACACTCACCACTGTCTCACCCCACTCCTGAAGCACCTCCCCCACTAGCAGCTCCCTACAGGGTTATCTACAACTCACCACTGTCTCACTCCACTCCTGAAGCACCTCCCCCACTAGCAGCTCCCTACACGGTTATCTACAACTCACCACTGTCTCACTCCACTCCTGAAGCACCTCCCCTACAAGCAGCTCCCTACAGGGTTATCTACAACACTCACCACTGTCTCACCCCACTCCTGAAGCACCTCCCCCACTAGCAGCTCCCTACAGGGTTATCTACAACTCACCACTGTCTCACTCCACTCCTGAAGCACCTCCCCCACTAGCAGCTCCCTACAGGGTTATCTACAACACTCACCACTCCACTCCTGAAGCACCTCCCCCACTAGCAGCTCCCTACAGGGTTATCTACAACTCACCACTGTCTCACTCCATTCCTGAAGCACCTCCCCCACTAGCAGCTCCCTACACTCCACTCCTGAAGCACCTCCCCCACTAGCAGCTCCCTACAGGGTTATCTACAACTCACCACTGTCTCACTCCATTCCTGAAGCACCTCCCCCACTAGCAGCTCCCTACAGGGTTATCTACAACACTCACCACTGTCTCACTCCACTCCTGAAGCACCTCCCCCACTAGCAGCTCCCTACAGGGTTATCTACAACACTCACCACTGTCTCACTCCACTCCTGAAGCACCTCCCCAACTAGCAGCTCCCTACAGGGTTATCTACAACACTCACCACTGTCTCACCCCACTCCTGAAGCACCTCCCCCACTAGCAGCTCCCTACAGGGTTATCTACAACACTCACCACTGTCTCACTCCACTCCTGAAGCACCTCCCCCACTAGCAGCTCCCTACAGGGTTATCTACAACACTCACCACTGTCTACCTCCACTCCTGAAGCACCTCCCCCACTAGCAGCTCCCTACAGGGTTATCCACAACACTCACCACTGTCTACCTTCACTCCTGAAGCACCTCCCCCACTAGCAGCTCCCTACAGGGTTATCTACAACTCACCACTGTCTCACTCCACTCCTGAAGCACCTCCCCCACTAGCAGCTCCCTACAGGGTTATCTACAACACTCACCACTGTCTACCTCCACTCCTGAAGCACCTCCCCCACTAGCAGCTCCCTACAGGGTTATCTACAACACTCACCACTGTCTACCTTCACTCCTGAAGCACCTCCCCCACTAGCAGCTCCCTACAGGGTTATCTACAACTCACCACTGTCTCACTCCACTCCTGAAGCACCTCCCCCACTAGCAGCTCCCTACAGGGTTATCTACAAAACTCACCACTGTCTACCTTCACTCCTGAAGCACCTCCCCCACTAGCAGCTCCCTACAGGGTTATCTACAACACTCACCACTGTCTCACTCCACTCCTGAAGCACCTCCCCCACTAGCAGCTCCCTACAGGGTTATCTACAACACTCACCACTGTCTCACTCCACTCCTGAAGCACCTCCCCCACTAGCAGCTCCCTACAGGGTTATCTACAACACTCACCACTGTCTACCTTCACTCCTGAAGCACCTCCCCCACTAGCAGCTCCCTACAGGGTTATCTACAACTCACCACTGTCTCACTCCACTCCTGAAGCACCTCCCCCACTAGCAGCTCCCTACAGGGTTATCTACAACACTCACCACTGTCTACCTTCACTCCTGAAGCACCTCCCCCACTAGCAGCTCCCTACAGGGTTATCTACAACACTCACCACTGTCTCACTCCACTCCTGAAGCACCTCCCCCACTAGCAGCTCCCTACAGGGTTATCTACAACCTCCCCCACAAGCAGCTCCCTACAGGGTTATCTACAACACTCACCACTGTCTCACCCCGTTCCTGAAGCACCTCCCCCACTAGCAGCTCCCTACAGGGTTATCTACAACTCACCACTGTCTCACTCCACTCCTGAAGCACCTCCCCCACTAGCAGCTCCCTACAGGGTTATCTACAACTCACCACTGTCTCACTCCACTCCTGAAGCACCTCCCCTACAAGCAGCTCCCTACAGGGTTATCTACAACACTCACCACTGTCTCACCCCACTCCTGAAGCACCTCCCCCACTAGCAGCTCCCTACAGGGTTATCTACAACTCACCACTGTCTCACTCCACTCCTGAAGCACCTCCCCCACTAGCAGCTCCCTACAGGGTTATCTACAACACTCACCACTCCACTCCTGAAGCACCTCCCCCACTAGCAGCTCCCTACAGGGTTATCTACAACTCACCACTGTCTCACTCCATTCCTGAAGCACCTCCCCCACTAGCAGCTCCCTACACTCCACTCCTGAAGCACCTCCCCCACTAGCAGCTCCCTACAGGGTTATCTACAACTCACCACTGTCTCACTCCATTCCTGAAGCACCTCCCCCACTAGCAGCTCCCTACAGGGTTATCTACAACACTCACCACTGTCTCACTCCACTCCTGAAGCACCTCCCCCACTAGCAGCTCCCTACAGGGTTATCTACAACACTCACCACTGTCTCACTCCACTCCTGAAGCACCTCCCCAACTAGCAGCTCCCTACAGGGTTATCTACAACACTCACCACTGTCTCACCCCACTCCTGAAGCACCTCCCCCACTAGCAGCTCCCTACAGGGTTATCTACAACACTCACCACTGTCTCACTCCACTCCTGAAGCACCTCCCCCACTAGCAGCTCCCTACAGGGTTATCTACAACACTCACCACTGTCTACCTCCACTCCTGAAGCACCTCCCCCACTAGCAGCTCCCTACAGGGTTATCTACAACACTCACCACTGTCTACCTTCACTCCTGAAGCACCTCCCCCACTAGCAGCTCCCTACAGGGTTATCTACAACTCACCACTGTCTCACTCCACTCCTGAAGCACCTCCCCCACTAGCAGCTCCCTACAGGGTTATCTACAACACTCACCACTGTCTACCTCCACTCCTGAAGCACCTCCCCCACTAGCAGCTCCCTACAGGGTTATCTACAACACTCACCACTGTCTACCTTCACTCCTGAAGCACCTCCCCCACTAGCAGCTCCCTACAGGGTTATCTACAACTCACCACTGTCTCACTCCACTCCTGAAGCACCTCCCCCACTAGCAGCTCCCTACAGGGTTATCTACAACACTCACCACTGTCTCACCCCACTCCTGAAGCACCTCCCCCACTAGCAGCTCCCTACAGGGTTATCTACAACACTCACCACTGTCTCACTCCACTCCTGAAGCACCTCCCCCACTAGCAGCTCCCTACAGGGTTATCTACAACACTCACCACTGTCTCACTCCACTCCTGAAGCACCTCCCCCACTAGCAGCTCCCTACAGGGTTATCTACAACACTCACCACTGTCTACCTTCACTCCTGAAGCACCTCCCCCACTAGCAGCTCCCTACAGGGTTATCTACAACTCACCACTGTCTCACTCCACTCCTGAAGCACCTCCCCCACTAGCAGCTCCCTACAGGGTTATCTACAACACTCACCACTGTCTACCTTCACTCCTGAAGCACCTCCCCCACTAGCAGCTCCCTACAGGGTTATCTACAACACTCACCACTGTCTCACTCCACTCCTGAAGCACCTCCCCCACTAGCAGCTCCCTACAGGGTTATCTACAACACTCACCACTGTCTCACCCCACTCCTGAAGCACCTCCCCCACTAGCAGCTCCCTACAGGGTTATCTACAACTCACCACTGTCTCACTCCACTCCTGAAGCACCTCTCCCACATAGTGCACTGTGTTGAGTATAGCGCAGAAGCAGCTCCCTACAGGGTTGTGTGTCTCCTGCTGCATCACCTGCACCACACGGACACGGAAGTCCTCCAGTAGCTCTAGTTGCAGCCCGAGGAAGCGCAACTTGCTGGTCACATCAGGCAGTGGCTTGTACCGGTCTGGAGATGACAAAGACAGGTTTAGCAAACGAATTAGACAAAACAAATGTGTGTGCCTCTCTGTGATGTATGAGGTACCTGTGATGTGTGGCCCTTTGAATGTGTGACCCCCTGTGTTGTGTGACTTACAAATGATGTGTGGCTAACGATTTTTACTCCCTGTGCTCCGTGACTCCCAACAATAAGTGACTCCCTGTGATGTGTGACCCCCTGTGATGTGTGACTCCCTGTGATGTGACCCCCTGTGATGTGTGACTCCCTGTGCTATGTGACCCCCTGTGATGTGTGACCCATGATGTATGACCCCTGTGATGTGTGACTCCCTGTGCTATGTGACCCCCTGTGATGTGTGACTCCCTGTGCTGTGACCCCCTGTGATGTGTGACCCCCTGTGATGTGTGACCCCCTGTGATGTGTGACTCCCTGTGCTATGTATGACTCCCTGCAACGTGTGACATGTGACACACACACATCCCCACCCCCCATGACATGTGACCCCCATGACATGTGACCCCCCATGACATGTGACCCCCCCTGTGACATGTGACCCCTCATGACATGTGACCCCCCCGCAACATGTGATCCCCTGTGATGCGTGACTCACCTGTGATGGTGAGGAGGAGTGTCATGAAGCTTTCCCCACACTCGGGCACCTTCAGCTCGTCCACATCAGCGATGTCCCTGTACTGGGACTGCCAGGCAGTGGGGGAGGACAGCATGGCTTCGATCTTCTGTATGGCAACTGAAACACAAATAGTGCACATCTCAAATGATGACCTTCCACGCACTGTAACTATCAAACATGAGGAGGAGGAGGAGGAATAGGAGGAGGGGGAGGAGGAGGAGGAGGAGGAGGAGGAGGAGGGAGGAGGAAAAATATAACAGCATTTTCTGCAGACATCGGCCTCTAAACAGGTCCAGATACATCCTGTGATTATGATGATTATGTGATTATGATCATAATGATGATGATGATGATGATGCAGCAACTTACACCTCTTCTCAATAATGAGCCACTTGTCGATGGCGTCGCCCGAGGAGAGCACGTGGAGACAGCCGGGCTCTGTGCTGGGGTAGTTGTAGGTGAGCCTCAGCTCCCTGTCAAACAGCAGGGCCTCGTCCACCATGTGGGAGAAGAAGTGCTCATCATAGACCAGGTCCGGCAGGTCGTTAACCATCTTCTCCATCACCAGGATCACCAGGCCTCGCATCAACTCGATCTGCCAACAGCAAGGTTGTAAAATGATTTAAATCAACATGATTGGTCACTCCATACCCTTGCACCTGATATCAAATTATAAAAAATATGGTTACAGTTACTGCAGCTGCTTTTTGTGAAAGTAATTGTGTGTGTATTTTTTAGTTTATGTCACACTCAACAAAAGTCCATCTATAATATGGCAGCCTGTAAATAATCAATTCTGGACCAGACAAACCAATGATTGATGTTATGAACAACAATCAATGCCGTCGATGATACAAATCAAGTCCCCGAATCTGACCACTAGATCCACTGTCACCTATTATACCAGCATAGGTTGCTGGGAACCTATTCTAACATGGAATCCCCATGAAGGAAACAAAATGTGACTTCCTAAAACAGTAGCATAATGTAGCCCTGACAAAAAGTGTACCGTACATCCGTTGTGGGCACATTAACAAATGTTTTCGAGCAGAGCTAATTATATCTCTAGGGCTATTTGGAAAGAACTGGACTTTTAGAATCTTAAATAATATTGAGGAATTCTGTGGCCAGTGACGGACGTTTTTATCTCCAAATGTATCTACATATACATGTATATATATACGGAACCTGTGGCAGCTCAGACACAGTGATTTATGTACCATATATATATTTATCATTAAATCCATTAATTGCAGGTCTATATAGGCCTGTTTTATTATAAAGAGTGAGTGAGTGAGTTGTGTTTAACGCCGCTTTAAACAGTATTCCAGTTATATCGCGGCGTGTCAGCTTAATGTGGGAGGAAAGTCTGAAGTGATGCAGGTCTCAGATGTTTATCACTTTGGTGAAACCCACGAGCACAGGTATGGTGCTGACAAACCTAGAAACATAATCGGGGCGAACCCACAACCATAGGTTTCTTGCGTGTCCACGGGACGCAACTCTGCACAGCGAATCACAGCGCCTTAGACGACTGGGCCACCCGTGCCCCTCTTTGTTATTATATACACATGCAGAATAATTAAATTCATTATACATCATGATACTTTTGAGTCGATATATCAATACTAACATTTCCAATCAATGACATCCCTATTATATCATGGGATGACACATGTGTATGGTGCTGACAAACCAAGGATAATAATCAAGCAATTCTATGATTGGAACTCACTGTCATCACATCCTGGCATGTCTTAGGGAAGCAACTCTGTTTCTCTGACATTTATATATATATATGAATGACAACATGGGAGACAACATCTTGGGATATGTCCAAGGATCGTCCCTACGCTGACTGACCTTGGCATTGAGGTTGTCGTGGCCAGCCTCCTTCAGCAAGGGCTGGATGTTGATCATCAGGAAGTCAGTGTGGTCTCGGATCCAGCTCAACACTTGGGTGAAGTACCACTCCGGCTATAAGGAGAAACAACAACATGACTGCCTTGAAGGCTTTACAGATTTACTCTATGTTAGTGGGTGAGACACCGCATCTAATTCATGAAGTTTCTCATTTTCGATTGTTAGATACATTTTGAAACAACTCGAAAAATAAATGGTTCCTGACAGAAACTTGTGTCGTAATCTCCATATCTACAATACTATCCCGGCAATGGCATTACCAGTATTATAAGTTAATTGAGTGAAAGGTTAGTTTTTTTACGTCACTGGTACAATATTCAAACATTTTCATGCAGCCTTAAATGATACAGACTAGTAACTGTGTTGGATTTAACGCCCCATTGAACAGAATTCAGCTTAATGTGGGGGGAAGCCCAAAGTCATGAAGGTCTAAGACGTTTACCGCTGTGATGAAACCCATGAGCATGGGTATGGTGCTGATAAACCTAGAAACATAATTGGGGTGATTCAAATCCATGATTTCCGTATTCGACGTAATAAGCGCCCAGGGTGCTCTCAAAATTAGAAATAGAGGGCTCTTATTAGAATATTAGTTGGTGAAAAAACACAGAGTTGAAAGATCGTAAATTTTGTGGTTTGTGGTGAGAGCCTGAAATGTTTATATACAACAGATATATTTTTCCAGGATTGAGGGTGCATACGAGTGTGTATCATACATGAATAAATAAGTCTTGTGTACATTGATCAATCGGAAGGGGTACTAACTGAGATTGTTCACTAGCCAATATATTAGCAAATATCACCGTGGGTGCTTATTAGAGCGGGGCGGGCCCATTTTGAGATAATGGTTATCAGACATTATTATTTCTCATTGCATATTTGATTATTTTTTTAGAAAAAGCCTTAAAAGTGGCATGATCTCTAAAACAAGTACTTGAATTAGTCTGGGCTCATTTTATTTTGAAACAAACAGTTTATTTGATCCTTTGAGTTAAAGCCAAATAAATTATATTAGATTCACAAAATATTAGCGGATCTACGAACTTTGAACAGTATTTTTCAGGTCAAAGACTTTCACCACTTTGGTGAAAACCATGAGCAGTTATGGTGCTGACAAACATGGAATCACAATCAGGGTACCGTATTCGACGTAATAAGCGCCCTGCTCTAATAAGCGCCCACGGCGATATTTGCTAATATATTGGCTCATGAACAATCCCAATTAGCACCCTTTCCGATTGATCAATGTACACAATACTTATTTATTCGCGTATAATTCGCACTCGTGTGTTATATGCACCCTTAATTATGGGCAATTAAATTCTGGAAAAATATATCTCTCGTATATAAACATTTCAGGCTGTCAGCATAAACCACGGAATTTATCTTACAACTCTGTTTTTTTCGACAAAACAATGTTCTAACAAGAGCCCCCTATTTCTAATTTTGAGAGCGCCCTGGGCGCTTATTACGTCGAGTAAGGTATATCTCAGATTTGAACCAATTATTACAAGTATCTGGAACATCTGTGGTACAGAACTCTGCACAGTGAACTGCAGTGTCTTAGACTGGGCTACAAATTTGCAAGAACTGAAAATCAGTCATGCTCATGTAACACGGTCTGGAGTCATCCCACAGATGACAACCATGCCAGTTTGCTGACGCGGTTATCCCCTTTATTCATGTGGACAAGGCATCCGACCTTGGATCAGAAGGTTCGAATCCCATCACGGGACTCCAACACTACAGTGCCCTCACCTTATCAAGGCTGTTGGTCTGTTTCTTCCCATAGAAGTGATACTTGAACCTCTTCTTCAGGGGCTTCAGCATCAGCTGCAGCGGCAGGATGAGGGGCTTCAGCCCCGGGATGTTCAGCAGGGCAGGACTCGACACCTGGGTCTCGATAGAGATGGTGTCACTAGCAGGGTCAAGGACACTCACTCAACATCATGTTCAGGCATTCGTGACAGACTAGGGTTTTACAACACTTTTGGCAATATTCTACCAATATTACAGCAGGGGCCTTAAAAAATATTGGTTGGTTGGTTTGTTGTTTTACGCCGCACTCAGCAATATTCCAGCTATATGACGGCGGTCTGTAAATAATAGAGTCTGGACCAGACAATCCAGTGGTTGATATCATGAGCATCGATCCACGCAGTTGGGATCGATGACATGCTTCAAACAAGTCAGCGAGCCTGACCACCCGATCCTGTTAGTCGCCTCTTACGACAAGCATAGTCGCCCTTAAAAATAAGCTTCAAACAATGTACACATTGAGGGGATTGAACCTGGGACTGGCATGATGAGACTCAATTTACCACCTGGCTACCACTCGGCTACCATTAGGCTACCACCACCCACCCACCCACCCACCCCCCCCCCACACACACATACCACATACATACCATCCCCCCCCAAAAGAAAAACGTTTACCCCTTTATTCTAATTATAGTTGCCCTCCCAATATCTGTTGTTGCTGCCAATCAGTTTCTTGGGATTTTACAATTGGAGCTGATGAATGCTAACTTTACCATGTTTACACCACAAATCTTATTAAGTTCATATCATACTGACATAAGCTGTCAAAACAATTATTCATGACACATTTCTTCAGGACAATTACTATTCCAAGAACATGTGTTCTGACATGTGTTGAATTTGTATGCGCCATTTCAAATGTACTGACAGTAAAGCTTATTTCCCTATATTTGCCACTGTTCTCTCATTTATTTCCATCAGTATGCATACATACTCTACAAATGGTTTGTCATTTTCCCCAAAAGGATACGGTAAGACCAGTTGTAAGAGCTGCTTGAAGAGTGACTGCATTCTTGACTTCATCTCTGTGGCGTTTGCAACAATGGGTGCTTTAATAGTTGATGCCACCAGTGGCCACCTCATAGCCTTCAGGACATCCTCGAATTCCCTTTATAACCAAAATCTTAAAGTCAGTGAATATTGCTTATGCAATACAGACGTAACAATACATTCATTTTTAGTCAACAAATATATACAAGAGAGAATTGATATGCAGGACTTCACTTCAAAATTGAAAGAAAGGAAACGGAGAACTACATGTATATAGATATGAAAGAACATATTTCTAAAACTTCATTTAATAAGCGTATGGGGTGAGCGAGTGAGTATTGTTTTATGCTGCTTTTAGCAATATTGCAGCAATATCACAGCTAGGGACATCAGAAACGGGCTTCACACAATGTACCCTTGTGGGGAATGAAACCCAGGCTTTTGGTGTGGCGAGCAAACGACTTAACCACTACCCTACCACACCTACCCTACATTTTATAAGCATCCATCAATCTTCAGATTGATCTTGAAATCTGTGAAAAATCATTACAAATATATGACAGTGTGACACATATGTCCAAAACTGTTTAGGGTTATGTTTTGAATGACCTGGAGCCCCTTGAATCCTGAACCATTTGAATATCAAGCCGACAGGCTTTCACTTACGCTGCTATTTTATCCTTGAGAAGCTTGTTCCAGAATAAGATGGTCTCCTTGGTGAACTGCACCAGGTTTTTGCACTGGGACTCCTCAAGGCTGTCGTAAAGGGCAGTCAGACTGTTGAACACCTCCACAGCATTCCCCATAGACTCTGTGATCAGTGCAGCTTGTAACTGGGAGCTGATGACAGTGTACCAGGTTTTAAAGCAGTTTTGCAAATCTGACGTTTCACTGTTATGTATTGTTTCATGTCTTGCAATCAGCTATAGTATGCTTTATAAAAAAAACCCATTATATTATAACTACTTTTAAATATTATAAGTTTCACTCCGAGCGGGTCCAATTTCATTATAGATTTCATGGAATGAAAGCCAAGCTGTACAAACATCTAATCTTAGTCATGGTTCCTTGAGAATAGTTGCTTGATATTCTGTTAATAATAATAATCATCATCATCATCATCATCATCATCATCATCATCATCATCATCATCATCATATGTGCATTTATAATGCACCAGATTCCATTCACAAAGTGGATGCTCATGGCGCTACACCATCATTACCCCGGTCAATGGATCAGTGAGCACTCGATTTTCATCCTCACCTCCCTGAGGAGTATACAACCCAAGCTACCTGTAATTAGGGCGCTAGAAGGTTCACAGCCACATTACCATCTCATCCTACCAGGTACCCACTCACTGCTGAGTGAACAGAGGCACATTTCCAACAAAGTCACTTGCCTAAGGAGACACCACATGTGCTTCAGTGTGGACAGGACCAAAGCCCTAGAAACTCTCAGGAGTCAAGCTACTGAACGCGGTCACCCATCCAACTACTCTCCGAGACCGACGTTGTTTAACTTCATCTGATTTGTGACCTGTGCACTGTGCACAAGACCACGTGCCACCACGAAAAGAAAAGAGTGTGATATTATTGCTCCTCCTCACCTGCAGTCTTCCACCTTTGCAACAATGCTAAGGTATTTGGTGTATTGCTCCAGCTCCTCCACCTGCTGAGTGAGTACTGTCAGATCATCCAGCATGGGCTTGTGTACTCGCAGGTGGTCCAGGATATCGTGCCTCACCGTTTCCTGATTCTCACCAACCTTCTTAATCTGTTTGCTGATAGTTTGAGCGTTTTTGATTGCCTTCTTAATTTCTGACGGAACTTCTGAACTGGCAAGTGAGACCTAAATAAATACAAAATAGAGACACTTTTACAACAGATCCATTTTCCAAAGGCTTTACATATTTGTTGGTAAATGAATGTCATGGAAATAAAAATAGAGCTTTTAAAAATATTTTATGATTTGTGGACAATTGTAAATATAGAAATGTAGACAAGCTTCTAGCCGTCAGATGTTACTAGCCTCTCGGCATAGAGCCTTTAACAACAAAAACCTTGTCAAGTAGAAGTGAGCTATGTTAATCACCACTTAAAGGGGCACTGATCTAACGCAATTCCCGGGACTGGTTGTTGCCTTTGTTATTGTTTTTTCCCCGTGAGTACCCGGATGATACGCAACGCAACAGAGCGTGACCGGAGACTGGGCTACCGTCTGCAAGGACAGCTAAATAAACTTGGCGGCTGGAGGCAATATTTGTTTTACGAATTTTTGCATAAACACTGATTGGTTAACTGGGATCTATAAAGATTTCGACAAAGGGCGCATGTTAATTAATTTCTTCAGCCTAAACAAACAGACAAAAAGAACCGCGGAGCTCATCGGATGTCCTCATTTGGAAATACCCCAGATGGTTATAGTTATAGGATTGCGTCGATAATACGATTACCAATCCCTTGTTGTCATCCACGTTTTCTCGTATAACCCTACACTTGTGTATTTGTCGTCATTCACTTGATGCTCATTCAATGAATTTATTACAGGTACAATTATTGGTAGCACCACTTAGATTACCTGACAAAGGTTCCCATTTGGCATTTATTGTGTCTGGAGTAATTATTCAATCTAAATCCAGGTTTGAAGTGAGGTGAAATGTGTGTTATGTAATATGCACGTGGCAGACCAGCAAGAGGGGAATGATCAGTTGATTTACTTCTTTGTTGTAAATCAACAGATCGTTCCTAGTCATCAAAGGATTAACAGAAAATACGTTGATTGATTAATCACTGTTATCTTGCACAGTGGATATGTCAAAAGTGAGTGTTTACATGTCTAGGTTTACTAAAACAAAGGGAATACACTCATATCATGGCGTGAAGTGCCGATGTAAAAACAACATACTTTGTTCAAAGGGTTAACTGATAATACGTGGATTGATTGCTCATTGTTATCTATCACTCAATGGATTTTTAGGAACCGTGGGCGTTATGAAAATAGTTGTCACGTGGGCTTTCTCAGCCGACCCTTGAGACTTGACACCTATGTGAAACACCTGAAATAATCCGAGTGATCAGTTGAGAAACGAACACGGGTTATAATATCCCGAAACGATATATATCTTTTAACATATTTGATTGTTACAGAGACACGTGACATCAAATAAGTTTCTTTGTACATCTGCAGACGAGTGGGATATTGTTCCTTTGTGTGGATATTCACGGATACATTCCTCGAACAAGGAAGCTCCTAAATAGTATACACATAAATTTGGTAGGTTGCAATTATGGTATTTGCATTTTTTTTCCCTTCATTTGAACCGATTCGGTCTTGTTTCTCTACGTCTTGGTTGGGAAATTCTTCAATGCGCGATAGACGTTGTTTTCACAGGTCTTTTCCTTTGTAAGCGTGTATATATTACCGTCAATTTGTAAAATGTGATTCTCTCAGGCAATCTATAAAATGTGTAAATATTTCAGTCATTTTGACTAAAAAATCTGTCCAGATTGATTAAGATGATCAAAAGGGCCTACAAACATCACAACAGATTATTATGTAGGATTAGAAGCCACACAACATAGACATGTACTTTTCAACGTAACATTTTCAGTCTCTTGGTGATGACATTAAACATCAAAATGTTTGGAATTCGTTATCATAATAATACAGATGGAAATGTTTTTCAGTCACTTTGTAAAATAACTCAATATTTAGACTTTAAAATTAATTTGAAAATGTTACACATTTTGACAGTAAAAAAATATACACACTATAAAAAAAGCAATGCTCAGGTGAAATATTTACTTTGTGTTGCAAGTCAAAATAGTGTTAATGAAAATCGCAAAATTACCAAGCAAGTGACTTATCAAAACTTCGTCACCATTGCCAATGCTACCCACAAAGATACCTACATTTCCCTATTATCTCGAAAACTGTATTTCATTTTGTTGATCAATGTGACCATACGCCCTTATTACTACCCATAAAAGTGACTGATGCGCTTACGAATTGCGCAGCAGAGGTCGCGAACTAGTCTAGATTTCAGCTATACATCCGGGTACTCACTGGGAAAAAACAATAACAAAGGCAACAACCAGTCCCGGGGAATTGCGTTAGATCAGTGCCCCTTTAACCCCAGTAGTGCTTTAAAGGACAAGTGAAAATAAACGATGAACTTCAACCAAACACTGGCCTTTAATTTCTTGTACTGCCACAAAATGCATCCATCTTCTTAAAATTATAGGTATGCTTATGCCAAGGTGTATCATGGATAGCAACTTCTATATTATACATACACAACATTTATAATACAACGATAATACTAATCGTCCTAACCCTGTCTTTCACCTTTGCAACAATGCTAAGAAATTTGGTGTTTTGTTCAATCATTTGAAGGGGCAAGAAGCGAGGTGAGGTGACGTGAAATTGGGTTTAACGTCGCGTCCAAGATTAAAAAACAGTCGGTTTTGTTGTCATGTCCGAAAACATATGATCAGATGATAAAAAAATGGGTTGCTATCCTCCAAAATATTCCTTGTCATAATTATATCCAACTTCTAAAAGACTATTATAGTATAAATACTATCATTGGTATTCTTGTTAGGCAATGTAAAATGATTGTTGTCACTTAGAGTAAAACATACTGAACTGTAAACACACAAGGGATTTTATTGGGGCTTCTGATTATGATGTGAAAGGGCGAAATATGGATAACGTCAAACAAAACAAAAGAAGTACCTTTTTCTCCAAAGATTCTTTCTTCGCTCGTGTCTCTTCGTATAGTGTTTTGGCATTAAATATCGTTCTGATGTTGTCAGTGAATTCGGAATTAATGTAGTCAACAACATAGTCGTCCAGTGATAGGGTTGACATCTCAGAGCTCATGGGCGCTGCCATGTTGGCAGTGAAACTGGAGCTTCCTAATACTTTCCTTACTACTATTAATCAATCAATGAAAGCATGAACACTGCCAATGGAAATGACAATTCTGATAAGACTTATTCTTAACTGTTAATTTGTGTATGGGTCATGGTAAAACAGTGCGTACAATAACTGTTATCCAATCAGAATAAACATACAACTTTCCACTATCTCACTTTCACTCACATCCCACGTCGTTATCTCACCAAGCTTGTATGGGGACGCCCACTTTCGTCTACAGTTCGTTTGGTCTACAGTGTTTTCAAAACAAAGTTATGCTCCAGTGATTAGAGGGGTAATAATCTGACCCCTTCAGAAACATAGTGGACCCGTCCTAGTCTGTCTTACAGACCCTAATACAAATGTATAAAGAAACAGCCCTTGCAGGTCTCTAATGTTTGGCAAGTCTAGATTACTGTAGTATCAGTCTGAAAATGAAGAAATTTTCGGGGCTCCTTTTTATTATATTTTTATTAAGATAATTGAATGACTGTTTTTTTCTGTACGATATGTTCATTTAAGAGACTAGATGATAGTCTAGACCAGCCCCTGTAGGATAAGATAAAGAAGAATAAGAGAGAGTCGAATATATACATGATATACAAAGACCAAATATAACATACCATAGTGTAGTCAACAACAATAAAAAAAATTACTTAAGAGACTTCTGTACTGCAGCAGAAGACTAACACTTAGTCTCTGAAATGAACATATCTTAAACAAAAATAAACCCAAAAAACAGTTGTTAGATTGTAGTTATAAAATATAATAATAAGATGTCCTGAGACTTTCTTCCATTTCAGAAAATGCAGTAATTTAAACCATACTTGGGCTAAAGTGCTTTGGTAATTTTTAACCTTTTGTCTATAAAAGGTGGAGGGCGAATATCTGAGGTTACTGTATCCCCTCACTGATTCATCGTTTACTATCAGCTGTTTTACATGTCGAAATATATGGTGACGAGGAAGTGTGTTTCTTTAACTCTTCGTGTTCGTGCTATCAACATCAACGTGGATGCAAGAGAAATTGTTTCTTAGTCGATAGTTTTTAGGAAAATACAATACGTGTTTTTCTCGTACATTCTCGATCACGTGATTCGTTCCGAGACCAGTGTGCGACAGAATTTGATGGTAAGTGGAGGGAAAACTCTCATGATAATTTCAGCCGAATGTGCTTCCCTGATGTTGTGAAAAGTACATCTGTATCGGCATTGATTAATTTAAGCTCCATAGTCTGTCATTGTGAAAAGTACGTGTGATAATTTATGTTCCGAGAATATTTTAAGATTCACGTAAAAGCAGACGTCGATCCATTATCTTGATTTTTATTTTATTTTGGAGAGAACACATTTCAGCTTTGTAATATCTCCCCGAAAGAACACTAATTCCTTTTAAAACTTCCCGTACATCTTCGTTATTTTAAGGTTATCCTCTTGTGTCTGTAGTGTGTGACTTACATTGTGGATCATTGTTCAACAAGTCAACATGTTACTATTATTGTAAGGCATGGCACTGACAGTCACGTTTCTTCCCCGGATATACATAACGTTTACGTACGTTTACGCTTCATAATAGACGACTAGTTATTGTCAATGTCATATTGACTCTCTTAGGTACGGGCGTAACTTCTTTCTATTCTACCTCTGTAGTTATGTTACTATTCCTGGGGTTAAGTTAGTTAAAACTCTACACGAGAACACCTGTCACTCATCAATTCAAGAAATGAGACACAGTGAATGTTGTTGACTCCACAATATTCCAGCTATGTGACACTGACCTGTAAATAATGGAGTCCTGGGCAGGCAAACCAGAGGTTGAGAGCATAAGCAATGATCCACACATGGGATGGTTGCGGCATGGATAATGGCTCATGCTATTGATCACTGGTATGGCTTGCCTGTGTAGTATTTGTCTAGGTACACCCTACATTTTAAAACCCTTAAACATTTGGGTTATCACAAGGTCCCCTTGAATTTTGTGCTTAATTTTGTACACGTGAAGTGTGACGGGTAACTGTGATATTGCTGACTGGAGCTTTAAACAACATTCCTTCATTTGCAGTACTGTCGCCATATATATATATATATACTTGACAGTTTTGTGAAGAGATTAAATGCCACTGAAAATATGAAAACAATAAAATAAACAAGAATACCATGACAAGTGCATTTATTTGCAGGCTTTTTGTCTTCAGCTCCAATGCTTGAAAATGCATTAGAAGTAGTACAACCCCCTTAGACCCCCTTCACAGCTCACAAAGCCTTGTATCATCCATGTTAATACATATCTAAATGGTTTATTACAAAAGAAGCCCCATGATAGGCAAACACAGAAAAGGATCTGTCTTTACCCCTTAGCATGCTTAGAGATATATGTCTCTTACAAATAATACTGGGGCGGTAGAGTAACCTAGTGGTTAAAGCGTTCGCTCGACGCCGAAAACCCGGGTTCCATTCCCCACATGGGTACAATGTGTGAAGCTCATTTCTTGTGTCCTCTACCCTGATATTGCTGGAATATTGCTAAAAGCTGGGTAAAACTATACTCACTCGCTCACAAATAATACTATTGTGCATGCTTAGCAAATACTGCTGTGGGCACTTATTGGTGCAGGGCGCTAATTAAGTTGAATATGGTATGCATATTAGTTCCTATTTTACAATTCATTCATCTGCCGGAGTTGAAATGAAACTGAAAAAAAATATATATTGAAAATAAAAATGCTTTCATCAGAGCTCCAGATAACTTTTTGAGCAATTGAGTTTTTACTCTGGGATTTCTATACTTATTGGGTTATTATATTTTTCATTGGGTAACCAATATTTTTTCACTCATCTATTCATCAATCTATTGTTTTTTTTCTCCAAATTAATGATCATTTTAAAGATTTTGAAAAATGAAATAATGGTTTAGACGTATATAACTGTTCTTAGGATATAGGCTTGACTTGGAAAGTGAATTAGCTCGTAATTGTGTTTCGGAAATTAGCACCTTTGTACGCCTGCTGAAGAAGCTTCATTGGGTATTTACTCATGCTGTTTTTATACATTTGAGTTTTTCTTTTAATGCATGCGTTTCTGTACACAAGTTAATTAAAAATAATTGGGTTTTGAATATTTCTAGGGGGTATTTTACGCAAATGCGCTGCTTATCTGTAGCTCTGTTTCATAAACTGGCATGTGTTATAAAATGAGCCGTAGCAGGCTAAATTTAGTAAACGCATTGAAAACTCTGAACATTATTCAATCACATCACATGTAGAGATGATAGATCACTGAGAGGAGCTTACGCACACTCGATGATCCCTAATGTCATAGGGGATTGTTTCGCCAGTGTATCTGGCAACATAATTTCACAAATTACGTCATAACGTATTGTGACATGTTTGAAAAAGTTTGTGGTACTGTATTCTAAAGATAGGCCTCACCTGCTATTTAGTTAGCTGATCACCTCACTCATGATGAATGGGAGACTGCCTTTGACTGCCCCATTGTAAGATTCACCATCTCTACCATACTTTGTTTCAGTAAAAGAAAATCAGCTGCATACACTGTTTATATCTTGTAGAAAAAAACACCATGTCAGGTTCAGGAATTGCGCTTGGTCGTCTAGCAGAAGAGAGAAAAGGATGGAGAAAGGACCATCCATTTGTGAGTAACTTAATATTTATTTTTATAACCCAACAAAGTAAAGTGTTTGGAATCAACACACACGAGTATCCAAATTTCCACATGATAGTGCTGCTCTGATATTTACCCACCAGCTGTTTCAGGGCCAAAATTGTTTTCAGAGTCTTTGTTTCTGAGTTGACAAATGTGATACAACTGGAACTAGTGTCTGACATTACAGTAACGAACACGCTTATAACAAACTGACTGATATAACAAACTTATTTTTTAGTGCTGGCCAGTTGTATATATTCTGTATATATGCATATAATGTTACAAACTAAAATACCGTATTCAACGTAATAAGCGCCCCGCTCTAATAAGCGCCCACGGCGATATTTGCTAATATTGGCTAGTGAACAATCCCAATTAGCACCCCTTCCGATTGATTAATGTACACAAGACTTATTTATTCGCGTATAATACGCACTCGTGTGTTATATGCACCCTTAATTATGGGCAGTTAAATTCTGGAAAAATATATCTGTCGTATATAAACATTTCAGACTGTCAGCATAAACCACGAAATTGATCTTTCAACAAAAATAGTATTCTAATGATAACCCCCTATTTCTAATTTTGAGAGCGCCCTGGGCGCTTATTACGTCGAATACGGTAAGTGGTCCCCTTGAGTTCGTTATAATCATAGTTTACTGTAGTTATAAAGCATGATCAATCACAACTACTGGTACCAGGCTAAAGACTGATGATCAGCTTAGGATAATTTTTAGTCTTCATGTTATGTTATCATATATGTAGAATGATGTGATGTATACTTTTCTGTGGTAAAAGTTTCTCAGATGAGTTGTGAAGTCCACAATATTGATCTTTAGAAATACTGATTGATTAGTCAATCTTTGAGGTCTTCTTTGTACTGACTATGCATAGATTAAGTTAATTAATGAAAGTACAATTAAGTGAAATGTCCCGTTGTAAATTGTTGGTGTAGTTAATGTCTTTCATGTTGTGTAAATATTTGTTAATCTGTTTCGTTTTGCTGTAGGGTTTTGTTGCCAAGCCAGTAAAGAATGCAGATGGTACAATGAATCTACTGAACTGGGAATGTAAGATCCCAGGAAAGAAAGGGGTATGTACCACATATTGTCATGATTCAGTGTATAGTTCAGTTTACCCACTACACACCATTTTGGGTTGGGATTATCAATTTACCCACTACACACCATTATGCGTCGTATTGTTATCAAATTGAAATCTCAATACTTGGCAAATTTATTTATGAGAAATTGTTCAGTAATCTTAATGGGGTCAGGAGCCTGAGGAGGCATATCATTATGTGACACCCAAACTATTATGTTAGCCTGAAGGTAGCCGTCAAAATTCATCCTTGACTGCTAGCCCAATACTAATCATGCTAATAAATTCGGCTGAGGACAAGTACAAATCCAAAGATGGAAGTCCTTACTGACTAGTTGCATTTGTGGGCACGTCCATTTTACTACAAATTGGAACTGAAAATAATTTACAGAAAATGTGAACATAGCAAAAAAGTCTTCTTCAAGCAGGACTAGCTACCAACTCTAAGAACCAGTGGAGTATGGGATATGCATTTTTTCTGGACTAGTCTTTAAGAAAGAAATTTCGTCAAATTCAAGGTTGAAAGCTGATACGAAGGTATAATAACTACATGAATAAGTTGAACACTCAGAATCCAATCCATTAGTTGCACTTTTACCAGATTGTATTCCCTCTTCAAAGACTGGAAATGATCCTCAAGAGTTTACAGTTTTGAATTCATGTCTTCTGTTGGATTATGATGAAGCAGAAATTGTTGTACCAACACAAAGGGTTGTTATTATGGTAACTTAGTTCAAGAAGAATGTTGTAGGTACAGAAGGAACTGCTGAAATCACTGAACATTAGGCCACTTGCAGCTTATAGTTGATAGGGCCAATAGTCATTGTAATGTGAATTGTCATGTAAGATGGGCTGAACTGTTTCAGACGCCATGGGAGAATGGACTTTACACGCTCAGAATGCTTTTCAAGGAGGACTATCCCAGTACACCCCCAAAATGTAAGTCTTGCGAATCAGATATCATACACTTTATATATTGAGTATGTTATCCGTGTCATCCAGTGTCCCTCATTCAGTCTTGCTTGACAACGGTTGCTATTTACAGTATTAAACATGTTAAAGAAGTTGTTATCCATAAAATTGTGTCTACCTTGTCTAACATGACTCCTGAGACTTACAAAATATGTTCGTGATTTCTAATGGAGGTTTGTTCTTTTTTTTTAAGGTAAATTTGAGCCTCCACTGTTCCACCCGAATGTGTATCCATCAGGAACAGTGTGTTTGTCCTTGCTGGATGAGGAGAAGGACTGGAGGCCAGCTGTTACAATAAAACAGGTACCCTAGAACCTGGCAACCTGTTGACATGTCATTGATCATCTCGAATGCACATGCTTAAATTGCAAGAACAATTGGGATCGGATACATGTTTAGTACTTTGATGGGTGACCCAGTTCTTAATGACTATCCACAGCCAATAGTTTTATCTTTTTAGGCAAAACCAGACTGCAAACAACAAAGCTTTTCCTCACAACGCCCTTCACTCACTCTGCTGATCTTACATATATAATATGGCCACTTTCATATAGCTGGAATATTGCTGAGTGTGGCGTTAAACAAGAAACAAACAAATTATACAACAAAGCTAAATACCACCCCCCACCAAAAAAAAGTATTCAAAACCCAATTACGTTTAATAAACTTGCATACAGAAACACATGCATTAAATGAAAAACTCATATGTATGAAAACAGCGTGTGTAAATACCCAATGAAGCTTTTTCAGCATGCGTACAAAGGAGCTAATTTCCGAAACACATTTACGAGCTAATTTACTTTCCAAGTCAAGCCTATATTATATTTAGAACAGTTATATACATCTAAAACATTATTTCATTTTTTAAGATCTTAAAACTTTCACTAATTTTTGGGGAAGACACCCCTTCCCCCCCCCCCCCCCAAAAAGAAAGAAAACAGGTGAATAGATGAAAAATGTAATGACCCAATTAAAATAGAAACCCCAGAGTAAAAACTCAATTGCTCAAAAAGCTATTTTGAGCTCTGATATTAAAATATGAAACATGTATCAGAGAAATAATACCAAGTGTTATACCCATTTATATCTTTCGTGAGAGTAAGTTGGCATTAAATTACATACGAGCAGTTCTGATTCCTGAAGCAAAACTAATCGCCCATGCATCTCTATTACTGCGAATTAGGCACATCATTGATAATCATGAATAATCATTGATAATCATTGTGATTCTGTGAGTTGGGTTTTACGCCGCTTTTAGCAATATTCCAGCTATACGGTGGGAGAAACCAGAAATGGGCTTCACACATTGTACCCATGGGGGAATTGAATTGGCCTTTGGTTTGACGAGCAGACACTTTAACCACTTGGCTACCCCACCGCCCCTGATAATCATAGATAATGGGTCACTTGACCAGTAAGTATTCCAATAAATCTGATTCTTGTTTCAGCAGTAAGTACCATGAACTTGGTATTTTATTGTTTCCATAATTCATTTACCTGTGGCTAGTTGCATTTTCTGAGACCCTGTGTCATTTGTAAATCAAATAGCTGGGTTTAATCTCTCACTTAAGTACAGTGTTTGAAACCCTTTCTGTATGACCCTCCCATGATCTGGCTGGAATATTGTTAAAAGTGATGCAACTTTCAAATCACTCACCTGCAAGAGCTAAAACAATCTGCTGGGCTGCACTCTATGACATAATATGTGTTCCTAAATTCTGTAAACTTCTGTCAAAATTTGATTAAGAGCTGCGGTTTTATATATGGTCATTGTAGGTGATAATTATGTATGCACTCTGATTTAAGTTAGGTATGCCACGTGTGGACATGGTTTAGATGACATGTTTTTATATAGATGTTTTTTTAATAGAAATGTGGTCTCTAAAAGTCTAATAATAGTATCAAAAGGATAATTCCAAGATAACAAGGAAGTGTTAATTGACCTTCACATATCTAGGGGGCATGGCCAGTACTACTGTTTAACTTGCCGTAATTCACCGTGCAGAGTTGCATCCCTTAGACGCGTGAGAAACATTTTTCGCCAAAGTGGTCGTCTACAACATGCATCACTTTGGGCTTTCCTCCAACATCAAGCTGCCATGCCATGTAATAACTGAATAATGTTCAAAACATGTTGAACCAAATTATCTCACTCACTCACATACCTTACCTCGTAAGTATGTTTTAGTAAAGAAAGGCAATGTATCCATGTATATCTGTTCCAGATACTATTAGGGATTCAGGAGCTACTGAACGAGCCAAACATCAAGGACCCTGCTCAGGCTGAAGCATACACCATTTACTGGTAAGTTCCTGAATTTATTTGCAAAAACTGTCAGTGACCTTTTGAAATTAATTCTTAACTCCTCATTAGGCGCTGCATGATGATTGAAATTCGGCTTATTGCAGACAATATTTTGTTCCATCTCAAATATTGTTAACGCCATGTTTAAACTGTATATGAAATTGCAGTTGTAAGTTATACCATCGCCTCTTGGAAGTAATTGGCTTATTCTGTTTTGATTATAAATCATATCCATTTTAATATGTGATTGTTATGTTAACTTTTTTGAAGGATGTTTCAAGGTGTTCTACATATGTTCATTTGACATTAAGTATTAGTTGATAAAAATATTTGCATGTCATGCTCAATGACATAAATTTTCAGCTTTTTAACGTCGTCAAATTTCTCCAATTGGCAACACTATGAACTGATGTACTGAGAAGTTCACAGAAGGCAAACACATGGCCATACTGATTTAGACGTTTACTGACCCAGTCCTAGAGAGGAACTTGTCTCGTTTCACCAGATTATTGGTTTCAATCTTATCAGCTGAAACACATACTCAAACCTAATTTAATACTGCTTATTCCATATATAGTTTTTTCTTTTTGTGTGAGAACGAAAACTTTCGTCACTAACATCTAATATTAACACTGCTCATCTTGAAATAAGGATAACTAACTATTTTTCAAGTTAGTAGTTTCAGTGTAAGAGAACGGAATACTGCAACTTTTGTCTGGTAGGTTTGTGAAAGAAAGATGCATTCGTGTACTTCTGACTCTCCCTCAACTAAAGTCCTGAGTTTGTTGAGATTTGAACACCTATATTATGCTGCTATAATTTCCTTTTGGCTTTCTCTATTAAACCTGTGTGAAAATATATTGCCAAAACATGTGAATCCGTAATACGTGTCAATTTGTTTGGTGGAATGGATATTGTCATGATATGAGTCACAGAATTGTGCTTAATTTCAAAATTTATTTCTAAGTTATTGTTGAGTGCTACATGTAAACAGTAGCCACTAACGTTTCTAGTTTGGGTTTACCTGGAAGTTTGCTGGTGTTGTGGCAGTTTTTGGTGATTGCTTTTGAAAATATCAACTGTGTACATTCTCATGCAAATGACTTGGAGAGTTCCCTTCCTTAGTATACTGTAAATCTTGAAATTAATGTGTCTCCAAATTAATATGTCTGCTGACCCCTAGCTAAAAGTGCGATTCAGTATCAATACGACTCACCCTTCCCCTACCCCATCCCCCCTCGTGGAATAACACATATCCCACAATGATACTTGACCCCAGCAGTGAAAACTAACCGGATGCCTATTGTGTAATTCCTATTGTTTGAATGACATTGTTGTATACTTGTTACAACTGCTGCTCAATAAACCGTGGTTGTGTTTATGATGAAATTGGTATTTTTGCTATCCAAAGTGTGCAGTGAGGCCGTTTAATTGTTGATAGTAATTTTGGAGACATAAATGCGAAGTATCATCAGTGAGGACAAAGACCACTCGCTTTTTACGCATGTAATTCACGCTCAAATTTCAAGATTTCCAGTATATCCATGATTTTTCATTTTTTTGGTTTAAAATTCTGACAGTCATTCAATATCAATGCACAGCATAACATTTCCAAAAATGTAATTGTTTTGCTCTGAAGACTCCTATCAACGGTTACAATAATATAAAGTGGTGTTTGACAAGCCATTGATATATGTATATAAGGTTTTAGGTAACCTGGAAACGTCTCTAATCTCGATAGGAGTGTTGATATAACTTGGTTTTCTCTTTTGTTTACAGTAAGAATAGACAGGAGTATGAGAGGAGAGTCAAAGAACAGAGTGTACAGTTGAAGGACCCCAATGCGCAAATGTAACACTTATAACATGAACTTACTTGGAACTCTTATCTGGTGAAATGACACATGGTTTCTGCTTGACTGCACAAGTTCCCTGTGGTTTAGCAGTTGCCACATGTGCCCAAACAGTCCTGGGTCATCTGAATAATCATGAAGACAATGAAACTGTGTAGACATCAATGAAGAACCGATCTTGGGTTCCCATACGGCATGTGTGGTCTGACATTTCATTTTAGTCCGAAAGCTTTGTTCATATCTAATTATTATACCAACAAAGTTTTTGAAAAGAATGAAGACTGAAAACATTCTTGCAAAGACTTACAACAGTCGTTTGTTTTGATAAATATTTTTATTAAATATTAAATATCATTGCTAGTCATTGCTGCTGCAAGTTACTTGGAGGAAGTTTTTGACAGTGCCCTTACTAAGGAAGTCATCAGTTTCCTTTCCCAAACTGTAGCTATGTTAGTAGCTTAAATCTGGTATAACAGTTTTTTAATAAAAAGAAATACATTGTCTGAATTAACATGGTTAAGTTTCCTAGTCTTTGTTAGGTTCTGCCTTGTAACCATTTTGATAGAAACAAGGCTGCATGGTATTTAAATGTTAATGTCTTCACAATACATATCTTGATAGTTTTTCCAACAAGAAATTAGTACATTACTGAACATCAGTAAACTATTTGGAGAAGGTTGTCCGTGACATGCCTATAGGAATCCTTCATATCTGTGTAGCTGCATTCCTCTGATATAAGCCTCATCGTGTATGGAGCATAATCACATTGGTTGGTATCACCTTGCAGTTTGTGGATCAGGTTTACATTTTAGATACATATTCAAAACATTCTCATCAATCGCATTTCTCATTCTTCATTGTTGCATGGTTTTACATGTTTAACCAAACGCTTTGAATGTTTTATGTGTATCATCTCTGTGTTAGATACTAGTGCTCCTGTGCATTGATCCTGCACTGCCCTGTACGGACGTAGTGGCTTCGGTCCTATGTTGTACAGTGCTACACAAGTTACTGTAAATGGAGTACAATAAATTATTTCACAGCAACATCATACAAGAGATTATGTTATTTTTAATATATTTTGTGTAAGTTGTTTATTATTATTTATTATCATTCATGGAAGAATGGCCCATTTCTGGAGTATCCTGCCATGATGTTGTTATGATATTGCTAAAAGCGGCATAAAAACACACTCACTCATGGAAGAATGAGGGAAACTGAACATTTTGTTGCACACTGGTCTTAGGCACAACAATTCACCATGGTGGAACATTCCTTCACTGGTTTGTCTGTTCTGGGCTGAAATGCTGCAGCTGAGATAGTGCTGACTGTAAGACACTTAAACACAAAGTTGTGTCCCTTAGAATTGGCAGGATCTGCCAGGATTTGATTCCTAAATTCACCCTGATTATGATCCCCACTTGTTGGTGGCTAACATTTAAGACTACATCACTTAAGACTTGCCTTCCACATTGAGCTCACATGCCATGATATAAAAGAAATGGGTGCATTAGGGGTAGACAGTAAACAGGTTAAGGCGAATCGAGTAGAAACCTTAATTATTAAATGGTCCGCATCTCTTGATGAAGTCACAATATTGTATGCTGGACATCACTTGAGAATATTTCTGCCGTGATCTGGTGGATAGAGCATCTGCCTGGAGACCAGAGGTCGGTGGTTTGATCCCTGGCTGTGTCATACCAAAAGACACAAGAAGATGGTACTTTTTGTTGTGTCATACCAAAAGACACAAGAAGATGGTACTTTTTGTTACCCTGCCTGATGTTCGGCATTATGGGGATAAAACAGTATACTGTGTCTGAGTGGGGTATCAATATAAGTGCAATATTCTTGACTGATGTTAAACCCAATTTCTGCTCGCGACACATTCACAGATCTGTCACAAATAGGGGTTGTGGGGTAGCCTAGTGGTAAAAGCATTCACTTGTCAAGCTGACTGCCTGAGTTCGATTTCCCACATGGGTACAATGTGTGAAGCCCATTTCTGGGGTCCCCTGCCAGGATATTGCTGGAATATTGCTAAAAGCAGCGTAAAACCATACTCATTCACTCACTATCACAAATAAGAGACATGACCTAGCTCTGGTATTGAACATTCATGAGCCAATTACGACAAGACAAAAGGAATGGCAGTATAGAAATTTAGATATCAGGAATATGCCCTTTTATACATTGTTAGCCTGCCGCTGACGTCGGTCATCATGGACAAATCTTGCACTTGTGGATCCGGGTCAGAATAGATTGTCAGCAACCCATACTTGCCGTAAGAGGCAACTACACTTGTCGTAAGAGGCGACAAATGGGATTGGGTGGTCAGGCTTGCTGACTTGGTTGGTACATGTCATCGTATCCAAATTGCGTGGATCGATGCTCATGATGTCAATCACTGGATTGTCTGGTCAACTCATTTATTTACAGTCCTCCGTCATATAGCTGGAATATTGCTGAGTGCGGCGTTAAACAGTCAAACCAACAAACCCTGCATTCGCGAAGAGTGAAGCTGTTGACTCGACACTGGCTATTACTGTTGGTGCTGCAATTCTACCAGATGACCCAGAGTGGTACTAATAGTTGACGTAATTATTTTGACTAAATAAACTTGGCTAAATAAGCCAAAACTATTTAACCTCCTAAAAAGTGAAAAGCATACACAATATTTGATGTGGAAAGTATCAAAATTACTGCATATATAAACACTTGATGAATGATGACATTAGAATCTGTCTTCCGCAACCCATGCTTGCCATCCGTATAAGGTGACTATGCTTGTCGTTAGAGGCAACTAACGGGATCGGGTGGTCAGGCTTGCTGACTTAGTTGATGCATGTCATTGCATCCCAATTGCGTGGATCGATGCTCATGATGTCAGTCATTGGATTGTCTGGTCCAGACTTGATCATATACAGACCGTCATCTTATAGCTGGAATATTGCCGAGTGCAGCGTAAACAACAAACATTGCAAACAATATATCAGTGGAACGTCTCCTATGTGAAGACATTACACAAACATTACAAAGGTCAAGGTCATGAGAACTCAATTTCTCTCGTGTCGACCATTAACGTCAAGTATTGCCTTGCTCATGGACAAAATGGTTATGGAATCACATATTGGAGAATGTTACCCAACTCTGCAATAGTGAATGTACAAGGTTTGTAGCTGTGGTTCAGGATTGTACTCAGCAATCCAACCTGTCAGATGTTCTGTTAGGTTAAAACATGACAATTTAGAGGGCCACGGAAAGACCTGTACAATGTGGTCCCCATGAAGTCTGCTGTTGCAGCTAGTAGCCTACAGTCTGGTGTTCAGGATGCTGCTGTTGTAAACAGCGATCCAACTTGTACTATAGATGTTCTATCAGGTTCAGATCTGGTGGGAAGACATGTACATTGTGCTTCCATAGGAATGCTGCTGATCTACGGTCTAACATTGTATAAATAGATGACATTAAAGTAGTGTTGGAAATGCTAGAAAAATACTTTTTGCCTGTTAAAACAAAATAGAATGTTTCACAGACTGTTGAAATATCGAGTAACCACCGATCTACCTACCTGTGGCTTGAGGTATTTCAATCACAAGGAGTCCTATGGATAATTTTACAGGAGAAACAGCAAGTTCAGATTTAAACTAAGTCCAATTACTTATTAGGGAAGTATGAAACGGATTATAGAATATGTGCATGCGACTCCATTATGATAATAATAATGTAGTCTAATGCATGGGCCGATGTGAGGTCATCACCTCCGGATGTAGGCCGTTTCATACATGCATGACAACACACATATGTTGTCTAAGTTTATCACCATCTTACTTGTAAAAGTACCATTTTAGGCTAATCACAGTGTCAATTAGGATAGGCTAAATTAGGTAGATTATCGTTATTTTGATATATGCTATTTTCATGGTTCGTATTTAAAAAATGAAGCCAGAAAAGCATTTTTCTAACGTTTCCGACAGTATTTTAGCAGTGTTCTTAATGGGAACAACATGTAGCTGTTGGATTTCATCACACTTGCACTTGGAACAGGTTTGTTCCGCCAGTGTGAGAGATGAATGCCCACATCATTACGTTGCCACCTCCAAATATATTCGATCCCCTCTATGAAATTGGCAAAAAGCTCATGTCAACAAATCAGGACCCCTTGGCTGTAGTTAGGCCATATTCTGTGTGCTTGACACCACCACTGTCACAGTTGACGATGTTGCTGCACGGAAACAACGCCTCTGACAGGCCATCTAAGAAAGACATTCCTCACTGTCATAGAAAAGTCAGACTCTATGACTTGGCTGATTCAGTGTTATTGTATGCCTAATGTTCATGATGTTCATGCATGCACTTGTCTGGACTGGATTATTCAAAGGCTAATGAGATATAACTGAAATATTGTTTGATGGGCATTACTTAGAAGTCAATGGATTTGCAAGGCTGCTTGCTTGACAATGGTATAAGGATCTATACCGAGACATTATTAAAATCAGATCTTAGTTCTCGCTACCGCTAAACAAAGATCTGAGGACATCCCATTAGGGGTCACGTCAGAACGACCTTTCATCCGACCAATCAGAGCGTGGCTTACCAGATCATGAAAGTGACAGTCGGAATGTGATTTCTAATCATGCAACCTCGAAACTTTAACACGGGGTATTCCGAACGATAGTTACGGGTTTAATGACTGAATCCATACAATCTAGACCATATATTTGCCATTCCAGAATGTTCTTTTGTTCAGATTTCAAACTTTTAATCGAGAATTTGTCAAAATATGTTTCGAAGCGTAGTTGCCAATTTGAAATTAGTGCCGTAAAGCACGAGAAAGCTGCTTTCTGATTGGCTAATGTCGACTTCTTGTCAGTCCTTCCATTGGTCGGTCAAAATTCGCACAAGGTCGGTTTGACGTGACCCGTAATGTTGATGTCCTCAGATCTTTGTTTAGTGATAGCGAGAACTAAGATCTGATTTTAATGAGATTGAGACATTGCCTTTTCAGTAAATAAAGAAGTTGTTATCCATAAATTGTCTCTACTTTGACTGGAATAATGCTGACTGGCATTAAAACAACATTCACTCAAGTAGAAATTCCAGATTACTAGTCACATTATCTTTGGTCACTTAACATCATGTTTCATTGACAATGGTGATGATAAAACATTCAACAGGTAGTGTGTATTTGTCTCATTTCAGGCCCTGAGTTGGCACTTAACTCATTCTCATGACGTATATGTCACGACTGACAGTACATCTGAAAGAAAATAAATGAACTCTTTGCCAGAGTGACCCATGCTTGCCATAAGAGGCATCTATGCTTGTCGTAAGAGGCGACTAATGGGATCGGATGGTCAGACTTGCTGACTTGATTGATACATGTCATCTTATCACAAATGTGTGGATCAATGCTCATGATATCAACCACTGGATTGTCTGGTCCAGACTCAATTATTTACAGACCGTCATGTAGCTGGAATATTGCTGATGGCAGCGTTAAACAACAAACAAACAAACAAACTTTGCCAGAGTGCAAAATCAGAATTTCTAGAAGCACTCATAAAATCTTCCAAATGATTTGAACTTTGTCCTGTTTGTGTTGCAGCCAGGACCGATGCCAGTATGAGCAGAGAGTGAAGGAACAGAGCATGAAGCACCGAGATCATCAGTTGGGGCACTGAGATGTGGTCAACTCACTGCTGCAACAGTTGCTGTGTTCTCTCACAATTACCAGATGTATTTTTGACACAGCCCTCTCCAAGCATCTGTAAGAGGCTAACGATTATAAGATACTCAACCTCATTCTACCAACATCTTGCACAAATGACGGACTTAATTGGCGGCATGATTTAGCCTTTTATATTTTTTAAGTTGGTTTTTAAACTTTTTGTCCCAAAAGTCAATGTGGTTAGTCAGAGAAAAAAAATCAACTTCTAGATTAGCACTTAAACGGATGAATGAAATAAACTTCGAGATCACACCATCACAGAAGAATAATTGCGAAACAATACCTAGAGAAAACTTTTTTTGTTGTTGTTAAAATAATTTTTTTATTCATACATATATTATTCACCATTTCTTACAAACAGCAGTGATAAAACATTGTGTATGTTTTCCATTTCACCTAATTGTGAAACAATTAGCCAAAATACTTTTGTCAATATTATTATTTTTTTCTTTCTAATTTCATTTTTTGTTGTTGGTCAGTGTTGTAAACTAACTGGAAAAAAGATAAAGCCTTAGGTTGAAAGGATTCAAATTTGCCTGCTTTAGAGACTAGGCATTAATTGAAGGATTGGCATTAGAAGAAATATGACAGACACTCCAAGATCCTTTATTTAAGCAATTTAGTTTATCAGAGGATTAATGAATTTTGTTTTGTTTGTCCCTTCAAATAATAGAGAAACAAGTCATGTCATTTTAGTTTTATCAAATCTGTGGTATGCATTTAATGCACGAGTTGATGCGTGTTTCAATATTACATGATGCGATGTGCACTTAAACTGCATCGATGAAGGTTATGTTGCATTTTAGATTCTCAAGTAACATTTCTAAATTTAATTTTAGAATTTTTGTTTCAATCAAGTGTTGAAGAAGAATGTTTATTTGTGTTTTATTATAATTATTATTATTATTTTAGTAATAGTATTGTTTACAAGCATTTATACCCTCTTGTCTCATGTACATTACATCCTATCAATAGAAAAAAACATAGAAAGACTTTTCAAGGCATATTACAGCTCAAGTAGAGTCAGTATGTATTGTCTTAATCTCATACAATGACATGCTACCTTGGATTAATAATACGTCCCACAAGGGACGATATTCTGGTCGTTTTTAGATGTTTCATTGTCATTGGATTCCTTCTGACCTGTAGCTGTCATGAAGATTTTGTTTTAGATTATTTATCATATTAGCATATTTTCTTGAAACAGACAGGACATGATGACTGCATTCATAAACACCCCCAAATCATGGACCATGCTTCATTGCAAAGAAGTTTCAACTGAAAAGGAAAATATCCATTCTCATCGGTGTGCGTTAGAATATCCACATAACCAAATGACAGACATAACAAGGCAATGCGTGAAAGTTAACAGGTTCTTGTCCCAGCCCTTACCGTATATCGCTGTGTATAAGGCGACCCCACGTATAAGACGACCCCCCTGTAACCCTGTATGTTCAAAGGTTAAGGGGGTCCCTAGATTCAAACAGTAAAGGGTCCAACCTCAGGGACCCCAGGACCATCATAATTCGAACGCTGGGTTGCTTAAAAGGGAGGTGGTTAAGGATGATTATCTTGTGAATTTTACTGGTCCTAACATTACATTACCAGACTCAATAGCATTTGTTTCCACATATATACCAGCGATTCTTTTTATGAACAGATGAAGCGTATGCACTTTGTTCTCTAATTAAATGCCATCTTCCCAAGACAAGAGTGTCCTCTAGCCTGTATCAAAGTCTAAGGCCACACTTTTTAAATTTTGTTTCATGAATTTATCCCAGCTTTTCCACACAAGGTCGGTAGAAATAAAAATAAATATACAGGGATGAGAATCTTCGAAAAAAAATGCGAATTTTAGTGGCCACAAATTTGTTAAAATTTGATGGCTTCCCCCATAAACACCCCCAAATTATGGACCACGCTCCATTGCAAAGAAGTTTCAGCTGAAAAGGAAATTATTCATTCTCATCCCTGAATATATATAGCAATGTCAATCATTAAAAGTCACTCTGCGATGGAGTTAAAACTGCAAACGGCCTCTTGAATCACTGATAGTGATGTAGACATGGAATTTTATACATAACATTTTTTATTGTATTAGGACTATATTACCAGCGGGCGACATAACATAAAAATAAAAAATGTGTGGGCTAATTTGATATAGGCTACTAGATGCTCTTGCCTTGTGAATGGTGTTAAGTGCATGCTCATCTCGCTCCCTACATCTTTATTCAGTACGCGTTGACGTAACTTGTGTCATTCACATTTGTGTTGTTGGTTGCATATTGTTGACATTATCACATCATTGTGCCCTAAGGCAAGTTAAATTCCTTCGGTAATGTTTGTTTCTGCTCTAGCTTGACAGACATTTCTGTAATGATCCTTAACCCAGTTTTCTTTCTGTATTTTCTCATCTTCCCGAGGCGAGTGAGTGGAAACTGGCCTTTATAGCCAGTTAACACCCTTGCCTCGGGAAGAAGGTATTTTCTTTCTGTTTTGCTTGGATATTGTGACGTTATAAATGTAACTTAAACATGAGCCTCTATCTGTGTGTCTCCGAACAGACTAAAATGCTGAAAGATATTTCCTAAAAAATCCATGTAAATATTCATTTGTGAATTTTTATTTGAACTGGCTGAAAAATATAACAAAATATTTTATCTACTGTTCTTTCTCGTGATGTTCTAGTCCACATGGTACTTGAGTACTGGTCCGTATTTAAGAGTCCTGGTGCACTTTCCGTGGTAAGACCTGTTTTATTACAATAATTGATTAACAATCAGATCATCTTGAATGGGCACTGACATTATGTTTGAAGCAAATGCAAGTGATATGAGAGGTGGAATCTGATTGGTCAATAGGAGGGACATAGAAGGGACATAACTTGTAATAGCCACTGGTTGCACTACAATCAAGCAACAATGATTCAGCCTTGTTCAGCAAGGGTGGAAATCAGACTTTTACACTCAGTTAACTTCCTTGATTCAAGAAGATGCAACAAACTATGTCGTAAGAGGCGACCAAATGGATCGGTTGTCAGGCTCGATGACTCGTGTCCTCAAACCCGTTGGCATGGATTGTTGCTCACATTATCAATGACTGGATTCTCTGGTCCAGACTCAATTGTTTACAGGCCGCCATCATATAGCTGGAATATTGCAATGTGTGACATTTAACAACAAACAAACACTCTGATCCACATTTGGTGACAGTGTTTTACCATACTATTATGGTAATGATGTAAGATTCTACTTGGTGTAGCAAGTCGTATTAAAGCTCCTCTGAAAATGTGATTTGTATTAATTTAGAAACTGGTCATTTACAATGGGGGAGGTTAGTGAGATTAGGAGGGGTCCTAAGACCAATCTCACTCCCACCCCTATAATAAATGACTAGTCCCTTATTTATTGTTTTGTCTATAGTTCTAATGTTTATTTCAGTTTCTATTATTATGTTACAAAGGTCCTACTTTGTATTTAGAAGACAACTTCTTACGTTAAGTTATTTTGGCTATATTGTATCGATTATAAAACATGCAATAAAACATAACACACAAAGTAAAACAGTGCAATACCAAGTACCAAGGTAGACATTCAACATAATAGTCAGAAAGTAGGAAATATAAAAAATTTAAAAATAGTCAAAAAATCAGAATGAATAGACCTTGTTTGCAAGTGATGCTGCTGTTAATCCTTGTGGGAAGTGTGAGTAATTTTATTCCCTTACTCTAGAGGCCTACAAGACACATTGAAAAACCAACTCCACTGATTTCAGCAAATCAGAAGTTAAGATGTTCTGCCTACTGTTGATATTTGTTTTTTTGTAAATAGTTGTATTTAATGTTAATTGTTTTGTTGAAAACTTCTATGTGTGGGATTTACCCCCCCCCTTTACGTGCATGCAATACCGACAATCTACAGTCAGTGCTTTGAAGTTTTCCAGTGTATCAAGAAATCTCATTTTCCATTTTTATGATTAAGGAACTTCCAAGGAGTCAATTTTGAGTGCAACAATACCTTTTTGTAACACTGTTGTACTGCTTTGATTTGTTATTTAGTTTCAGATATGAGATGGACAGGACCTAAATAGTATTTTCTAAGCAATGATTAACTATAAAAGAATTGAATAAAAAATATGTCCATTTTCAGTTGAAATGATCAAATGTATCTTAACATTTATGATTTATTTGTACAGATGTACATTTGAATAAACTATCAAACTATAAATCTACATTTGTGGTCTTATCCCATCAGTTCCTTGCATTAGCCCTTCACTGCAGTCAGATCCTGGGTAGCAACGACTGTTGTATCTCTCTGGAAATTCTTGGACCTCAACCGCGCCAAGATTCGCTGGTCGTGGGTTCAGACCCGCCCCACTGGTGATCCTTGTCTACTGGCCATAACCAGGATCATAACGTGAGAAATAAACCTTAGTTTATTTTAATTTAAACGGCAATGCCATGGCATCTGATTTACTGTCCATTTATTTAACAGTCAAGGGGAGACAATCCAGACTGTCAGTGGCTGATAATGCTGTAAGCGGTATTTGTTTTTTATTGTTGCAAGGGACACGTCACAGGCGCCAAACGTAACTTGCAAACTACACGTTGTGCAGGTGATTTTTCTCAGTCTGTTTGTTTAAATTCACTCAAAGAAGAATGTCTGTGAATAAAAAAGGCGAAGGAAACGAACAGCCAAGTCAGTTCGACTTTCGACAATGGTGCAGTGACAGCCATCTGAACAGTAAGACCGCACAAATTTTGAATGACGAAGACATTGATAGTCCAGTTGCGTTGTGCTTGATGTCACTAGATGACATTACTGAACTAAGATTGTCCGTAGGTCAGCGGAACATCCTAATTCAAGCAATAAAACAGTTGAAATCGCCGCAACCAGTACAGTCGCTGCCGTCGCCTGTCACTACAAAAACACTTGCGGGTGACAAACAGTTGAGTGACCTTGTAAACAGCTTGTCGGATGTACACCTCAAAGACTTCCTAGACCACACCACGTCGTTAGACATGGGACAACCCGGAAATGCTTCACTACAGGGACGAGGTGAGAAACCACTTCTAATTCCTGACTTTGTATCTAAGCCCAGGTCATCAATGACCAGCGAAGAGACGCCTATAGTAGGTGATGGGTCAGCACAGCTGTATCTAAGGTCGTCGAGGGGGAAACCCCTTCCAGAACATGTGCCATTATCACAGTGGGTTTCAGCCAATGTCCGTATTTTGTCAAAATTGATCGACCACAGGAAAGCAGGTATTGATGAAATTAAGGACTATCTGGAATACACAGCTCAAATTGGGGATCTCTGTCAAACATATACTATCCCTTCAGTTATGCTTCTTGACAACGCACACAGATTGAGACAAGCACAGACCCAGTGCGGCTGGAGTGAAATATCGTTCCATGACCTATTCTACTTTTTAGAAAAGAGAACATTCCAACCCCGAAAAGCAAACTCATTTCAGAATGCCCATTCCAGCTCTCAGAGTGACAATCGTCCAACAGATGAGTCAGGCAGATCCATTTGCATTAATTACCAGCACCCCTCGGGTTGTAAGTTCCCAAACTGCAAGTATGCACACACATGTATAGTACCAGGCTGCAATCAAAGGCATCGCCAATTTGAACACCAGGATATCCCACCACGGTTTCGTACCTATAAACAATAAAGTCTCCAGCCCAATAGGGAATTGTACTAACGTGTGGGAAAGGGAATTAGAAGAGGACAGTGATTGTGAGTTTTTGATTGATGGGATCAAAAATGGTTTCTGGATTATTGATAAAAATGTAACAATTAGTGATGTTCTTTGTAAAAACTACAAGTCTGCCACAGATGAGTCTTTACGAACAATTGTTGAAGACCAAATTTCAGAGGAAATCAGCCGAGGCAATTATGTTATTGTAGACAGAAAACCAAAGCTTGTTAGTAGCTTGGGAGCAATACCAAAAGGCACTGGGAAGGTACGCTTAATTCATGATTGCTCTAGACCATGTGATCTCAGCCTCAATGATTATGCAACGACACAATCTTTTAAATATCAAACCATTGACGAAGCAATCAAACTTCTGCCGAGGGGTGGATACATGGCAAAACTGGATCTGAAAAATGCTTACCGTGTGGTGCCGTTACATCCTGACTGCTATGAAGCTACCGGCCTGCTGTGGCAGTTCAAAAACTCAAGACTTCCAGTCTACATGATTGACACAAAGCTCCCATTTGGAGCTTCCAAGAGCCCTGAGATATTTAGCCGTTTGTCGGCATCTGTTCGTAGAATGTTAAGGCGCAGAGGTTTTGTGGTAGTTGTATACCTTGATGATTTTCTATGCATTGCAAAAACAAACTCTGAGTGTTGGAAAGCCTTCAGGACATTGAGAAGATTATTGACTGATCTAGGTTTTGCTATAAATGAAAGCAAAACGGTTGAACCTACTCAGAAACTGACTTTCCTAGGGATAGAGATTGACTCTACTACCTGTACCTTATCCTTACCTGCGGATAAATTGCTTGACTTGAAGCACATATTAGGGAAGTGGGTGACGAAAAAGAAAGCAACAAAGCGTCAACTTCAGGAAATTGTAGGTAAATTGAATTGGGCAGCACAGGTAGTTCATGGAAGGCGCACATTTATGCGCAGATTAATTGACTTATGTAATACCCTTAAAAAACCCAATCACCATACCAGGCTGAATGTATGCGCAAAGGCTGATATCAAGTGGTGGCATGAATTTTGTGAATGTTTTAATGGTACTGTGAAATTTATTGAAAATGAACCGGTGCCCGCAGCAAAGTTCTCCACGGATGCCTGCAGTGATGGTGGCGCAGCATGTTTCGGCCCTGACTGGGTCTATTATAATTGGCATACAGACTTCCCATTTGTTGAACATTTACACATCAATGTGAAAGAGTTGTTCACTGTGTATTTAGCAGTCAAACGCTGGTGTGTAACCTGGACAGACAAACATATCATTGTCTACACAGACAATACTTATACTATGCATACCCTTAACAAAGGTACTAGTCGTGACCGATTAGCCATGCGTTGGCTGCGCAAGATATTCTGGTTTTCTGCTGTGTATAACTTTAAATTTTCAGCCAGATATATCCCAGGCAAAGATAACCTTGCAGCTGACTCTCTGAGCAGGTTGCACAATGTTACATTTCTTTATAAATCAATACAGTTTATTCCGTTCTATTGGTTGTGTTGTGAAACTTGTTACAGGAAGTATATTCTAGTGCCAGCATCCTCACACGTATCCAAACTAACTTTGTCCTATCTACAGGGCAAGTGGCTCAACAGTGGCGACACCTATATAGCGAGATGCAGCAGTTTCGACGGGCAACATATGCCGAAACTACTAAGCGCACATATTCCTCAATGAAAACTGCATATCTGAGATTCTGTCTGTACTTTAGTAGGACACCAGTTCCAGCCGACCGCATGACAGTACTGCTTTACAGAGTGTTCCTAACAAGATCCCTTTCAGCAACTAGTATTCCAGGATATATGAATATCATTCGCCTGCTTCATCTTGAGGTGGGGTTACCAAACCCCTTGGAGACATGGGAACAAAAGGCCCTGCACAAAGGTATCTTAAGACTAAAAGGTACACAAACGAAACAAAAACTTCCTATAACACCAGATATACTAAGGCGGATGCACAGTCATATGGACATGTCAGAACCTGGTAGCTTTTGGGGCAGCCTGCATCATTGCGTTTTTCTGTTTCTTGAGGAAATCTACCATGCTCCCTGAAACTAGAGGCAGTGGTTCAAGAAAGCAGACCTACTTGAGTCTGCACGATGCCAAGATTTCCCCTGACAAAGATAGTGCCATGATTACTGTCAGACACACAAAAACTATACAGTTTGGTCAGCGAGTGTTAAAGTTACCGCTGGCTAGGGTACCCGACTCTGTGCTTTGTCCTGTTAAAGCACTTGAACATTTGCTTTCACAATATAGTGAAGAACTTCAACATTCAAATGCACCTTTGTTTTCATATGTGGACAGAAGTGGAGTCCTCAAGAGTTTAACTTACAAAAGTTTTGTTAAAACATTGAAATATTATCTGGACAAATGTGGTTATGATTCTGGTGCATACAGCGGTCACTCTTTCCGCAGAGGCGGATGTTCCTATGCATTTGACATTGGCATTCCACCCTTGCTTATAAAGCTACGTGGTGATTGGCGCTATGTTACAGTGTATGATGCAATGCATGAGAAACTTGCTCAATCTCTCAGTGCAGGGATAGTGAACTAAGTCAAATCACAGAACTTTCACCAGGTTATTCCTCTTGGGGGGTTTGGAGGTTTTATGTTTCGATTAAACATTTGTCATTATTAAATGACCTTTGCCCCCAAGAGGAATCGTTTGTTTTCCTGTAGCCCATATGGCACTAGCGCTGGATTTCTTGTTGTTTGTCGTTTAAGACAATTACTTTGTCCGTGTGCTACTAGCATATCAACCAAGGATTGGATGATGGAGTTTAAGTGAGAAATAAACCTTAGTTTATTTTAATTTAAACGGCAATGCCATGGCATCTGATTTACTGTCCATTTATTTAACAGTCAAGGGGAGACAATCCAGACTGTCAGTGGCTGATAATGCTGTAAGCGGTATTTGTTTTTTATTGTTGCAAGGGACACGTCACAGGCGCCAAACGTAACTTGCAAACTACACGTTGTGCAGGTGATTTTTCTCAGTCTGTTTGTTACCCACCCTCCCACCCGGAGGTTTTATGTTTCGATTAAACATTTGTCATTATTAAATGACCTTTGCCCCCAAGAGGAATCGTTTGTTTTCCTTTTCCAGCCCATATGGCACTAGCGCTGGATTTCTTGTTTTTTGTCGTTTAAGACAATTACTTTGTCCGTGTGCTACTAGCATATCAACCAAGGATTGGATGATGGAGTTTAAATGGGTTTAACCAGGGGTTAACAACACATATGTATACAGCCAGCAGGGCCTGCTCCTTTCAAAAGTTACTGGCCCTTTGCAAACTAACTGGCCTACAACTAAACATCTTTTCCTGCACTCTGAATGCGACATTAAACCCCATTTAGCATCATTTCACCTCGGAACTGCTTGTATTATCTCAACACTGATGATATGTACCTGTTCCATTTGAAAGCCTGACAGTTTTTAGCTCACCAGAACATCCTCAAGTTCTTCAATTTAAGAATAAAAGGATTGGAAACATTTTCTGTAAAAAGAGTTTATTATATTATGAAAATGGCAACACTTTGTAATCATTTTACACTTTGTACATGTACAATTTTTCCATGAAGAAAGATATGAGTATGAGGTAAATTAAACAGAGGGTATTTATATCATGGCCTCCAGCACTTGATTTGAATGTATTTACATATCAGGATGCAATAAATAGATTTCATAAATGGAGACAGTCAAAGTCAGACATCAGTGAAAGCTGAATATAGTCTGTCACACCACATAGCCAGCCTCAGTCAGATACTAGCCTCATTGTCACTTCCGCAGAAAGATACATTTGGTGTAAAAATATGCCATTCTTTCTTCAATCTCATTAAAAACAGATCTTAGTGTTCACTACCACTACTTTGGTGTAGGTGGTGAGGTGAAATTGGGTTTAACGTCGCGTCCAAGATTATTGCACTTATATAGCAACGTGCATGTACGTGTGTGTTTGTGTGGCTGCTTGTACTAGTCCGGACTGATGCCGATTCATAGTGCTAGCTCACTGAGATACCATGCCGCAGTTTAACATGAATACCATACTCAGACACAGTATATGACTCAGAGCCGACCAGTCCTTGTTTTAGCCCCTTAATGCCGAGCGCCAGACAGGGTAACAACAAGTACCATCTTTAACGTCTTTTGGTATGACGCGGTCGGGGATCGAACCCTGGACCTTCCGCTCTCCGGGCGGACGCTCTACCACTAGACAACGGAGGCAGTCTCTTTGTTTGATGTAATAGCAGTGAGCACTAAAATCTGATGTCAGTGAGATTGATGAATGAATGTAAATGTTGATTTTAACAGAAATGCAATATTGGCAGGTGGCAGTTGATGGAAGTGTACTCCTGAGCAGAAGAGTCAAATTCAAGAGACACTTTTTCTCTTAACTTCATTTCCCACAGATGAGGGTTCTACTTGACCTCCTCTTCGATGATAACAGTATCTCTTCCAACCTCCTCCTCAACAACATTGGCAACCATCATGGCCTGCTGAATGGCATCACTATCCTCCGCCAGTGGTGCCATCGCCACAGCTTCGATCTCGTTCTCTGAAGGCAACACAGTCAGTGTCTGTCCATCATCGGACTCTGTGGGCATAACAGCCACGGTTTGACCCGTGTGAGGGTCAAGGACACGGATGTTGTCGCCACCGTCGCTGACAACGATGTATGATGTACCGTCGTCGGCAGATACCTGGTCGAGTATTGCTGGATCCACTTCTCCCTCTGTAATGATCTCCACATTCTGTACAGTTTCTGCCAGGTCCGTATGGACCACCACATACTCTGTTGTATGCTGGAGGAGAGAAAACACAAATTATTGTTTTATTTGTCAGATAAATTGTAACAAATATCCTAGATGCACTCTTTCTGTGGTTATTAATTTAAGTCCAACAACACGATTATAAAAGTGTGGCAATGATTTACTGGACATTGACCTGAACACGACAACTGTCATGCATGTATCAAATCTGGACATGGAGAAACAAATTTAGCACATGGAACAAGAATTGTGGACAACCTGCCTTTTTAGAAGTAGTGTCCATGTAACATCACAGAAAGGACAAGATAGCATACAACAAATGGATTTCCACAGATTTACCAAACTTCTTGGTAATCTAGATACAGCAATTCCAATATGTATGTAAAATGTGGTAAGTTGCATGTGATGCATGAAACTTGGTAAGTGGATGACGTATAGTATTAGAAACTTGGTAAGTGGATGACGTATAGTATTAGAAACTTGGTAAGTGGATGACGTATAGTATTAGAAACTTGGTAAGTGGATGACGTAGGAGTGTGAAAGCGGTTGAGGCGACAGTTGTACTAGGGCGATGGTGTAGTAAAGACAGTTTTGTTGATGAGTCAAATCTGGGTTGTCAACAAGTGAACATAATTACTAGTCGGAGATACAACATGTACATGAATACAAGCGATAACTGTTTGGCGTTATGTCAAAGTCTGATGTGGCAAATTTTCTTAACTGATTTCCATAATCAAAAATGACAAGTACAAATACAAAATTGTGCTAATAAGTCAAACGAAAAATATGTGAGCCTACCTTGCATCACCATTGATGTCAACATACAAATGCTTTCATCACATCAAAGATAGTGCCTGTGCATTACACGAGTAGAAGGGCTAATTCTCTTGTCTGTGTACATCTTCCTGAGACAAGAGTGTCCACTAGCCTACATCACAGTGTAGCTTTCATCCCACCTTTGATGTAGGCCGGTGGACATTCTTGTCTGTGTTCATCTTCCTGAGACAAGAGTGTCCACTAGCCTTCATCACAGTGTAGCTTTCATCCCACCTTTGATGTAGGCCGGTGGACATTCTTGTCTGTGTTCATCTTCCTGAGACAAGAGTGTCCACTAGCCTTCATCACAGTGTAGCTTTCATCCCACCTTTGATGTAGGCCGGTGGACATTCTTGTCTGTGTTCATCTTCCTGAGACAAGAGTGTCCACTAGCCTTCATCACAGTGTAGCTTTCATCCCACCTTTGATGTAGGCCGGTGGACATTCTTGTCTGTGTTCATCTTCCTGAGACAAGAGTGTCCACTAGCCTTCATCACAGTGTAGCTTTCATCCCACCTTTGATGTAGGCCGGTGGACATTCTTGTCTGTGTTCATCTTCCTGAGACAAGAGTGTCCACTAGCCTTCATCACAGTGTAGATTTCATCCCACCTTTGATGTAGGCTAGTGGACACTCTTGGGAAGATACTATGTGTATATCAGCATTTTTTTTTATTATCATTGAACTCCCTGGTTCCTGACATTCCTTTACCTGATGATGGAGTGAGCATACACTCCGAAATGTTGTGTTCCTCATATGAAAGAAGTTGACATCAATAAATTCTCTTCCTTATGTATATCATTTCTAAATGCCATTCAAGGACATAATTCTTTTTGTGTTGTAAATGACACTGGGAATTTCAGCTGTCACGAACACTTGGACAAGCCAACTATTCAGGTCCCTTTGAATTTGACACAACAGTGTCCAACTATTCATCTATGTTCATTATGGATGCACCCTTCTACAACTTTTGAAGGACATACTTCTATATCATTAACAAATTTGACAAAAACCTTTAGGGTAATTTGAATAACAATCAGTTAATGTCATGGAAAATGAACCCATCTGAAACCCTCTCTCCCGTTCCAAGGCCTGTAGTCTGTAAATACTCACCTGACTGAGAGTGTCGTCCTGCATCTCTCCCTCCTCTGGGATGAGGTAGTGCTGTGTGTCCGCCACCACGGAGGAGAACTCGGCCAGCACGGTGGGGTACTCCTCCTCCTCGAGGCTCTCGCGGCCAGTCTGCCTGGTGCAGGGCACTGAAAACATGGTACACACTACACAGATGCCTTCTGACAGCCACTCTCTAGTCTCTCTTATGGTATTGTCATTGCTTAAGATTTCATATTTAAATTACATTTAGTCCATTTTGATGGTAGTCACCGAGTTCAGTCTACTCTGTTATATTCTCTGGCTGAGGATATATGAATTGTTATGAATGGCTTGAAATGATTTTTTTTCAATTGCCAAAATATTTCAAGCTGGCTTAAAATAAATAATGGTAATATACTGAATCTTACTGGTTCAGACACAAATATCTTAGCACTGGTTTTGTAATTAGGTCATAATGATGTCCATAACACAGACAAACATTATTTTTTAATTTTATGTAAGATAACCTTGAAAATGTTGTAAGCTTACCTTTGGCCTTGAGATGTCGATTGAGTGTGCCATGCTCAGAGAAGGATCGATTACAGTACTGGCATTTAAAGGGTTTCTCTCCAGTGTGCGATCTCAAATGTCGAGCCAAGGATCCCTTTTCACGGAAGTGTCGATGACAGTAGCGGCACTCATACGGCATAACATTACTGTGGGTACGCATATGTACCTTCAAGGCATTCTGAGCAAAATAAATCACATCTATCATTGTTTGTCATCTCAAATCAAAGAATTATCAACAATACTGCGTTATAAACCATGTTGGAAGTTCTTATCAAATAATCAATAATGATACATTTTCATTTTTAAAACAATATGTTATCAAGTTTAACATGTATCATGTCCAGCCTTTATATCAACGTATTTACGCCTAAAAAAAAAAGTTAAGGGCCACCTGATATTCTTTCATGTTACTATAGTTAATCTGTCACGCCATGACAGCGTAACTACCAGGTATAGCAATATGAAAGAATCAAGTGGTCCTTGTCAGTTTTTGAGAAGCATACATGCAGTAGAATGCAAATGAAACTGGATATGTTCTATGAATTGCTATCACAACCATCAAGCAGATTGGTAAACTCTTCACGGTCAGAACATGCACATTAACACTTAGCCATGAACCAACTTACACTAGTTTTGAAGGCCTTTTCACACATTCGACATGCAAAAGGTCTGTCTGAGCTGTGGATCTTGAGATGTTCTCGGACGTGTGAGATTCTTTTAAAAAGTTTGCCGCACTCCCCACACTTGTAATGGCGCTCCTCACTGTGAGCACTCATGTGTTTATTCAGAGTGTCTTTACTTATGAATGTCTTTAGGCACACTGGACACTTATACGGGCGATCCCCTGAAAAAAATGATCAATCCGCAAACATAAATCTGTTACTTATAGATGACATATAGGAACAGAAATCCAAATGTTTCTGAAGTTCCTGCAAAGACCTACTAAACTGCTGGGGAAAGAAAGCATACACTTGAAAACTGGATTATACCAAACCATAACAAATTTACAAAGCATTACTAGGCTGAAAACAGCTGCTAAGACACTGCAAACGTAATACAACACCATCGAATAAGCATTTCTTGTTTGTTTCATTTTAGCCATCATCAAACATGGGTGTGTACATTCTTTTTCCCAGCAGTTTAGTTTAATGTCAGGCAAAATATCGCCCCCACCTGTGTTTCATTACTATAAAATCACAGATTACACCACTAAATTGTAAAAAGCAAAATCAAAGCCTCCATAGCAAAAAGATGGCAAACCCAATGGGACGCAAGTAAGATCGGCAGATGGCTATACAAAATTCAACCCAAGGTCCAACAAAAGCCAAACTCATACTCAAATGAAAGGAAAATTGAAACTGCTATCTCACGCCTCAGACTTGGTCACAAAAAGCACTATGACAAGGTTTGTTCATCTTGCAATCAGGCAGAAACCATTGACAACCTGTTACTAGAATGTCAAGACCATGCCCCAGCCCGGGCTAGGTTAAAACAAGAATTGCAGTTAGATCCGCTATCTGTCATAGATCTCCTAAAGCCAAGAGATGCAATAGCGAAGGCCAAACTAACTCTATTTCTGAGAGATGGACAGCTGCTCGAACGTATATAAACAGAGCAGCCAAGGATAAAAATGAAATCATATCAATATAAGAAAATAGAAATCATATCAATGCAAAAACAGAAATTATGTGAACACCGAACTCACAATAGATATGTGAACCCTTCTCACACACAGGAGTCCCAATGAGGGACAGGTCAGCCGAAATTGCCTAGGCAGAAGGCGACCTCTTAAACACCTAATGCAACAACAACAACAACAACTAAATTGTCCCCCACCACCCAACATAGTGGACAAATCTCCCCACCCACCTGTGTCTCATAACATGAAGTTCACAGATTACACCACTAAATTGTCCCCCCCCAACACACACACCCAACATAGAGGACAAATCTCACCACCCACCTGTGTTTCATTACTATAAAATCACAGATTACACCACTAAATTGTCCCCCACCACCCAACATAGTGGACAAATCTCACCACCCTTCCACCTGTGTCTCATAACTAGAAGTTCACAGAAGTGCCCAACCCCCAACACAGAAGACAAATCTCCCCCCACCTGTGTGACTCTTCATATGCTGCTTGAGGTAGCTGCTCCCCCTGAACGTCCGGGAGCAGGCGGGACACTTGTGGAGGGACTTGGCGTAGCCCATGGCGTGGGAGTCTCCCTCCGGCACGGCAGTACACGGTGTAGGCAGCTCAAGCAGCTGTCTCAGTGCTATCTGGGCATTCCTACACACAGGACAAAACCATCAGTCACAGAATACGCATCAGAATAAACTCATGCACTCATACTTGCTCCAGATCACACATTCTGTTGTCAGCTGGTTTTGTACAAAGATTAACATAAAAACTATCAATGACTTTGTATAGTGCTGTCATACTCAATGCACTATTTCTTCTTGATTGTATCCTACCTGATACACAAACCAATACAAATATTCAAAAGAATATTTATCACATATGAAACAATAGGCAAAAGGGTATGCAGAAATTTTCAAATAAAGGATATCAGGAAAACAGTGTGTCCTTTGTAAAACTATTGCTTCTACTACTGGTATGTTTACCTATGATCGTTAGAGCTGTAAGACTTCTCTTTAATTTCGGCCACTACTGTTCCATTTTCAAATCCCTGAAAAAAAACCAAGAATCAAACAAGTATGATCACTGATAATTGTAATTGTAAGTGTTGATTTGCAAATCTTTGGTATGAGATCAACCTGTTTTTTAGTAGACCATAAAACATAGCACAGTAGGTACATACTGAAACAGTATATTAACAGTGTGATGGAAATATTTCTTTCTCATAAGTCTGAAATACAAACTTTTGGTTAGGGGTGTTCTACTGATGAGTGCAATGACCTAGAACTAAAAATGTACACTTTTTAGATGCTTTAGGTTATGTCCATCAGTGACTCCAGTGATGATATATTTATTCTTAATACCATATTTTCTCACAGTCAAATACGAAAGTCTCTTGCACTGGTGTTGTGAAATGGCTTTTAGAGTTATGGTTGTCAGTCATACCTTGAGCTGAGTTTGATGCTGAGACATCATGTGACCTTGCAGTTCTTCCCTTTTCTCCGTCACAAAATGACACAAACCACACCTGAAGGGGGTGTCGGCCAGGTGAGACCGGAGATGGTGCCGCAACACTTCAATAGTCAGGAAGTCCTCCCTGCATACCTGAAACCATCAACACCATGGGGGATTAAAGTTTTGTTTGTTGTTTAACGCCACACTCAGCAATATTCCACCTATATGACGGCGGTCTGTAAATAATTGAGACTGTACCAGACAATCCAGTGATTGACATCATGAGTATCAATCCACGCAATTGGGATACAATGTTATGGATCAACCAAGTCAGCAAGCCTGACCACCTAATCCCGTTAGTCGTCTCTTACAACAAACATAGTCGCCCCTTATGGCAAGCATTGGTTGTTGACCTATTCTACCCTGGATCTTCAAATGATATCATTCAAGGTTAAATAAGAGCTACAAACAAGTGATACCTATGTAGATTGATAGCGTTAGCCATCACATAACAAACAGATACACATAACACATGCAAACAATATCAACGTAAACAATAGAAGTGATTTGCATAATATTAAATATGAGATAGCTTTGTGATAAATCACAAAGAACAAAGCATAACGAATCGTGGTTTATTTCAAGATAAAAGATTGTTCTGTCATGACATCATTTCTAGAGATTTGAACATGCACTCGCAGTTTGATGACGTAAATTGGTGAGTTTTTGCCCATAGACGTAGCTGGGCAGTGTAGATAGATGCAAAGGATGAAGGATCACATCCTATAGGGGGCGATATGTGACAATCGGGAATTTGGAGAAAAGGTACAGATAACTGATGTAAAAGTTGTGAGAATATACGGGAAATACCAAACATAACCCCCCTGTTCATAAAATGGAATTGTCCGACATTGTCTTGGGCAGATTCCATTCAGGGAGTCATCCTTATTTAAATACGGGTAAATATTTTTAAAGCTTGTACATTTTATTAACATCCTTAAAGTGGCTGTATAAAATGTTGATATCTCTTATAGGAAATGAACGACTTGTGGTTGTTGTTTTCCATACAATAAAACACTACAGCCGCTCATGGTTTATTCTCCCTACAGTGCTTTATTGTATGAAAAACAACTCCTGCTCATCGTTTATTTCTTAAATACAATTTTGCCGACAGAACAATCATGCCTACAAAAGATTAAAAGGCATCACCAAGTGGACAATTAAAGGACCATATCACATGGTAGGTTATCTAATATTGCATGACGCTATGACACATCTTGTATATATACCCAGAAGTGATTAATTAAAATCTGAAGAGTAAGCTTTTTCAGCAAGTGTTGGAGCGGTATGGACGTCCCAGTACTCCCACATTGGTTGTCCTGTCGCGCAGACTGCACCAGCCGACACTCACCCTGCACTGTGTTGGGAGCAGGTTCTCCAGTTTAATGGCTTCCTCTTCTGCAGTCACACTGGCCAGATCCACTGTCGTTTCCTAAAACACATGTATAGCTATGTCACAAGACAATGATTGTAAATTTACTAAGTTTGTCAAAATCACACATTCATAACATCAAGAAAATATAAAAGAAAGGTATGAATAGTATCCAGTCAGTATTCCATCACCAGGAACATGTGTAAAGGCACAGAAACCAATTTTCAGATATGAACATGATGAAACACTTCCTCAACAGCTGTATAGATATGTGCCATGGCTATCAACTTGTCTAAACCTTACTTCAGCACTCAGCCACTGTGATACATAAGGGTCTTCAAAATACTCATGTTATTAAACTGTCAACACGGAGAAAAGCCTAATCAGCCCAAAACTGTAAACTGAATATAACTTAATCCATTTCACAGATCAAACTGTGCTGTTGTTTCATGTATTTTATGGTTAACTAATTTGTAGTTCAAAGAGTATGTCATACACCATTGGGTTAACTACCGGTAGAGTTAATGGGTGTTCCATGCAAGACAACGAGTCAACTACAGTATAAATATTTTCATCTTGCAAAAACTACATTAAAAAAGGTATGATCCTTCCACATTAAGCTGGCATGCCGTGACATAACTAGATTACTGTCAAAAGCTGCATTAAACCCAACTCACACATTGTACCCACGTGGGGAATCGAACCCGGGTCTTCGGTGTGACAAGCCAACCACTAGGCTACCCCACCGCCCCAAGCTAGGAATGGTCTAGTGATGAATCAAGACATCCTTATTTACCTGTGAACTTGCCACCTCTGTAATGACTTGCTCAATGGGATCTGTGTCCTGGTGAATGGCTCCTTCTCCCTCCTCGCCTGCCACAACGTCTGCGACGACGGACTGGATGATGGATGCCACCTCTGTATAGACAAAGCCCTTGCTTGCGTCCACTGACTCCAGGAGCTGAACACCCCCGTCTCCGTCAGTAGGCATGTTTATCACAGCAGGGATGTTGGGTACAAAATCCCATTTTTTTCTATATCTTGGCAAGTCGGCATCGCTCTTTGCAGTGCAGGGGGTTCTGGAATTGTGACATACATACAGTTCATCAAGTTAATCCATCATTTAAAACTATATGAAAATTACTTCTGTTCTCTGGGAACACTGTTCAGGAAGTTTCCACTACCTTTCGGAAATGTTATTAGATAAGCAATTAGTATAAGGATAACGTAAAGTGATAATTTTTTGGTGATAAAAGAAAAAGACAGCAATCAGTCTGCGACTTTAGATACTAGTCCTAGTCTGGTAAAACTTGGTTCAGCCAAATGAGCTCAGTTAATCAAAATCCATATTATATCACCAAGATCGACTGAAAATGATGCCAAGAGCCAAGTTCAGGTTGGCAGAACGAAACTTTTTTGGCACACATTGTAATATACAGGGGTAAGAAATGAATTTGGAAAACATAATCTAGTGGCTGCATTGCTGGCACTGTTAAGAGCTTGTACCTGGACTTCATGTGCCTTGTGAGAGCACCTGACTCCGTGAAACTTCTCCCACACATCTCACAGGAATAGGGACGTTCACCTGCAGAGAGCAACCCACACTTGCAGGAACAAAACATCATACATAGATGATAATTACATTACAGGACATTGACGTCACAATACATTCTTATTCCATTTGTAGGATTTGTTTCTTTGTTGTTTAACGCCTCACTCAGCAATATTCCAGCTATATGACGGCAAGTCTTTGAGGGGCATTTAGAAGTGATACACATAAGGAAGAGAATTTATGGACGTCAACTTCTTTATTATGTGGAACACAACGTTTCGGAGTATATGCTTACTCCTTCATCAGGTGAATGAATGCTATGAGGCAGAGAGCATATATATCTACATGTAAGAACAATAAAAATAATAAGATAAGAAAAGGTTGAAACTTAACAAGAGAAGCCAACAGATAATTGGTGCTGATAGGTGATTAGCAATAGACAAGGGAGGCCAACACTTTACAGTCATTAGCGCTGATTGGTAATTGCAATGGACAATGGGCAAACAGGAGGCTGGGGGGTAATTAGCACTGATAGGTAAAAGATTAGAAATAGCAATGGGCACTGACAAAGATCAGAGCAGTAAGTCCCAAGCACTAGATAGATGGGTTCCCTGGTCACGGTTCACGGCTGGCTGGTGTCTCCTGATGTCAATGGCTTCTTGTAGTTTACTTTGTCGCCAGTTGTTGTTGTTGGTAGACAGGACTTTGGTGGCTTCCCACACGATGTTATGGTCCTGGCTCTTGAGGGTGTGTTCTGAGATAGCGGATTTCGGGTCTAGTTTGTTGACAGAGATCTGATGTTCTTTGAGTCTGGTGTTGAGTGGTCTGAGGGTTTTTCCAATGTACTGGTGGCCACAGTTGCAGGGGATCTGGTATATACATCCTCAGGGGTTGGGACTTACACTGCTTGTGCCCCTGCCATTTTGTTATCTTATTACTTTTGTTGTTCTTACATGTACATATACCGGTATATATGCTTTCTGCCTCATAGCATTCATTCACCTGATGAAGGAGTAAGCATATACTCCGAAACGTTGTGTTCCTCATAACAAAGAAGTTGACTTCCATAAATTCTCTTCCTTTCATGAAGGCAATTCGAAAATCGAAAATCGAGTCTGGACCAGACAATCCAGTGATTGATATGAGCATCGATCCACACAATTGGGATACGATGACATGCATCAACCAAGTCAGAGAGCCTGACCACCCGATCCTGTTAGTTGCCGCTTATGACAAGTATAATCACCTTTTACAGAAAGCATGGGTTTGCTGAAGACCTATTCTCTACCCGGATCTTCATGGGTCCAATGCACTAGGAGGTAAATTTTCAGAAAGATATTCTCTAATACAATAATACCAACCTGTGTGTCTCCTCATATGCCTTGTTAAGGAACCTTTTGTTTTAAATGCATAGGGACAACCTTGAATGCTACATGGGAAGTGCCTCTTGTTGCTGTGCGTCAACATGTGTGTCTTCATCACATTCACCTTATAAAGATAAATATTTGCATGAAAGACACTGAAAACTTTAGGGTACTGAGATCACAAACATTATAAATTTTACAATAAATTGTAGATTTATATACTTAACCTATCTCACACTACATATTTCTTCCTTCTTCCTTCTTCTTTCGATCCTTATGTGGAAACGTGCTTGAACAAAGTTTCCAGCTTCTAAAAACATTTCACCCAATGACATCCCAGCATCACCATGGTCACCACCCATGCAAATGGGTCACGCACTGTAATCTTGTCCATTGTGACCTTTTACGACTTAATCACTTGACTGCCCCTGCCACATCATTCTCTTTCTTAGAGCTGACAGGCTAGAGGAGTGAGCCAGCTTGGCATCACTTTTAACGCTTCGTCAAAGCTATCAATTACGCCCATGAGATTGAAGCATGCTGAGACAAGAAGAGGAACGATTGACAACATCCATAAGAGAATCTTCTAGCCAATACTAAGACATCACGTGCACAAGGCGGCAACTTTGATGTGGAGTGAGTGAGTGAGTATGGTTTTACGCCGCTTTTAGCAATATTCCAGCAATATCACGGCGGGGGACACCAGAAATGGGCTTCACACATTGTACCCATGTCGGGAATCGAACCCGGGTCTTCGGCGTGACGAGCGAACGCTTTAACCACTAGGCTACCCGACCGCCCCTTTGATGTGGAAGACTGGAGTCTCTACAGACGAGGTAGCACACCCTCCACTGGGTATTCAGTCCGGGGACCCCAAGTAATAATGACAATAAACAAAGGAAGGACGTTCCAATTGTTATTCTGTATGTTCAGGATACAGAGTACTGGGCTACACACACAGGTACATAGTACCGTCTGTCTGCGCTGGTGTGCAGCTGTCAACTGTTGCTCCAGGACTAAGGGACCAAATGAGGAGGTAGCTCACACAAAAAATAGAAATGTACTCAATACACATCTCCACAGGGTGGTGATGAGAAAGAGAATGATGTGGGAGTGGTAGTCCAGGATTCCCAAATAAAAGGACCTTGGCAGGCAAGTTTTGGGGAAAAAATCATAATTTTGTTCAAATTGGTCAGTGAAATATGGGGGAGTCCCTTCTACAAAGTTATTACTATACAACATGGATTGGGAAATTCGTATTTCCAATTTGGGAAGTTTTACTGACATCTGTTGACTTGGGGCCTAATATGGGCCTCTGGGCAGGTCTACATAAATGCCAGTAAATGTTCAGAAAATCCCCTGAAAAATACAATACTGATGTGCTAAAAATAGGGGGCAATATCCCACAGTTTGCTAACATATAAATGTTCTTCCAAACTGTGCCAAATCCTATATGGAGATTCTACCCAAAATTGATTACAATCCAATGAGAAATAAGCATGATAAGGAAAAAACAGACCCAGCTTACCTATCCAAATTACAATGAAGCAAATTGCTGTACCAGCGAGTATTGCTGAAGTGGGACTTATACTAAGGGTCTGTACGACCCTTCATCAAATAAACTTTTCAGCATAGAAATTCCAAAAACAATTTGAGTTGGAAAAACAAGGCAGTTACCTGTCCCATCAACGTTGGACTTTCATAATGCTCTTGAAATGTTATTATTAACATAATTATGCAGGCTTGTAATGATTTAGGGTATATCTGATTCAGGACACATCCAACACTTACGTCTTTAAACCTATTCCCACAGTGTTCGCAGCTGTAAGGCCTGTTTGCAGTATCCTCTTCAGTGGCCTTGACCTTTTTGAACTCAGGGTCATTCTTGACCGTGTATGTCTCATCTTCATCATGGCTATCAACATCCTCGCCATCCTCATCATCCCCATCATCATTGGTGTGTTCATACTGGATGTGCCAACGCAGAGTAGCCTCCCTTTATACAAAAATATTGATAAAAAAAATGACAGAACTCATTTGAATCTTTCAAATTTGACTTTTAAATTAGAAGGCGGTGCAAATAACATGAATAATACTGAAATCACCACATGGAATTTATACATTTAGTCACAACAAATTTTCAGTTCTATAAAGGATACTGATGACAACTGCGTAGATTGATGTCCATGATGTTAATCACTGGATTATCTGGTCCAGACTAAATTATTTACAGACTGTTGTCATGCAGCTGGAATATTACTGAGTGAGGCGTTAAACATTAAACAAGAATCTTTTACTGCTTTTGTGAAATGCACAGCAGCATTTTACTGGATGTAAACAACTGTGACCTATATGCATTAACATTGAGAAATTCTGAATGGATGTAAATAATATGCACTGCTTGTCCTATGAGCTGTTTGAATCATTGGAGCCAATACAAGAGAAGTCGGCATGTAAAATATATATGTTTCTATTCCAATAAGACACAAAATCAATTGTCAGACAGTATCAGTAAGATTTCCTCATTCAATCATTAGGTTTTGATTCCAACAAGGAAATCACCAACTGCAACAAGCGAAAGACTACACAAATACTTTGCTAGTATACTGGGAAAAAAGGGTAAACCCTAGACTTGCACAAGTCTCTAAGGCAATAATTATTAGTTTAAATCATAAGTTCTAGATTATGTAAATAATAAGAATAAGTTATCCCTATAAGAGACTGAGTCCTTAGATGTCTTAGATGTCCACATATCTAGACTTGCCTATTAATAGGATCCATGGATTTTTCTTACAGTACAGCCTTGGAGCAAGGCTAGGTAAACCCCTCACATTCTCACCTGTGAAACTTCTTATCACAACTGGTACAAATATATGTACTTCTCTCTGCAATGAGTTGAACATCTACCTCGGATTGACGCTTCTTACGTTCTGAAATCAAACAAATTAGGTAAAATCAATTGATATTTATAATAATGATAATAATGATTCCATTTGGATGGTGCCAAACTCCATACCAGCTCGTGTGCTCATGGCGCTTACATTATTACCCCAGTCAATGGATCAGTGAGCACTCAATTTTAGTAGTATAGGTAATGGGGGTTCTGCCGCAACTCCACTGGAGCAGGATTCATATACCTATACTGCTACTACAGGAGGAATTTTTTATGCCAAAATGATGATGCGATTTAATGATAGTCATGAGATTAAGTTAAATTGGCTCTAGCTCACCAATACCTGGGGCCAATCATTGCTTCTATTAGTATAAAAATGATGATGTGATTCAACGAAAGTCGTTTTAAAAGAAATATCAATATTAATTAATAATGGATAAAATTTACTATAGCCCACGAGGATATTGGAAAGGTGTAGGAGCAATAAAAAAATTAGCCACCGCGGCTAAGGTATCTAAAGATGTGGCCAAGGATTGGTTAAAGAAACAAGCGATGTGGCAAATATATTTACCGGCACCGCGTTATATACCGAGGAAGTTTGATATTTTTACAACGATTGAAGTTCATCAGGCTGACCTCTTGTTTCTTCCCCACGATAAGGTAAAACGCAAAACGTACAAATACGCTTTAACCGTAGTGGATGTGGCTAGTCGATACAAAGAGGCTGAGCCATTAACATCGAAAGAATCAACAGAGGTAGCTAATGCACTGAGTCGCATATATAAACGCGGACCGCTAAAATGGCCTAAGCTATTTCAAGTAGATCCCGGTCGCGAGTTTATGGGATCAGTAACTAAACTGTTAACAAAGAACGATGTCAAAATCGTGCGTGGTGAAAGAGAGGCCCACCGCAGTCAAGCTATCGTCGAAAGATTTAACAGGACATTAGCGGAACGTTTGTTTGGCAATCAGTATGGGATCGAAATGAAATCCGAGCGATTGAGATCAACCGAATGGGTGACACGATTATCAGCCGTTGTATCAGCGCTGAATAATGAAGTAACGAGATTAATAGGGAAGAAACCATCCGATGCTATTAAAATGAAATCAGTGACTTCCGAATCTTCAGCACCGAGGAGAGGCAAAGAACGAAAACTTCCGGATAGAGTAAGGGTAAGATATTTATACCAGGCCGGTGAACTCGAAGGAGGCCTACGTCGCGCAACCGATCCCATATGGTCCCTTAAGACGTATAACATTAGTCGATTGGTTACGAAAGAAGGAGAGCCCATTCTTTATTATCTTCAAGATGGACCGGGTAGGGCATTTGTACGAGAAGAGTTGTTCATAGTTCCCGACGGTACGGTATTACCACCATAACCATAAGCATAGGTATTTACACCATCATTATCAATCCATCTCTTTGTATCTAAGGGGGATAATGATGTCTTGTTCATTCTTAATCCATATATCCTATGATCGTAACTTCTTAAAGAGTTCATCTTGTGTTTGAACGTTCTACCGTTGAATAATGATTCTTTATACTGTTCGTGTTTGATATGCTTTTTTACAACATACTTCTTAACGCCCTTAGCTTTTCTTATCTCTCCATTATCAGACTTCTTTATAGAATACATCTTAGGTCTTAATCCTACATACTCCGCTATAGGGGTCCCAGCACATTCATCCTTCATCTTACCTAACACCTTTTTATTTACTACGCTGTGCAGTGGATTATCTTTTGGGTAATCGCTCGTGTCGTACATATCTATTTTTTCTGCCATATCTTTATACACATCCTCGGTTTGTATTTCCATCAACAAAGAATCTGTGTCGGTATATAACACCTCGCATCTATCGCCGTATTGCTTCTTAAGTTCGTTGTAATAAAAGTCATACATTAAATGTTTTGACAAGTCGAGAATACTCATACCGACGTACACCGGTCTGTTGAATTTTATATTACTCTTCTGCATATGCAACGCGGCTAAGTCGTTATCGAATATCTTGCTTCTGTTAAAAGCCAGACTGGCTATAAGTTTCCTGAGTCTTTCTTCCTCATTAGATCTGACTAATTTAACATCAACACGCTTCCTTAGATTCTCCATAGTTTTACCAAATACCGAGTTATTCATGAGCTTATATAGATTCTTTTCGAAATCGCTGGTAGCTATCTTTCTTAAATCTGTGTTCAACCTTATATAGGGCTCCATCCAAGGGCTTTGATCAAACTTTAGAACTCTGTGTATTTTCTTAAGTTTCATACCTAACGATAGATACAACTGGAGATTTCTGTAGTGAACTATATATTTTGTTTTATCCATCAAATTTGGTACGAGTTTTTCTATGTTAGCTAACCTACTATTACCCATCAAGGAGCGTTGATATTCCGACATCCAATCTTTATTAACCATTAATCTTTCGGGAGCTAGCGGATAACTGTTATGATCTTTATGTAACGAACTTGGATATTCCAAGTCAACTTCTAGTATGTACCCTTTATTCTCATTGATATTATTGATATCATTCACATTGATATCATCGACCCATTCAAAACCACCCGTGGGTAAAGGTTGACTCATAGCCCATCCGTACAAATTGTTAGCGTCGAGATATAATATGTGGGTGTCGGGTTTACTGGGATCGTATCCTTCCACTAATTTATTATTAGCCTTAGAATACCTTTTAGCTGCCATCGATATACCACCTCTTAATCCTTTCTCAATAAACAAGTGCATATCGTAATCTGTGAGTAGTTTTAGTTCTACGCCGGTCTTCTTCAACAATGCATCCCATGAAAGTCCGGGACTGGAATAGTACCATGCCGGATCCAAGCCGTATTGTTTGAAACATGTCTTTCTAAATATCTCGAATATATCGGCGAGTAACAGTACATCTGTTTTTAAGTACAGATCGTGATAATCGCCTAAATTCTTACAACCTAATTTATCCCACACCGTCAGAGCGTGTTCATAATCGGCATCTGTTATTCTAGATTCTGTTAAGTTACTATAGAATGATTCGAGGGGTGGTAATTCAGTTTCTTCGAATCTAGACCAATCATCCATATATTCGTAAGGATATACACCTTTTCTCAGCAACAAATGACGAGTTATCTTATCGGTATATTTATTTGTTATCGCAAAGTCATCGGGATTGTTCGCATTAGCTAAATTGTCCAGGGAAGATAACAGAAACTGTACGGAGTCTATGAATCTAAGCCCATTACTTTGCTTTGTTCTAGATTTCCCATCCTTGTCCCTATAATGTATAGGTTTAGTCAACGAGAACGATATGTATTTTTCCATATTATTAGGAATGCACGTTAAACCGCCGTCGGTCTTCGAGATAGCTTGCATAATGAGATGTGAATCGTATCCCCTAAGGTTGTGAAACACAACGGGGATGGGTATTGTTTGAGAATTCATTTTTAGTTTCAAGTTACACTCGTTATGAGCGGCTCCCCGATAATTACCCGTGACGTGACAATGATCTCTTACGGAATCCCCATCCAGGGGTTTATTACAAACGTGACAACTCGTTGACTTCTTATAGGCACTCCAATCATCCCTCGTCATACGCATGGGTATCTTACACGATAATTTTTCCCTGATTATTCTCTCTTCATTTTGTAGATATTCTAGGAACTTTCCCGCTGCATGGGGACCTCTGTAAATCACGGGAGTGTTTGTTTTCCCATCATACCTTACAACTATATATCCAAACCCACAAGGAATATGTTCTTGAGTTTTGTACGTAAAACTATTATCTTGATTATTATCTTGATTATTTTCTAAGGGTTTGATGAGCGCTTCGAAGTCGGCGTAAATTACGTACGGTACTGGCATTTGATTACAATAATGTTCAAATTTTAATATATTTTTTCCCTCTTTAGGCATATCGATCCTGATAGCATTCTGTCCAACACCTCTGCAGTCTTCTTTATGCGCTTCTAATAGATCTTGTCTGCTGTACCCATGCAGGCATCTTTCGCAGAAATATTTCTTTTCTTTATGTTTTGTTTGATCCTATAGCAGCCTGTTTAAACTCTTTATCCACGTATAATGATATTTACCATCTTTTTCGATCAGAAATGAATTGATTCTGGGGATATTTTCCGGAGCGGAGCTTATCCTGTGTACAACAATTCCTTTAGAATGTCCGAAAACATTTATAGCTAAATTATTTTGCTTTTCTACCTTATCAATTTGTGATATTGGTGTAGGTTCGTCTATACCATCGAAGTTGAGTCCATCGTTTTGAGGATAGCTAGAAGGTCTATTTGCAATTTTAGAATCTACGGGGAACAATGCAGATCTTATCATCATTCTTAAACAGTCATCGGATTTATTTTTTACGTTAATTATGGCTTTTTTCTTCTTATAATACGGGGGTAAATCTATATAAGATCCACCTTTGAAGGGCATATAATTTGCTATATCTAAATATAAACTATCGATTTTATCCACACCCCAACCCGAACCTCTATTCGTCCAGCGTTCTAAAGTTTCCTGTATCCTCTGAATTGATGTATCTAATGATGCGTTTATAGTATCGGATTCGGTTATAACTTCTTGATTGCTACGGAAATATGGTTCGGTATATTCGGTGCTATCGTCTGTGTTACTTTTACTCAATGTCATTTTAATCGTCAGCTGGTATTTTATACTATGTAAATCATCTAATTCCTCGTTAATTTTACTCGATATGATGGGCTTAATATCGTTAACATCCATGTTGGAATTAATATCCATCTTCCAACCTCTTAGATATTTACCAACGCCGGCGGATGTGGGTACAAATATTAATTCTTGTTGTTGATTCTCAACATCATTATTAGGTTGAATAACATTATCAATAGGTTGATTATTATCTAGTAAAGCGATCAATTCAGCTCTTCTCATTCGAGAATAACCTCTCAGCCCACCGTTTCTCGCTCGAACTTTGAGTTCTCTAACAGTCTGGGGTCTGTTGTATTCCAAACCGAGTAAATCCATCAATTCAGCTTTTCTCATACGAGAATATCCACGCAGTCCA